GAAGAAAAAAAAAAGAAATTGACAAAAATCATAATCTTATCTAATTTTTTTAAGGAATTATCATGAACCTTCGACTTAAAAAACGATTTTTCATGGTAATCATTAATTTTTATTTGTATCCTTTAAATGCCCTTTTATCTCTAGCAGACAGCCAATTTGATTGTAGTCTACTTCCCTGTTTAACTTCATTACTGAGACTGGTGTAAGACTACACTCACAGAATTATGTCTCACGCTCATGCTGATTTCATACTACATATTTCTTCTGTACATGATCCATTGCCTTGCGCTAAACTGAGAGGTCGCTAAATTCGTAGAATCCATTACATTCATATTCATGTTTGGCTGTTAGTCATACCGTAAATTGAATTTCAAGCTTAATGCTAGGTTTTGATATCGTAATCTTCAAGGAAATTATGGCGGTAGTTGGAAATCTTGTCCAATTTCCAAATCAGATTATGAAATCGAAAGAGAGTTCACACAAGTACATGTAAAAGAAGGATGAGACCATTGACATTGCTACTTTGCTTGTAAAGTCAGATTTATAAGTTATTTTTTTGTATGCAGCAAATTGACCAGAACTAACTATACTCTTTATAAAGCTAACCTAAAACCTAATAAACTCTAATACTATATCTTGATGAAACAAAATCGGGTGCAAATTATGTATCATGTTAGATACACATGTACGTGTAGGCAATGTTGTATGACACTTGCTCCTGCAACAGTTTCTCTGCAGCAACTCAATTTCATACTCTATCCAAATCCTTTACTTCTGGACCATACACTAGGCCTAATCCTAACCCTAAACCGACACCTAACCTAAGACCCAATCACAACCCTAACCCTAATACCTTTTATAAACTAAAGCCCAGAGCAAGCTGTTGCAGGAGTAAATGTCGAGTCAGGGTAGGTTTATTTCTTGAAAAGGACACCTTTGTTGCATCCCTTCAAGTTTTAATGTACATGTAGTCTGCTAGCTTGTGCAGGTTTGGTAAACTGTGGTGACAGGAACTTGAGGAAGAGACAACAATTTCACAAATCATTTCTCATGCCTTACTCATAGCAATTCACCTGTTTTCCCCCTGCCATCTAGGTTCCGCAAATATATAAATACACCAGCAGGCTTGATTACTAATGCGAGGGTGAGAGTAAGGTGGAGAAAAGATCAAAATTGAGTCCTAATAGCTTTATTTGGAAAACCACATGTTTAAAGATACTGTTGAACATTATTTGATCATAAAATCGTGCAAATAGGATCACTAAACAATTACTTTAACTAAATGATTTATAACAGTTGCAATATAATTCTGTTATTGATTACTTCAAGTACATGCCAGTACATATAAATGAAACATTTTGTGTTTCCCTAGCAATTGATTATGATTTATAAGAACTTGTTTTTACTGTGATTCTTTTATTATTCAGTTTCCCCCCTATCTACCTTCTCCTCTACACTATTTGATGAGCATGTATGTATAGTGTGCCTTTTATTAAAATCAATAACCATTCTGATTAGAAACAATATTTGGTGAGTCAAATCCAACAATTATTCATATTTATCCTTGGTTTAATAAGAGAACATGATTTCTTTGTTACTATTGACGAAATAGTCAATCACCGCCCACTTTTCCTGGAAAATTATGATCCCAGTATTCAACTTTATAATGTTTGTTGTCTCCTTGGCTTAATTGCACTTTATAGCTTGGGAGTGTATTTCGAGGAGCATTTGTGGCCCAACATATAAAAGCCTAATGCATGATTGATGATAATGATTTAGAGTTGTGAGTGTGTTTGCTGAGAGCAAGGAGGGCATTAACTCTGTGTTGCTTAAGTACATGAGTTTTATAATGCCCTCTTGGTTCTAAAGGGAAGATTATTGATGAGAGAGAAGCATGACTTTTGGTGGAAACGCATGACTTGTAAAGTGAGAGCAAGGAGGGCATTAGCTCTGTGATGCTTTGATTTGAAGTGCATGAGTTTAATAACGCCCTTCTGGTTCCAAACAGAAGATTATTGATGTGAGAGAAGCATGACTTTTGGTGGAAGCGCATGACTTGTAAAGTATAACATGAAAGTTTGATTAATCATACTTGGGAGCAGGCATGCAAAGTACTTCATACTGTCAATGTCTTTGTTGATATTAGCCATGTTCAGACGGGCCTGTTGTGGTTTTAAAGTTTGCAAAACCCGCAATGTTTGAAACTATCCACTATTTTGTTGCAGTTCACAAGGTACCATAACAATGAGTATCAGAGTTTTAAACAAGAAGCCTGACAGTAATATATCTGCATGATCCTTAAATTACAGGGTAACCTCAAAGTGTAAAACCATGGCTGAAACTTTAAGTTCATGGACTGTCGTGTGAACTTAACTTTTCTCAATGAGTTTCCTCTTTTGCTTGAATGTAAGCTGGCTCATTCCACAGTCACTATGTATTCTGTCTGCAATAGATGTATCATTATGCCATAACTTTGAACGAGTAGCCCCCTTGACTTGAAGTTGTCACGCTATTACTGTGAGATCACTCATAGCTTATGTTTTTGAGTAATTTTATTCTTAACCACGAATATGTCTGCTTATAATCCTTAACCACAAGGTAACCCCGGAAGTATAAAACAATGGCTTAAACTGTCATGTGAACATAACTTTTGTAATGAGTCCTCTTGCGCTTGACTGTACACATATTTGCTCATTTCACAGTCAATGTGTGCACTGTCTGCGATCGATCGATGTATCATTATGCCTCTTGTCTATATTCTGTATAGAAATGAAAAGACTTTGAATAGACTCCTGTCATTAATGACAAGGAAATGTCAGCTGTATTGATTATTGAATGAATATTTCACAGCAATTTTGTTTTGTATTCATTTGCACTCCTTACAATACTGTAATACCGGAAGGACGAATGTATGGAGTGAACAATGAAAAATATAATTGATTTCTTGTGAATATTGTACAAAGACATTGTTATACCTCCCCCCCCCCCCCCCCGTAAAAAAGAAAAAAGCAACATCAATAATACCCAAATAAACAAACAAGTGAATACGGTAGATAAAAGAGAGTGGATTTCTTGTGGTTATTTTATATAAAATCTTATAATATAATGTATCTAGAATTTCTCAGCTAATACACTTCTGCTAGGTAAACAATAATATCCATACTTTGATAAATATTGGATAGTACATTCACCTTCAGACAGATACCTCCTCATCCACTCCCGCCCCCATCACACCACTCACAAGGGTATAGAACATATATGTAAGTAGAGTATCAATGCCATAATTTCAAATTGATGAGCACGGCCTGGGAGAAGTGTCGCAACCCTGTCTGCATTTCACTTCTTTCCGCAATTACCGGAAATTATGTGCACCGGGCCCCCCTACAAGCGAGCTTTTCATGGGGATAATAAGTCGCAATGCCCGTCTCGTTGCATTAACGGTTGAGGGCAAATTCAATAATGCCGTCACTGAGAAGGCACATAGAGAAAGCTTTCACCTGGCACGCGATTCTATACTGGACCTTTTTCGAGTCCGAGAGATGCAGTGGTGTAGAAATGTTTTCGTAGGTTGTATTTGAGTAGATAGATGAGAAGATGTAATACACAAATGTACTGTAAACAGAAACCACACACCAAAGTTACCTAGCTCCAAGCCAGTTTCAGAACGTATAGTTACATGTATGTCAAAACCGAAGCTCTCTTAACAAACAAGTTGATACAGAGATACAAAGTGTATATCATATGCATGAATATCACATTTATATTCAAGTGCGTCTCCCATTTGCTTTAAAAGGCCACCCCCTCCCCCCCCCCCACCTCCCCAAAAAAGGTAAAATTTAACAATATGATGTCTCTTTCTCAATGTTAACATAATGATGTTCTAATACATGTACAATACAAGTAGTCACTGCATTGCCTACGATGGAGTATTTAATGCTAGTTGAGAGGTTGTCATATAATCCCGTATCCAGCTTTATTTGATATCCTATTTTGTGAAGGGAGTTTATTGTTTCTGATCTCATACTATGAAAGCCGAGACAAGATGTAAAATAAAACAATCTGACAGCTTCCCATCTATTTAGAGCCAGAAAGACATTAAATTTGTGTAAAATCAATAAGTGATGTGAGATAATGCCCTTCTGGCCCCAAATAAAGTATGAGTAATCTAATCATTTTGAGTAGCTTTACTTTCAAAGGATTCAATAGGATTGTTTGGTAATGGGATACTGGTATTGAGAGTTATAAGTTCATTCATCAGTGAACCTGGATTCTAATGATATTTGAGTATTGGTTTTGATTCAATATTCCTCCACTAGTGCTTTGTTCCCATCATATATCCTATATACAAGCATCGTTTCCATGGTTTTAAGGATTTGGACCCCCCCCCCACCCCCTTTTATGCATATGTACAATGTAATTTTATCCCCAGTTACCTTTTGATGTTGTTGTTGCTGGACTTGCTTTTTGTCTGTTTAGCATTGTGAGGGTACATCCCACCCCCTGCTTGTCAGAGTTTGTGTATGTGTGTGTGTGTGTGTGGGTGGGGAGGGAGGGGGGGGGGGTGGGAGGAGTTGGTCCCCTTCCTCTACAAAATCCTGGATGTGCCCCTGGTTTCTAATATATGTATTAGATTCCTGGATCGGCAAGCATTCCTTCCTTTATAAATTATTTACTGGTGTCATAAGTCATGATGATTGTCTTGTGAAATTGAATCTTGTACCAGTTTGAGTTGAATGCAGCTACACTGTATGTTGACAGTAGTGATGTTATCATAAATGACTGGATGATTGGGGATTTGAAACCAAGTATTGTCTGTCAGAGCAGTAAGAGCATTTAATTTCCTATACCCCGTTACTTAAACACAGAGTTGAATGGCCCAGTGGCTCCAAAAAAATCAGTACAATATATATCATTTCATTATTTTCTATCAACACTTGTGTATTCAATCTCCACCTTGTCTAACTTTCTCTCTCTTTCTTTTTATCTGATCAATTGTACAGGAAAAGCTAGAAATCATCGAGCCAGTGGCGTACGAAAACTACTTGACCCAGAAGCGCTCGCAACTCAGCAATGACCCTCTTCGGCTCATGCTGCTGTTTCCCGTCGACGACGTATCGGTGAGTAAACTAACACTTCTGTTGGGTGGAGATAGGGAGACAGGGGTTGGTTGAAATTGACTTCTACAATTCAGACCTAGTTCACACTTACAACAGAAACGGGCTCTACATGTAACTGGATCCGCCTTAAGAGTATCACATTTATCTGTATCTTATTGAACAAGATTATATTTCCATCAGTCAAATGTTGCTTATCGCTGAATAAACCGGCATTCTTGTTGGGTATAGAGATCTTATATGAAGGTGGTTGAAATTAACTTCTTGAAAACTGGACTTTGTTCACACTTGTGAAAGAAAAATGTTCCTCTCTTCCAAAAAAGAGAGGTGAATTACAAGTCGCATGCTAATTCTGTTATCCTATGCAAACAGTTTCGTATTTATTTTGTTTTATAGAATTTCTGGTAGGTAAACAGAAAAAGGGTGAAAGCGTTATATATTCAAGTCAAAGAAGATTTCCTCTGGAAAATTATTTTGGAGTTGGTCTAGATTAAGAGCTCTCTAATCTTTGAGTGTGAAAACGGTTTTAAATTGGATTTAGAAAGACGCCAGTGTGACTTGAGGTATTTCAACATTTGTCAAGAGTAATTGGTGACAAATTGTGTTTTACAGAACTTTGCAAACCCCTTGCAAGCATTCAGAGTACCAGAAGACAGATTTTTGTGTGTTTTGGGGTCATATTAAATTGATGTAAAGTACTTTGCATGTACATGTTGAATACCAAGTCAATGGTAGCTTAACATTCTGGGCTAGTATTTTATAAGATATTGCATGCTATATCAAACAAATCATCATTCCATAGTTTAAATTGTATGATAATTGTTTAAAATGTTTAAAAATGAAAAACTGAAAGTGTGAGACATTATGAATTTCATAAGATAAAATTCCTCATTTCATACATTTCAATTATTTTGAAAATTCACCTTAAACCTTCAGAGAATTAACCAAGATAGTCGAGACGATTCGGGTGTAAATTTGACATATTAGTTTCCACACTGACTTGCTCCTGTAGTACGTCTCTGAACTCCCCAATGCACAGCGTAGGAAATAAGTACAAATTGATTGTAATTGGGAGTAATTTCCTCTCTGGCCTTGTCTCTCCCCCTCCTTCCTCAAAACATTTCCCCATGGCACACTTGAATTTCAAGATGTGGTTCATTTGAACTTGACACTAGCATAAACACAGAATAGTTTGCAGTTAATTATAGACAATAGACTATTAAGAAAGATACAGTGGTTCTGTGACACATTCTGCTAGTTTGCAGGCATAACTCCTTGAATTTTTTTTACACATAACGGTGTCTACATTATGAGACTACAATTTATAGTCTCTGTACTTATGCCGCTCCTGACACAGCCAGAAACTGACAGATCTAGGCTCTGCTCAATGCTCCAGGAATTTGTGGTAGCGTGTCAAGTAAGAGTGTGCATGTGCTTGCAGATTAGCATTGTTTGGCACCAATTGCTACACAATAAATTTTCTACACTAACGGTAACCAAATTTCTGTTGTAACTTCAACGCCATAGCTATTCCCAACCATAACCTTACTCTATTAAATTCAGTTAATGGTAATTCCTAATCCTACATTTATAGTGTATATCTGTGACGATATAAAGAGAGGACCAAACGTCAGGTTACCATTAGTGATCACTTTCACCTTACATCAACCTATAGTACACCAAGTATGCTCTAAAAAAATGTTACAGTCTTGTTTAAATTCCCCACTGTACTACTTATAGCTACTTGCGCCCTCTATATAGCAAACAATGCCTAATCGGTGCCTGTTGTTACCGCATGATCCCCTTTTTGGTATGTTAATTGAGAGCTTATTTGATGAGATAACCACCTGTCAGTGACCTTGCAGGGAGGTCTATAATCCCTCCTGGCCTCAACTAGTACAGACAGGCTTTAAGCCCATGAAATGCCTGCGTATTCTAATGAGGGCTAGTATGGTGTTAAATTTGTAAAAGCGGTGGAGCGCCATGGCAGGAGTGTGTAGTGTAACGTGAGTGCTAAATGTTTACAAGTAACCTTCTATTACTAACTATCATTATTACCGGTATGTCAAAGCTGATGAGTTAACACCCTTCTGACTCTCAGTATAGGCCCGTCTTCATCATCTCGAGATTGACCTTGAAACTTGAAACTCAAGCTCGAGAAATTAGCTCGAGATCTTTTGCTCAGATTCGCGCATAATGCGAGTCTTCGGTCTGGTGAAGACGCACCGGACAAATAGCGGGATATTTTGCAAACTAGCCCGACATATCTTGGGATGATTATCTCGACCAAATATCCTGCTAATTTCAACTTCGGGCTGATTAAGACGCAAATTAACTGGATAATTTGCGATCGGGTTAGTTCAAATAGCGGGATATTTGGCAATCTCAAGCTGATGAAGACAGGCCTAATGTTTAGACAAAATTATCATCCCATACTTTCAAAGAGGAAACCTGACCCCATGCATTTTCGATGACGTTCCTCAATGAATAATCTGAAAAATTAATCGGATCGTATCAGATAACTGATTATCCAGACGCTGTTGGGAATTCATCTCAGACTGATCAGCTTTTTCCCAGACTGCTGTGATCAAATTCTATTAAAAATTAAATATAAAATTATGAATTATAAAAACATATTGAATTGTAATTTATATTTCAAGGTCATGATAAGAAATTAATTTTCCAAAATACAGCCAGCTTTTAGTTGATCAGCAAACACGATTATTACTTCTGTGAAGTCTGAACATATGTTTACTTTGGCTAATCAAGTTGTCCAACATTCAACACATTGATCCAAAGATATCTTATGAAGATGTTAACATGTTTAATACTTGAGCATTGTTCTGTCCATTTCTGAAACAGCACAAATATTTCATTTTGGGGGTTTTAATTTCAAAGTGTATTAAAAGATTATAATTTTTGTCTTCACTTATGGATTTACCTAGAAAAAACACAAGTTCATGATCATTCATTAATTATTCCAACTCTGTGTATGACCTTGTAACTAACTTCTTGGGTGTGCAATTCCAAGCAATGTTACCCTTTTTATTCATTTGTTTTACCCCCAAAATAAAATTGCATACTTATATCCATTTGTTTTACCCCAAGAATGAAAATTTCTGAATGTGACCATATAGTTATTATATGCGTTCATGTAATGCTAAAGAAGTCGTTGATCATATCAGAAGATTTCTCTCTCTTGGATGAGATAAAGGTGGTAGAGACCTGTGTTTTATGGAGCATACAGTGATGCACAGAACCGCCGTCAAGTGTATTCCCTCAAAGTGCTATTTGAATTGGTTAATGTGTTTACCTGAATGTCTGGGACTACTGTACTTGCAGAGAAATATAGATCCATTTCAGGGTAGAGGTTTATCCTCGCCTGGGCTCTCCCGAAACAGGCTCTTACAGTATGTTTACAATGACTCATGTGGCACATACCTGACAATAGACGAGAGTCCAGAGACAGAATTTAATTGGTTGGGGGGGGGGGGGTGGAGGGTTTTGAGGACAGAGACAGAGAACATACGTGTGTAAGGGAAGAGGAAGGGGAGAGGAAGGGGAGAAAAAGAGTACAGAGGGGATGGTAAAGGGAAAGGGTTAGGAGAGAGAAATGAACAAGAGAGAACGAGGTGGATAGAAGTCTGACAGGCATAATGCCAACAATGGTGATGGGGGGGGGGGGGGTTAGGGCAGTAATATACTGGAGATACAAAAGTGGTTGGGGAGGGGGGAGGTAAGCTAGAGGGAATACAACTATTTAGCTATCTGAGTGGTTAAGAAGCAAATACCATGGCAACAGCTAAAAGTAGGCTTGCCTTCCACTTTGTAGCATGATAACCAAGATTTTTTTTTTTGGGGGGGGGGGGGGGGGTGGGAGAGAAGGACCATGTTTGAAAATTCAATCAGTTGGAAATAATATCTTGCCTGAGCATGTTTTATGTAAACAAGAGAAGCGTCTAATTATTGAACATGCTGTTGTCCCAGCATATTGGAAGATGGTTCTCATCTACAGAGTTAAAGTCTACAATCATGGAGATACTGGCTCTGTTCACATCAGGATATTTGCATAATTTTTTTTACAGTCTGTTTGGCGCCTGAAGGGCATTAATATACTCATATATTTTAACACGTTCTGGCTCTTAGCAGGCTCAAGAATAGTTGCAAGGAAGGATAATCTAGAAACCCCCAAAATACCAACATGGCATATATTATGGTTCTCTCAATATATGTAAGGATAAGATGTTTCATACATTAAAGAAAGAAAAGGGTTAGTATTCACTGTTAGTAAGTAAGAGATGCTTTTCAGTGAATTAGCTTTTTCTAGCACTTAAAAATTAATAGTCTACAGTCAACAGAACTATTAGCTTCTTTTTTTTCTTCTCCCAAGGTTTTTTTGTATAATATGAGGACAGTTTGCAATGCAATCATGTATTTTGTTAAGAAATTTATTATCTCTTATTTATCATGATTTTCCTATTTACCTACCACATCATAAAGTCAGACAATTTTTATGAAGCTGAAGAAAACAAACCTCAAATATCAGAAGGGATCAACCAAATATCATTTCAACCCATCTTCTTGGAATCAGAAATTAAGGTGTAGTATGAACGCAACCGTGCAGACGATGATCACCATGTTTTTGAATGTATGGAAGATGTTTGATATGTAAACAAACCATATTTCAGGCCCAGACTTGGGTGATATATGAGTCTTTGTCTGCAGATGGACAGGGGAATGGAAAAGGGAATTTGAGATGGGATGGTGGAAACAAAGACAATCTTGTGATTGTTTTTTGCGAAGGACAGAAGGAAGAATTCATTAGATTGTTGAACCCCCTTGGCAATTATCTGTCCGAATGAGCAGGGAAATAGGTGTGGAATCTGATACCTCAGTAATTAACATTGTAGCAGTATCACTTTCCTCTTTGTCATCCAACATCATATTGTCTTTTAATGGTGTGAATTTCCAAATGATGTGAATGAAAAGCCTTACCAAATTATGATTGCCAGGTCAGTATAATGTCAGAAATATGAATATTTTATGGTGGGGTTGGCTTAGTTAAAAAGTCAACTTCTGTATGCAATTGAAGCTTTTGGATAATTAATTTACAGTAAGGTTATGACAGCTCCCTAGTAGACCTAAGTCAATTATTTTGCCTTGATTGGCATGTATGTTCTTTTCATAAGCAGGTTATATTTCAAACCTACGCAGACACAAGCAAATTAATATAAGCACACATATAATGGAGCACATTTATTATGCATAATGATGGATTTGCTATGTGACATCACAATGAACATCGGTAAGTATTTTAACTTAAGTTGGTCTCCTCTAGTAAAATACTTATAGATGTGAGCTGAATAAGACATAAGCCATTTTACTTAGCTAAGCCATGTGCTAATTTTAAAAATGGCATAATTAGAGTATTCAATTGAATTTGGATACTGGATGATTTTTTAAATACTATGTGGAAGTGCATATACATTATTTACAAACAACGATGGAGTTTTGAAGTCTGAACACATCGCTGTGTGTCGTGGTTCGGTCCAAAACATGTTTGGAATAAGGCTAAGAGGGTCGGCTTTGTACATGAGGCGTGTCTCTTCAAATGTCAGAGCGATTTGATGCTTTTCAGGATGACTGATATTAGGCACATTCTCTTGAATTCCTTTCTATCTCTCTCGAGCTATGTTCGTCTCTATGTTGAGTGTGGGCGTATGGTTTGACATTCATGTTGAGAGGGGAGGTTGTTTGTCTGGCAAGGTTTAGTCTTAAAAGAGAGATTTATCACTTTCTTGAGCCAGCAGGGAAACAAATTGGGGGTGGGCGAATAGATTTTTGCCCCCATTCTTTACAGGATTACTAATATTTGACACAACATTCATTTATATCTCTCTCTCAAGCTTTATTTTTCACTATATGTTGAGGGTGGGCAGATGGTAGGACATTCATGTTGAGAGAGAAGTGGTTTTCTTATCCTATAGCATTCAAAGCAAAATACATGGACTGAAGAGGGGGGGGGGGGCTGTCAGCTGTTTGCCCCTCCCCCCAACAGAGTTCCAATGAAACAAAGCAACTATTTTTATCAGTTTAAAATTAGCCAATGCGTACCTACATGCACGTATGATTTCACTGTGTTTTGCAATAATTTGTAGATGGAGAAGTACACTGCATGTACATACATGTTTCCCAAACGGGGCAGAGGTACAGAGTCTTCATGAATATCTAATTATCAAATTCCAAATACCCCCCAAAAAGATATATATATTGTGTAGCTACATCAATACTAAATAAAAAGTCATGTAAAATAACCAATATTGTTTAAAAAGATGAAAACATGTTTATATTGGTGAGCTTACATGAGCTTCACCACTATGGGGGGGGGGGGGGGGGGGGGGTGGGGGGGTGGGGTGGGGTGGGGGGAGGGGGTTGGCCTCTGCATACATGTAGCACATACTAAATCTCTACACACAAAAGTTTGCATCATATTGGAAAGAAAACCGTGGGCATGACAGTCTTGCAGATGAAGAGATATCCCGAAATAACCAAGCACTCTATCTCCAATCCAATAATACTCTCACCTCTCAGTGTTGCAAGCAGATGACGGGAGATTTCATTTCAATTTTGAGAGCATTGCTGAGTCTCTGTGAGACATTTAAGTTTTTTATTAGAATTCGGGGGACAATTTCAATCGGGAATGGAATGGTTGTGTGACTTATTGGTGAAGAATCGTCACAAACTACACAGTGGACAGCTTGAGAAAACTGGGAGTTGCAAAAGGGTTACAAGGCGTTTTTGAAGAATTTTCATGAACAGTAGATTAGATAGATGGAGATTTTCACGAGATGCAAAAGGACTTTAATGCATATTGTGAAAATTTTTCACAAAAACATATGTCATACACCTGGGGGTGCCAAAGGACTTTAACTATTTTGTAAAGAATCTTCATTTAAAAAGCACAGTAGATAGGCTCAAGATGTTTATTAGATGCAAAAGGGCTTTTAATGTAGTTTGTGAAGAATTCTCACAAGCAACATATCATAACAACCAGAGAAAGCTTAGAACTGCAAAAGGACTTTATCTCGCATTATGAGAATCTTCACAATCAACATAGTACACAGCTAGAGCAGGTTTATGAAGCAAAGAGAGATTTAATAGACCCCATTTATTCATAATGGGTATTTTCTAATCATAGAAATAATGAATTTCTTTATTGTCATGCACAAATGCCATCTTGTTCCTATTTTTAATACATTGTACATGTACACATGCTGAATGTCAACCACTTCAAATAAATACCATTTCTTGGATTATACATATACTATTACATCAATTGAATAGAAATCCCTGGCAAATTAACTATTAATCCATCAAATACATGTACATTACTATGGCTAATGATTGAAAAATCCATGACATTTGTAATGAAATTCACACAAGAGCGGTAATGCGCCGGAAAATGACCAGGAATTAAATGCCTAATGGGCCTCGCTGGGCGGATCAATGTTGGGTTTAGCTCAGTGATTGCATATTAAGCTGTGAAAGAAATATGACATCACTTGTAATAATGTTGATTGTCTGGGCCAAGTCCAAGCTATTTTGTCCCATTCTTTGATGACTAATATACATATTAAACCCCTTGATATGATGATTAAATTTGCAAGTACTACTGAAGCTTAGATAAACAAATTTGTCCCTATTTTCACGAATTGACGGTAGTGAATGATAATCCCATACAATTTGCGTGCAGATTTTCTTCACTTCGTGAAAACAGGAACGAACTATCAAGATATTATTATTATGTGATACTTTTGATGTCAATTTACATTCAAAATCTCATAAAACTTGTAAGGTTTGGGACATCCTGGGTCAGTTTCTCGAAATAATCATAATTATTTAAGTTCTCGAACATCCCATTTGAAACCCTTGTTTATTTCATCACACAGGATGGGTTGTCCAAAAACTTAGACTAATGGCTGTTCCATGTGGCCCCAGATGAATACTTTTGGCTTGCCCTTCTTTTGTTTGTTTGTCTGGAGCCAAATTTTGTTTAAATACATTTACACTAACTGGTTAAAAATTTACCTAAATATAAGTCTTTAAAAAAAAAAAAAAAAAAAAATTATTTAAAAAAAAAATCCCCCCTAAAAAAAAAAAAATCAACAAAACTCAAAACTCAAAACTTAAAAAAAACAAAAAAAAACAACAAAAAAACAACAAAAAAAAAACAAAAAAAAATCGAAAATCAAATTTGAGATATTTCCTTTTTAATAAAGGGATATTATACATGCTCTGTATAAGAGAAAGATTTTGATATTTCTTCTTCTATGTAGCAATATTCTTCAAAGGTCATGCTGGCAAATGGCAGAGCCTGACATTTACTTATATTGTTCTTTGATTTTGATTTTCACTTGTTAACTCCTTTACTGCCATCAGGTGTAGAATAAGTTACATGTACCATTGATGAACTTTCTAGAGTTGTGGTTTAAATTCCTTATTTTGTTGTGAGATCAGCAGGCCTGATAAAAACCTGATTTAAATCGGTTTCCCGATATTTTTTCCCTTATTTTCTCTATTCTTCCCTATTTTCCCCTATTATTTCCCAATTTTTCTTACTCAAAGGGGGGGGGGGGGGGGAATGTTGTTAGATGCCATTTTCCCCCGAATTCTCTTCTTCTTTTTTTTTACTCAAGGGGAGCATGGTTGAGGGAACCCCCCCCCCCCCCCTTATTTGTAGTGCCCACTACCACCCCTGGATCAGGCCTAAAACACCTGCTTTGAGGACATAACTCAAGAAAGAAATTCTTGTATGAGTGTCAGAATAGTGTCTTCTACTCCAAAAACACAGTACACTATTAATTAGTATACTGGTATGGGTTTGGCTGCTGATGGCAAAGCAAGGTCCTAATTATACATTTATTAAACCAAAACAAATTGTTAATGCAAGCTCATTGCACTTTTGGAGTTACATGTACAGTCAAACCTTTGTTAGTGGTCACCTCTCTGTAAAGGCCACCTGTCTATAGTGGTCATGCATTCTGTCTCCCCGGAAACACAATATGTGTTGTAGAACCTGTCTACAGTGGTCACATTTTGTGTTCCCTGACTGTACTGGGTTCTATATATATGCTTGCCCTTTTCTAAATGCACTGGCAAGGAATAAGGTGCACAGAGAAGCTGAATGTGACTGTTTTATTTTACATATCTTTAAGTTTAACACATACATTTTTCATACTCCTTCACCATTAAAGCCTATCTGCACTAGTTTGGCCAGGAGGGATTAGACCTCCTCTGTGTGGTCACTGACAGGTGGTTATCTCTTCAAATCAGCTCTCCATTGACACAAGAAAAAGGGGACCATGGGGGATCAACGGGTACCGCTTAGGCATTGTTTGCTGTATAGAGGGCGCAAGTAGCTACAAGTAGTGCAGTCCCGCTTGAAAGCATGCGATGCTGAGTAAATATTTCTTCAAGTGCCATACACATACACATTATAAATGTATATTTTATTTTGTTTTTGTATTCATGCATACAGGCATCCACCATCCCTAGAACGTTACGTACCACCTGTTCAACAGTACCAGACTGTGCTTTGAGAGAAGCTGACGCTAACTTTGTCAAAGAGGTAAGAATCTTAACTTGTAATTAAGATTTAATTAAAATATATTCTCTGCGATTCAATTTGGACACAGTGGCGTATTCCCCCCCCCCCCCCCACATTAGGTAGTGATAAAATGAAGTTATTGGGAAAAAAGTGAGATAGGGAAAGGGGGAAGGTTGAGAAAGTATAGAAGATTAGACCTACTTCATCACCCCCAAGATAGGTGGTCTATTAAATTCATATATCATTTTCTTTGTGAGCCCCCTAATATTTTGTACTCTTCTACTAAGGTCATATACCATTTCTTCATTTTCTTGAGAACAAAACTGTTCATAATAGGTATGAATCGTATTCTTGCTTTTTAAGGTTAAAGGACATTGTTTAAAGGAGATGTGCATTTTCTTCAATGTTTTGTGACTCTAAGCTCTGCTGCCCTCATGCAAAAGGTTACAATAGTTGTCATTTGTTTAAAATCCATGCCATTGCTTCAGAATTTATTTCCTAAAGAAACATTTGTTTTCAGACACACTAGATTGGAAATTAATGTGATGTTCAATTTTGTTTAAATGGGATTTCATTCACGGACGTTTTTGGATTGTCCAATGATTTGCCTTTGATTATTATGCTTAATTTCTTGTATTGTTTATACCTTTGATTTGTTTTATTGATAATCTTGAGATTTTGTTTTTGTTTTTTGTAGTGTATAAATAGCTATACATCAGAATGGAGGGTAATCAACAACAAATATGCAGCATATGCTGGGAGTTATCAAGATTTACCAAAGTAAGTTTGATATCATATTTATCTTGTTTTGTTGTTTCTTGTAAACTACAATATTTTATTTACACAAATTATTTGTAGGTGATTTGATTGATTGATTCTACTATATGAAGTACCATATCACCTTATTTGTGACCTGGCATTTTGGCCAATTTTTAATGAAGGTCATATTAGTGGCAAGAAACTTTGCAAGCAGCAAATTTATATTGTTGTATTAAGTTAATTCATTTCATGAAACTATACCCTTTTTGAATCAGGGTCACTGGCAAAATTCATGAGGTTTTATTCATGTAAATTGAATAGTTTGACATTAGGTGTAATAATGATAATTGGGATTATCGGTAGGGAGATAAAGACATGATTGTGAAGCAAAGATTACACGTAGCAAGCTGTATGATTGAACAAACTTGTAGGCCAGAATAAAAACATTTTTTATGTATTTCGAAGAGAGAATGATTAAAAGAGAAAGATGGATAATGCCTCTTATACCTGCAGTATTTTTTAATGAATGTAAACATTAAAAATGTCTGTCACTCTTGCAGCTATCGTATGCCAGACAAGCTTGCTGTACAGCATTATGAAGTGGACGAGACGGACGAGAATAAACAAGATGACTCCCTCCTCTCACCATCCGGGAGTATATGCAAGCAAGGCTTCCTACACAAAACACCATTTGGAAGCAGAGGAGATATACAATTCATGCGGGTGAGTCTCTTCTTTTTGTTTAAAATTGATGTACAGGTTATTAAAGAAATAGACATATACAAATGTGCATTAATGAAATCACACATGCAGAAGTTAAAGTTGCACCCTTTCATCTAGAGAGGTTGAGTGTGATTTCTTGATTCTTCCATTGTACATACACCTGTAGCAGTTCTGCACAAATTCAAAATGGCTTCCTCCATGGCTATATACCAGGTTCCCTTGTTGTTGTTTGTTATTCCCCAAGGCCATCAGGAAGGATGATGGTGGAATGAATGGAGTACTGAACCCTGTGCTAATCGATTGCACTTTCGACGTGTTTCACCATTCATTTAAGAGCCATCTCCCCACCAGTATATGCCAATATGTCAGACTATTGTCCGTAGCATTAATAATGGAAGACACCAATCACGAAGGGATGAAACCCCATCATCCCAATTTAAGGTCTAAAATGTCAGGTATATTACTACACTAGTTGACTCGCAACACTGCCAACCATTCTTATTTTGGAGGAATGATTCCTATTTTTTTGCCAGTGTTATGAATCTTAGTTTCTATCTTTTTTCTTAAGACTGATTTGAAAAAAGCATGCAAAATATAGATCCTTCCTAATCTTATTATGAGAGATTTCCCAATTCTTGCTACATGTAATGTTGGCAGTCATTTGAGTGAGTGACCCAACTATTTTGCTCGTGCATGTGACGACTGCTCAAGCTTTGTTTCATCAACGGCATAGGGTTAAGGTTGCGGGTAGGTATTAGGTTAGGTTTAGAGTTGCAAGTGAGTTTAAGTTTAGGTTTAGGGTTAGTGTTAGGTATAGTGTTGGATCCAGGGTTGACATGTATGAAATTGACTCAAGGAAATTGTATCGGAGCAAGTGTCTCACAACCATTTGAGCGGAGTGTTTTGGATTGGTTATTGCATGCAGCATTGCATATACACAAGTTGAGTATAGTGCAAGCAACTCATCAAATAGAGGGATTTTTTCACGGCTGTCATCTACAATGTTTGCCAGGCTAAAGGAATAGATTGCATTGCACATATGTATATGAAGTTTCAACGTGTCTCTTGCACTTCCAGATCATTCACAGTACTTTATTCTTAAACATGATTTTCTCCTTTCTATTTATATGTTTACCTCCCTATTTGTTCTTACCTCCCCCATAATGTCTCCTGCTTTTGCTACCGCTCCTATTCTAATTTTGTGTAATTATAAGTTTCTCTGATAGTCCCAATACAGTTTGTATCTGCAAGCATAAAGCAATGACATTCTCCCTCTCCATCTCTTTCTTTTCCTTATTCCATCTCTTTTTCCAATTATCATTATCTTTCTCTTTTTGTCTAGCTCACTAATGCAATATTCTTCTTTCAATACTCTCCACATTCCATTTTAATTAAAAGAGAGACCTCTACATTCAAAGGCAGTTTCAAATCAATGCCCCCCCCCCAATCATCTACCCCTCCCTCCCTCTCTGTTTTCACTCTCATTTCCAATCTTCTGTTTATAGTTCCTGTTCCTTTTCTTCACTATCGTATCCTTCCTTCCCCCTTGTTATCCTTCCATCGATCCAAGTATTGGATACAGCCCATCTCAGGTCGTCGCACTATGCAAGGCCTCGTTGTTATGAGAAAATGGAGGTATGATGTATAAAGAAGCGATGCAGGCTCTACACAAGGCAGCGCTCTGAAAGATAAATAATAAAACACTCTCTGCCTGGCCTGGCCATAAATACACAGCCATACCGTAGCAGTGATGCATCATGCCAATGTACAGTATATTGTGTGTGATGCAGGATCAAAGCCAAAATCCTCGATGGATTATAAATTATAATGTGTACCACCTTGAGCAAAATTGAACTTGACCTTTAAAAATATTGTCTTGAATGATTTTTTAGCATATAGGTTGTTAAACGAAATCATATCAAGTCCTAAAATTTGCTTCGAAATATTGAAAGTTCAAGGACTTCAACATTTTACATTTTTTAGCACAAGAGGTATATAAAAAAAGTACCGGTATGTCATTATTTTTCTTGTTAAGTGTGTCATTTTTCTTGTAAAGTGTGAAATCTCGAATAAACATAAGCATATTTATTATTTTACCTAAAACATTACAAATTATCACGGCTAATAAATTCAATCAGATGGAACCAGCTGGGCCATTCATCAATGCTTTCTTGAGTCTGTGAAATCACCTTTTCAAATCATAATGATTACTGAAATGGGGCTCAGAATTATGTTATGAAATAAAGGGTCACTTTTGTGTTTCTTTCCATAGCTCAAAGAGCAATGTTCAATCGTTGTTGAATGTTAATATATGCACAGACTGGTTCAATTTAGTTGATTGGTACTCAGTTGGGGTGCTCCCAGCAAGCATGTTCCGTTGTACCCTCAAATCACTTAAAGATAAACTTTAGTACTGGTAATGCGATTGCATTGTGAAAGAAAACGTGTGAAAGGATCAGAAACAGTTGATCATGTAGCATGTAAGTATTGGTGTGCACTGCAAGGTTCTGGAGTCATCAAAATCGTAATAAATTTGACCGAGTCTTGGTAAAGTAACAAGCACTCACATAGAAAGCTATATATGGGACAACACACATGGTGTCGGGGCTATATAGTACTACCTTGATTTCCTTGTCTTTCTATGCTCATTACTCAGCCAGTATACATTTTCTTCCAAAATTGTTTGGCACATGTCATTTATTTGTAATCTTGAACATTCAGTGTAAGTTTCGTTTGATTCTGTGAGAATTAAGTTTTTTTTTACCAGTACTGGAGTTTATCTTTAATATCATGATGACCAGAGATTCCCATAGCCACTGACTCTGACAAGACTATTCATTGAAAAGATTTTCTTTTAAAATCATTTCCAGTCTTATCTCTACTCTATTATTTTGCGTTAGATTACAAGGGTGTTGATATGTACATGTAGCATGACTTGAAGGACAAAATATTTAACACTAATATTTACATTTCAAAACTATTGTGTTTTTTGTGTGCATATTTTGGAATGTAAACATTTCCATTGCAGCATTTTACAAGTATGTTACCCAATAGATGTATCTGCACGGAATCTAAATGTGATAAAAGAAAGTGAATGAAGTAGAGCTTAAACTGAAGAGCAGTGTGCAGTCTAACCTGCTTTAGCGACCACTTGCATAGAAAGACCACCTGTCTATAAAGATCACATATTTTGTTTCCCTTGAAAATGGTTTCTCATGGAAACATGTACTATAGGAACCTGTACATAAAGATAATAATAATAATAACTAGTTCTTATATAGCGCTTTTCAAAGCGCTTTACAGATAAAGATCACCTGTCGATAAAGACCACATTTAATGTATCCCTTGTAATTTCTTTTGTGTACAGTTGGTTTATTAAAATTTAATCTTAATTTCAATCCTTGTTTTAATTGCAGTCATACAAGAGAAGATTCTTCTACCTGAAGCAGCTTGCAGATAGGTCCTTCTTGCTGGAATACCACAAAGATGACAAAAGCACAGAAGCAAAAGGCAATATGTACCTTGACTCTCTTCAGGAAGTTATAAAGGTAAGGAATGAATTCTCATTAAATTTTTTTTTTTTTTTTTTTAAATTACTGAATTGTTTCTTCCTACTTCTTATTCCTGATTATTACGAGTAAATATTTGACATTGCACTCACATATTAGATGCGACATAAACTGAGACAACTACGTCATACCAAAAAACAAATAAACTGTAAACCCCGTTGTGACGACTTCTGGATAGGAGTTCATGAAAGTTATGTAATCATTATTCATTCATGTACCAAGGGGAAATTCTCTGATATATACACAGGTGGAACTGCCCTTTTTCAAGAAGGCACTCAAAAGGTGTTCATGAAGCACCTCCATCTTTTTGATAGCGATTGTTCTAAAACGTACACAATGGGACGTCTCCATGTTCGAAAGATCTGTGGATATGTGGGCGTCATTTGTACATTTGCTATCTCTGAAGTGATCTATTATGAAAAGCCACATAACCCTAGGTCGGGTTTAACACTGCCTACATGAAGTGCTTACTAGTAATTGGTTGATCAGTGTATGGAGTGCTAAAGGTACATCTCTTCATCATGTGCAAATTACCATGATTCTGTAACTAAATGACAGAGAAATGCTTTTCATCACAAATATTTATTTAATTTTTTTTAACGGTAATGATAATAATGATAAATTACATTTTAAAGCAGTTAATACTATGTTTCTAAACACTGAATATAACAAGATACAACATAGAGTAAGCATACAGCAATAATAATACATTAATTCTAATATTAACAATTACAGATAATACTTACAACTAACATAAAACAAAACTGCCCTATAAATTACTATCAAACAAGAAATACTTCACTAGTTTTATTTCACTTTCATTTAAAGGAAATAATGTAGTGTATGTGAGGCAGTCGATCTGCCATATCAGTTTTAACATGCTTAATCCTTTGCCTACTGGAACCAGGTTGCTCCTGTATTAAGCCAATGAGATTGAGAGAATTCAGGAATCAAAGGGTTAATATAGACAGTGTGATCATTCAGTGTAACTGAAAAGACCCTTTGATTTCAGCCGCTTCTACAACAGCAAAGCTCTAGTTGAGATTGAGCATGTGTGACCCCATTAGGATAAGTGTTTCAAATTCCACTTCAGAAACCTGTGACTTCTCAGGCTCATAATTGTGTGACAGTATTTAGACAGCCGATAAGGTGGAAGGAGCAGAAGGTCCTATGTCCGCAGGTTTTTAAGGGAATTTTAATAGATGATTTGACAAAGGTATTGAGCAATGGTCGAATTTCACACACACTACTTAGCTCAGAATGTTTGATCCAAATGACCCAATGTTGTCAGCTTTGTGACATATCAGTTCATCAGGTTTATTATGAACCCACGAATCAGATATATGTGTTACTGTACTGATTTGTCTGTTCATGATATCAATGACGAGTTCTAGGTGGAAACGTACCTACCACACAATTTAAAGTTTATATAGAACCTGCATTTACATTATACCTGTAGATATTTTCTGTATGGAGACTGAAGGATGTTAAATTTATGAAAAAAATGGATACAAGTTAATATATAATATGAAAAGATACTATAAAGAAGTAAAAACTTAATTATCCATACCCCTTGTAAATTATATATTTTTGGGGTATTTTTTGTAACTCAAACATAAATAGGGACAAATCAATTTTCATATACTTACAAAATTACAAAACTTGGTAAATTGTAATTATTGTATGAATAATTTACTTGTTAACTGCATGTGCCTAGTTCCATAAAGGCTCAATAACATGGCTCAAGTTCTCATTGAAATTATATGGAATGAAAAAGCTCCCTTGATGAGATGCACATAATTCCTACCATTTCTGTTTTACAAGTCAATGACACCATTCTGTGTCTTATAAATGGATGAATTGCCAGAAGGGCATAAGTCAGACATGCTGTCTTCAGGGACTCAGGGTCCAGATGGTTTGGTGAATCGCATTAAGAGAAGAAACAGAAGAATAGGATCCTTCTCATTAGGTCTGGAGTGAGAAGCATTCCACTTTGAATGAGATGTTGTTAATTGTATGTCCATAGTTTCATAGAGGCTTGATAATAGGGCTCTACTTTATTTGAAATTATTGCATACAAAGAGATATTTAAGGCAGCTCCCTTGATGAGATGCACATAATTCCTTCCATTTCTGTTTTACAAGTCAATGACACCATTCTGTGTCTTAAATATGGATGAATTGCCAGAAGGGCGTAAGTCAGACATGCTGTCTTCAGGGACTCAGGGTCCAGATGGTCTGGTGAATGGCATCAACTTCAAGAGAAGAATTGGAATAGGATCCTTCTCGTTAGGTCTGGAGTGAGAAGAATTCCGCTTTGAATGAGATAGGTTAGGATTGCTAAAGGGCAGATATGATGATGAATATTGAGGGTTGGGTGGTGGTGGTGGGGGGGGGGGGATGCAGTATATTGAGGGGTGTGGACACACAGGGCATTGTCCTGATATAAGGTGCATGTGCATGGAGGTTTTTTTTTTTTTTTTACAGTTCTCTCTGTATCTTTATGTCTGTCTTTAATCCTCTGGCCCTGTCTATGTTTCTATCTCTGGCACTGTCTCTGTCTCTGGCACTGTCTCTGTCTTTTTGTCCTGTCTGTTTTTTCTTTTTTACTCTGTTATCTCCTCTTGCTCTCTGTATCCCCTCTCTCTTTCTCTCTCCCTCTCTCCCTCTCTCTCTCTCTCTCTCTCTCTCTCTCTCTCTTTCTCTCTCTCTCTCTTGCTCTCTCTCTCTCTCTCTCCCTCATCTGATTTGTATATCTCCCCCTCTCTCTCTCATCTGGGACTCTTATCTCTCCCTCTCTCTCTCTCTCTCTCTCTCTCTCCATCTTTCCCATCCGCTCTTTCTCCCCTCGGAAACAAAGAAAAGAAAATGAACCAACAGCTCTTTATCATGAAACGCACATGGGATACAAAAATTATTATTAAAAAATAATTTTCATAATAATTACTGATTGGGTTATAATTTTTTACAATAGAAATAACAATTGAAATAAAAAGACCTATACACAATTTAATTTTTAATCAAGAAACTACTGCATTCTGATTTAGAAATCTGGATTATGATGCTTATTCAATTGATTTGAAGGGAAAAATCATGTCCAGCAATATTAAAAGATCAATCCGTAGCTGTATGTCTTGGTGGGAAATTTAATGTACCCCCTGCTAATAGTTTATTCAAGCCTTATTTTGATGACCTTTCAACATTGCCTTATTACATGCTATGGTATGGGAGCAGGAGGGAGGAAGTCCATGTAGATTCACCCTCAAGCAGAATATAAGATCCCATTTGATTATCATAAAAATTATAATGAGAGACCGTTAATTAATGGCACTCCTTCGAAAGTTTTTTTTACCTTATAAGTAGAATCAAATTATCTAAAATATGTCTTCTGTTTTTATTCATTTACATGTACATGTATGTATTGCAACCATTGGTTGGATTTCACAGAAAACAAATTAAAATTGAATTTTGAATCCATTATGTTTGACAGGCTTCTTGTAAAGATAACAAATATAGTGAAGTTTATAATTAGAAAGGGAATTTTAGACTGAGGGCCTTCATGAGCATTATTTAGGATTATTATGCTTTTAATTGCTCTTGTCACGATTCTTGTTGAGTGCCAAGGAAATTAATTATATAGACATTTACAAAAGTATGAATTTGATTATTGACCCATTTACAGTACGTAATTAGGATTGCATTTACATAAAAGTGTAAATGTTTTTTTCTTTTGTTGCCATAGGATTTATATTCTTCATTTAAAACAAAGATGTTAAGTTTCATAAACATTTAACATTGAATTACTAGCTCTGACAGAATGTAATATACTGTACATTCAGCATTCAGCATTGTTACTGACATTTGATTAAAATGGATCACAAGCTGACAGTGCTGTTCCGTCATTGTTACCCCAGTGCCATAAAAAGGCTCCAGCCCCTTTCATTTCCTTCCCTTCTGGCATCGATTCGCACGGGACCTCTTACGTCAAGCAGGCAAAACAATACCCCGCTGTCACCAAGAACTCGCACATGATCTTGTTTTTATGATCCCGCAAACCAATATCCAATAAAACGACGGGCAGCTCATTTTCGTGACGACTCTGGTGGAACACACGAGGGCCTCATCTACCCACGGGGTACGTTCGTTCATCCCATCATGCAAAGTCCTGTCGCTTGCCTAACCATCCCAACCTATTCCCAAGCATGATGCGAGGGCTGCAAGGGGAGAAAATAGAATCAGTGGCAGACGACTACTGATGAAGAATTAATGAAGTGATGGGAGAGTGGGGTGGTTCCTTTTAGATGCCAAGTACATGTCTAGTCCTCACTAAATTGTAGTGTAATATATTGATATAGTGTGGAGCCCCTGAAATAAAAAGATGTCTGTAATTGTTTATGAAGGTAGAGAAATTTATTTTCTACAAAGACTAAATTATAGCAGGAATTGTGTGAATATCACATTGATTAATTATGAATATATAGTGGAGAGGTGCTGGTAGTTGGGGAAGGGAGGGGGGGGGGGGGGGGGGGGCTCCTTTCAGATTTGAAGTTGACACTGTAGATCTTCCAAGAATTTGCATTTCTTTATTCATTCATTGGGGTAGTCAGAGAAAGTAGTTGTTGTTTAATCAGATATAAAAGAAGTTTTCAAAAATGGCAAAAGACCATTTTCGTAATGCACAAAATCGTTGTTTTTAGATTCATGCATTGAATTTGATTACATTGTGAAAATGGTCTATTCTGGATATTGAATTGACAGAGTAGGACAGAGTATTATTAGGTTTATTGGGATGAGGTGGGGATGGGATAGGGTACTTCCACACACACAGTGCACATGTACATGTATGTTGTATTTTTTGTTGAGCATGCAGGTCTTCGGTGCTTTTTCTTCACCCATGTTTTGGGTCTTGCAATGTCTACATCTACCTTAGATGTGCATGTACAGATATGTTAAATGTGTATAACATTATAGCGAATTGTACACAGCTTGCCATGATTTTAGGGGAGCTGTACATGTGCATGTACCAGGTCTACATTATTAACCTGTTGACTACTGAATTATCTCATTCCCATAGGCTTAATACAGGGACCACATGGTTCCCTTAGGCAATGGGTTAAGAATGGATGAGGGGTACTTGCAGCTTACAAGTTGATATGGAACTCAAGCTGATGACTGAAGAATACCCATGATCATAGTCCTTTAATGAGAGGAGTATTACAAATTAGTATTATGATACCCACATTTTGATTGCCATCCAGTGTATCTATTGTACCTGTGTACCTTTACGTCAGTCCTCTATCGTATATATTTTGAGAATGAAACTATTCACTACAAATCATGGTATGGATACATACATGTACACAATGTACATTAAAGCCTGTACATTTTAGATCTACAAGTAAGATATGTTCATGTGCATGTTCATCACAGAATGCAGTATCTGAATACACTGGTAATGGGATGAGCATTGTCAAATAAGATGTGAGAAAATATGTAATTTTATGCCAGTATTTATTGATTAATATTGAGGAGTAGCTAAAAATGGTGATTACTCATAGAATCGAATGGAGTTAACATCCTTCTGTCTCTCATTTATCTCACAATTTTCAAGAAACCAGATTCATCTCTAAAATTGAATGAGAGCCATATTGACATAGACAGTTGACTTTAAAAACCTTGATAAGTAGAGGAGTCAGTGGAGTGGAGAGGAAGAGAGAGGGGGGGGGGGGGGTGTCCTCCTCCAATACCAATAAATGTGCCCTGCGAGGCTCACTAACCCTAATAAATTAACAGAGAGAGGACGTAATATTTAAGGTTGATCGTAACGGTCGAAAGCCGGTAATCAGTAGACCTTAGCCGCTTGATGAGCAGATAATTTGTGGCGGAATTTGACCATGCATCCCCGCAAATGCGAGTGATTAGTGGCTGATGATAATATGTCGGCTTGGCCTGTTAGGAGTATCATATCATGTTTAATGGTGAATTTAGTGCATAATCGGCCATGGTTATAAGAAGGGCTTTTGCACTGTTGCACTCTTTTTCCATTGAGAGCTTATAACCAAAAATATCACATTTTCAGTACATGTTAGCCCTGTCTTTGTTTGAATCAAGTGCTGACAGCAATGTCATTCTTCTTTTTTGTAACCAAGCGTTGTTATGAATACAGATTTTCCTTTAATCATAATGATTGTTATTCTCACCATCCGGTCTTTAAAAGCAAAATATGCAAGTTGTACCTGAACTCCTAAAATATGGAAACATTTACCCTTTTGTTTATAAATATTTATTGTTTTAGTTCCAAAAGTCTTTATTGTTGGGAAGGGAAGTGGATGGGAAAGAGAGAAGGAAAGAGCCAGGAGACAAGTGGAGAGGGAAGGAGGGAGAGAGGGATGGTAGGAATGAGGAAGGTTGGATGGGAGGGAACAGAGGAAGGGAGGGGGAGAAGAGGAAGGAGATGAGAGGTAGGGGAAAGGGGAGGAGAAAGATGAGGAGGGGCGGGGAGAGAGGAAGAAAGGATGAGAGGGAAGGAGGAGGAAGGGTAATAGGGTGATCATCTCATCAGTTATGTCATTACATCTTGATAGTTTTTTAATATTTTTTCTCATCAAAGGAGCTAAATCCATTGTTCCTTGGTCTTTGAAGCCTAGTAATCTCTCATTAAGCTTTCCATCAGTGACTCACTCTGTGATTTCCTGCAAGTTCTTTGTCAAGTTAAGGTGGTGTGGGCTGCCTGGCTAGTTACAAAAAGTTGAATTCTGAAGAAAAAAACAAATCATTCAAGCAAACACATTTGCAGAAGAATGTTAAAAAGTGTATAATCTTTTACACACAATCAGCATTAAATTTGATTTAATCCATGATTAATAGCTACCACTTGAATGACATGTCATAGAAAATGATCTGTTTCATGAAAAGATACAAGCATATGGCTCCGTAAACAATGCTTTATGCAATATTTGTCCTATATTTTCCTTTCTGCAATGACTTTGTATCATAGATAAGAAATTGTCTTTACTCTTATTACTGGGTTATTTCAACAGTTGAAAAATTAATTGTTCGTTCGTGTCTCCTTAGATCAAGATTAATGTATCTTGATCTTCGGAGTAGTTGCTACAACCGACCGTGTCAGACACGTTGCCCTGGGGTGCGAGATAGGACTCTTTAATGATCAAAGTAATTAGAACCCTAAGAAGGGGGCAAAGAACACTGCAAAATGTTTTTTTTTCCATTCCTGGGGTGTGATTCATCATTCAGATTTATTTTCTGAGATTTTCAAGAAATGACACGTCATTACCAAAACTCAGGGGGGCTCCCTTTAAAACATTCCTGACACTTCCAGAGAAGCAAGTTTCAAGTGACGGTATAAATTGGTTTTGATTGGCCTCTATCTGTGCGACCCTCTAACACTGATGAGATAAATTGGTTTCAATTCAGAGAATTACACGTTCATTGTATCTTGCTCAGTGTCGCTCTCTCCTATTTTTAACAGTATGAACATTCTCAAGTCAGAAGTAAGAACTAGATTAAAAAGTGGAGCATGCTACTGTAGTGTATTCAGTTCACAGTTACATTATTGTGAACAGTTATGAAGAAATAAGATTTAAAGTGCAACTTGGATAGCTAAGTATTGTTGAAGCATTTAATATGTGATAAAACACTTGTATGTTAAGTAATTTTATGTTGAAAAATATTTGTTAAAAAATAGCAATTGAATAAAGTATATGCAGGGCCCTCAGGGAGAACAGTATTAGAAGTGATGAGGCTACTCTGGTTAAACATAAACTACATGTATTATTATATTTTAGGATTTTAATGTATTATCAGCACAATAGACAGAAAGAACTACCAACATAACAAGCAAAAAAACAAAAAGAAAACCCAAATATAAGACAAACACATAGAACAAGCATCTTTATCTGCAAATATTGAACATTAGCCTAAACTCATATTTTTTGTTTTCACAGACGGTAAAAGGTCGGAAATATGGCATGGAACTGAGGATGGACAAGAATGAGGTGTACAACATCGCTGCAGAGAGTGAAGCCGAGATGGAGGAGTGGTATAGCGCCCTCTATAAGGTGATTGAGCAACAGAAAGCCGACTCCAACAGTGACAAGCAGAGTGTGTCTTCCATTGATGATTTAGATCAAGGTACGTGTACTTTGTGTTTGAATGATGATGGTGACGGTGATGATGGTGGTGGTGGCGCTAGTGGTGGTGATGATGATGATGGTGAGGAGGAGGAGGAAGATGATGATGAGGAGGATGAATGTGATATTGACGATGATAGGGAGGAGGCTGATAATGATGGTGATGATGATGATGATGGTGAGGAGGAGGATAATGATGATGAGGATGATGTAGGTGATGACGATTAGGATGAATGTGATGATGTTGATGATGAAAAGGAGGAGGCTGATACTGATGGTAATGATGATGGTGATGATAATGAAGACAACCAATGATAGTTCCGATGATGGCCACGATGATTGTGATGATGATTGTGATAGTGATGATAGTGATTAATTTGAAGTTAATGATGACAATGATTATGATGATAATAATGAAGATGAAGATGAAGATGATGGAAATGATGGTATTGAAGCTATCGTTGAAAATAATGAGTAGTAAAAGGTTATAATTAATTACATTTATACGTTATGGTATTGCTAAACAGTGATAATGAGGGTAATGACCAAACATTGATAATATTTCATTCAAAATCTATCTTGTTATTGCAAAATTTTAACATAGTTTCCACATGTACATGTATACACTTAGGTGCCCCTCCCCCTCTCCCCAATATCCTGACAAACATTCCATTCAGCTTTATGATTCTCTTAAGTTCATTACACCTGCTTCTGTAACGTCCACAGAATATGCCGATGACCTATCACCGACGGGAAAGCCAGAGTCCTTCATGCAAAGTCTGGAGAACAGCAAGCATCCGGAGCTTCAGAAGTACGCCAGAGAAACTGAACGAATGAACGCACAAAAGAGGAGAGAGAACAGACAGAAATTGTTCCAGCTCTACCCGCGCATGCAGGTGATTATCTACCGCATACATATACATGTACATAGTGTTATTTGGTACGGCTTGACACTCGGGATGTAGATCATCACAGTATTTGGAGTATACTGTATATGTTGTATGTGTCCATGTAATAAATGTTGACAATGACGTACCTAGTTTGTTCCCGTAGGCAACCAAAGCAGGCAAAGAGTTAATTGCAAACACCCCCACCCCCCAAAGAAAAGGTTCCATGAATTTGCATACGTACATTACCTTTATGTCTTGGGATTTCAAAAGAAAAAAGGCCTTCTAAATGAAAAGACTTTGAAAAATAAAAATAAAACAAATTGGAAGTAAGCGAAAACATGTTAATAACATGAGTATGCAGCCTTCAAAAATTGTAAATCCTTGGTCTAAATTGTTTGAATATAGTTTAGTAGCATCCCAGCGAGTGATTTGGACAGATCAAAGCAAATTTGCAGTTTGGGTGTACATGTATGCATTGATGGGGAAAATAACCAATGCTATATTTATCTGAAATCCCCTTGCTTGGTGTTAGCACCAAAGGTGTTATGCACCCGCAAGCACTAAGGGTGTCATGCACTGGCGAGAGCACCGTCTGTATGGTGTAAACACTCATGCTTGGTGTTAGCACCTAGGGTGTTATGCACCCGCAAGCACTAAGGGTGTCATGCATTGGGGAGAGCACTGTCTGTATGCCTGGTGTAAAAAACTGTTTCCCATTGTTTGTCATTACAGCATGGCGAGAAGTCTACAGGAGAGCCAGAGTGTAAACCTTATGAGGAAGAGTTTGGGAAACGCATTGTTGTAGAGGTGTCTGAACTGCTCTTCAGGTTATCATCAGCACTGAACACCATCAATGAGCCAACCGAGTCAGTGGAAAGAGGTGCTAAACTTTTCAATGTAAGTATCTTAAAAATAACACTTTCGTGTATTGTACATTCTGTTTGGGAAACGCTTTGTTGTAGAGGTGACTGAACTGATCTTTAGGTTTTCATCTGCACTGAACTCCAGCAACCGATCGACAGAGTTGGGGAACAGAATCACTAAATTTATCAATTTAAGTATCTTCAGAAGAACACATCAATGTGTTCTATATGTGCATCTAGTTCGGAAAACACTTTATTGTAGAGGTGTCTGAACTACTCTTTAGGTTATCGTTAGCCCTCAACTCCAGAAATGAGTTAACATAGTCAGGGAATAGGAAACCCAAATTTCTCAATGTAAGTATCTTAAAGCCAACACCCTTTTTGTGTTTTAGTTTTTAGTATTATAACAATACACCATTTACAAGATGTATAAAAGTAAAAACACTGAGGTCTGTATTCTGCTGAAATTTTATGCTGATGTTGGTTTGGACTGAATTAGTAATTCCTCTTATGCACCATGGAAAAAAAAGCATAAAAGATATGATATTTAACGTTGCACATCGTGCAGGTTATTCCTCTTCAAAAATTTAAATTGCAAGTCCATGGATAATGATTATTATATTCTATGTAACAGAGTATCGGAATTGTAATCATAATTAACATTGACTACAGCGTTTGTTTGCCTGAACATTACTTTCTTGTCAATTTCTGTTTCGGATAAACTACTGTTACATAATTGTCATTTATCTTAAACATGACAGCATAATTATCTTTACAGCAAAACAGTTACATATTTTTTTTGATTGATGAATATCATAAGTCTCAGTTGCATCTGATTGTTACTTTTATTTTAGCCTGAACCATTCTTCCTGACACTGGCTCTCTACGATGCCCGCAACCAGCGGAAGGTATCAGAGGACTTCCACGTCGACATCAACCCACCGCAGATCCGGCACATGCTGGACCGCTTCAACGACACGGGAGACGGTCCAAAGTCACCTAGAACCATCCCCGACGTCAGCGATCTGGACAAGAATTGGATCAAGAGCCCAAAGAAGGTATAGTTGCTGTTATACTCTGTTTTCCTGAAAAAGAAGGTCATTTAAAGCCCCTCTGCACTAGTTTGGCCAGGAGGTATTAGACCTCCATGCATGGTCACTGACAGGTGGTTATCTAATCAAATCAGCTCTCAAATATCATAAGAAAAGGGGTTCATGGGGAACCAATGGTCACCGCTTAGGCATTGTTTGCTTTATAGAGGGCGCAAATAGCTATAAGTAGTGCAGTGGGGCTATAAAGAAACTTGAAAGTGGGCTCTCATGGGGAGTTCAACACCCTTTGTTCGGCTGTTTACCCAATAACAGATGTTGTCAATTACCAGATTTGGCCTCCTGTTTTATGACCAACAGGCTTTATGTAATGCCTTGCCTTTTCCCCATAAAATGAAGTCATTATCTGACATTTGCATCACCCAAAGACTCTCCAAGAGACGAGGGGGGTATTTCTTGATTGGCCTACAGGTTTGCTGTGTCCAGAATTGTACACCCATTAATGGTATTTCCACCAAGGCTGGTGTCAGCGAATTATGACCTTCTGCACATGGAATCTGAGGACCCTCTTCCTTTAACAGAGAGGAGTTGGAGGACCATCAGATATTCTCTTGATGACCTGACTTCCTTGATGTTGCAGTTTGATTGTGCTATGATTATGATTAACAGAGAGCTTTTTAAGGCATGTACTGCATAGTGAGCATGAACAAATGTCTTGAAGGCACACCCAGTGGAGATTATGGCATCTTAATAGCACAAGGGCCAAAGCAGGCTCTCTATTATTTCATGTACTTATCTAACACTTACAGGTATATGTGTTTTTTACGAGCCCCCCCCCCCTTCCTCCGCCATGATGGGTCCACGAACAGTGACCTATCTTTAGAGCTTTTGATGATCCAGGGCCCCGTCTTACAAAGAGTTGCGATTGATCCAAATCAATCGCAAGTCCTCCAATTAATCACAAGTTTGCAGTCACCTATCTCTTATGTTAGCTGCGATTTGTTATCAATCGCAAATAAGAATTCTTTATAAGACAGGGCCATTAATGATTATTCTTCTAAATTCCAGGGTATCTTCACTGTAAGGCAGGCCCACTCTGAGATCTACCTTGTCGCCAGGATAGAGAAAGTCCTTCAGGGAAGCATCGCAAACTTCGCTGAGCCTTACACCAAGCCGGGTGACACGGTCAAGACGTGCCAGAAGGTCATGAAGCAAGCCAAGGTCTTCTGCAGTAGGATGGGGCAGTACCGTATGCCCTTAGCCTGGGCAGCAAGGTAAGTGATGGTGGTGATGATGATGATTCACAGCATTTGTACGGCGCCATATATCTTCTTTCTTTTTTTTAAATCAAAGGCGCAAGCTCCTCCAATAAAGTTAGCATTTAAATGTCTGAGTGAAGCTTTGAGGTGGTCCAGGTTGTCAATTTCCCGAATAGATGAGGGAGGGAATTCCACAGGCGAGGAAAAATAGAGGAAAAGATGAGTCCAGGGCGAAGATGACCATCAACGTCTTTCAACGTCTTTCTACACGATATCAGAATACTTTTACTTTTCTTCACTTTCCGGACTGTTTCTGACTTTCCAGTTTTGTGCTTCTGTAGAAACACACCGTGGTTTGACTATAATGCTTAGAGGATAAAGTACCCATCTCCAGAGGGGGATTTTTCCCATTAACCGTTGATCAAGCTTTAAAGATAAAGTTGAGTTCTGGTCATGCGATTGCATTGTGGAAGAAACGTTGTGGAATCGAAAAAGGTAGATCATCTAGCATATAAGTATTGGTGTTTACTGCAAGGTCCTGGAATCATCAAAATGATAAAAAATTTGGCCCAGTCTTGGTAAAGTTACAAGCATTGTACACAGAAAGATGTATATGGGACTACATGAACATGTGGCATAAAAATCTGTCCTGATTTTTGTGATGTTACATGCCATATTTAGAATATTAAGGCATTTGAAGAGCCATGCTTTTCAGGGAAATTTTTTGTATCTGATGTTTTCCCACACTTCCACGCTCACAAATTATTTTTCAACTCTTCCCAGAACTCAACCTTCTCTTTATAAAAAAAATCTTCTTTGTCCACATAGGAAAGTGTTCAAGTCTGACTATGGTGATCTGGACATGAAGGGTGACTTCATGCCTATCTACCGGCAGGAGAGCTCCAAGTTATCCAACGAGGATCTGCTCAAGTACCTCCATGATATCAGGAGGAACCCTGAGAAACTAGCCAAGCTGACAGAACTCCCAGGAACCATCAAGGTCTTCATGGAACCACACGCAAGAATGCTTAGCAGTAAGTGGTAATGGTGGTGGTGGTTGTGGCTGTGGTGGTGGTGGGGGGTGATGATGTTGCTGTTGGTGGTGATAGTTTTGGTGATGATGATGAGGAGGAGGACATCTGAGACTGTCAGAACTACCAGGAACCATTAAGTTCTTCATGGAACCACACGCAAGAATGCTTAGCAGTAAGTGGTAATGGTGGTGGTGGTGGTGGTGGGTGGGGAGGGGGGGGGGTGATGGTGTTGCTGTTGGTGGTGATGGGTGTGACGACGATGATGATGATGATGATGATGATGATGATGATGATGATGATGATGATGATGATGATGATGATGATAATAAGGAATCCTTAGAAACTAGCCAAACTCACAGAACTACCAAGAACCTTTAGTTCTTCATGGAACCACTCACAAGAATTCTTAGCAGTAAGTTAGTAATGGTGGTGGGGGTAGTGTTAGTGGTGATGATAACAATGGCACTACTTTGGTACCGATTTTGTCTAACAAGCCTTATTCTATAAATCTAATACAACATACATTCCTTTCTGGTCATTTCAGATTGCCTCACACCATCACTAATACCCATCATGCCTTGGCCGTCCGACCTGGCCGACCAGCCGACCTTTGAAATAGAAGAGTTCTTACCCGAGGACGGCAAGGTTGCCTACCCGTTCAGTAACTATGTCAACAACCTGTACATCTACCCCATACAGCTCAAGTATGATGCTCAGAAGACATTTGCAAAGGTAATGCATATTTTATTTCATTTGTTTATTTTCTCGTTAAGATTAAAACAATATGGTATAAATTTCAAAATACAAACATATGTAATTAGATACCTCATTATTAGTATGATGCCCAGAAGACATTTGCAAAGGTAATATATATTTTATTTCATTTATTAATTTTCACGTTAAGATTAAAACAATATGGTATAAACTTCAAAATACGGGAATATGTAATGAGATAACTTAGGTGGGAGGTTCATGAAAAGCACATAAATGGCTTGTTAAAAATGATCTTCACAAATTTTTCAAAATAAGACTTACTTTGCTACATAATCAACATAAAATAAAGATTACCCCCAAAAGGGAAGATAAAGCAAATAAAGAAAAGAAGGAGGAAACATTGCATGAACATTGACATTATATATTATCGGAATTTATTTTAAAGAATTTTCTAATACAGTCTTTTAAATTGGTTGATTGTCTTGCTATTCTTTATTGATTTAGGAAGGTTAATACATCAAACTGAGCCTTTATAGAAGATGGTAGACTGTGTTATCAAGATACAATTAAATGGGGGATGAATATTTTGGGCATTCGTAGTATGATTATATACAGGTGTAAAATTTATACAGGTGCTCGCATATTCTAACCTTAATTTAGTTCATGGTTAAGGTTTAAACTATGGAAATAGACCATGGTGTAAATTAAACTTCCTTTGTGAATTCAGGCCATGACGAGATGGCTTTGTTTTGAGCATTACCTTTATGATACTATTAATTCTAGGCCCTGTTTCATAAAACGTGTTATCAATAACAAATGCTAGATTCCTATGACCTAGGGTTGGGATTAACTGTTAATGTTTAGAGCATTGTAAAAAACTCCTGTTCAAAGGAGCTCGTTCTAGATTTATCGTTGTTGGAAGTTTTGTCACAGAAATTTCATATTTGCTATTATTATTTACATATACATGAACTCCTCAGTTTACTGGAGCTCTTTTGGAGCACTCCTAAACAAAATATGCCCACCGTTCCTATGTATCTTTTGGCAAAAACTGGTTAAGAGCATTATTACATACCATTTCAATCTGAAAAGCATATACATGCACATGTATCTTAAAGATGTCTACATTTTGAGCCATTCCTCTCACTTTCCAGGCCAGGAACATCGCCATGCACATTTAGTTCAGAGACTCTGACGATGAAGGGGCACAACCGTTGCGTTGCTTTTATGTTGCTCTTTGGAGCTCTCCTGAACAAAACATGTCCACCGTTCCTGGGTATTTTTTTCAAAAACTGGTTAAGAGCATTATTACATATCATTTTAATCTAAAAAGCATGTACCTGCACATGTACCTGCACATGTACAATGTATATACATGTCTACATTTTGAGCTATTAATTCTTCTCAATTTCCAGGCCAGGAACATCGCCATGCACATAGAGTTCCGAGACTCTGACGATGAAGGGGCACAACCGTTGCGTTGCTTCTACGGTAGACCTGGAGGAAGCCTCTTCACCTCGTCAGGCAGTGTGTCTGTACTGCACCACCAGCAGGTGCCGGAGTTCTATGAAGAGGTCAGTACACTGTAATGTTGTGTACCTGTGCATACTACTTTGCTGTTGTACAGTCAAACCTGTCTATAGCGACCGCCAAAGGGAGACAAGAAAAGTCTGTGGTCTTTATAGGCAGGTGGTCTTTCTGTACAGGTTTCCTTAGTACATGTTTCAAAGAGAAACCATTTTCAAGGTAAACAACAAATGTGGTCTTTGTAGACACGTGGTCTTTCTATACAGGTGGTCACTAAAGCAGGTTTGACTGTACTTGTATTTATAAACTATGGCATGGCCTAGAGGTAGGATGCTAGGGTGTGTCCGATAAACAGATCATATTACATGAATCAGCGCAGCAAGTGCAAAATTTTTCCAAAACGAGTGCAATCAAATGTCATTTTTGAGAGTTAACACTCTGGATGCGGTATATACAATAAATATTGACTGGTTATTTTTCAGTTCACGGTTGAAACTATAGCTCCTTGGTGATCTCAAGAATGCACTATGCCCCTTGTTTCAAGATCACTTGATAGGCAATAGTTTTGACCATGCCCAAAAAGCAGTTAATATTATGATAGTATGATAATTATGCTAATTTGTACTATGCTGTCTGTTCTGTGTCAGCTGTAGAAAAGTAAAACAAACAAGAACGTTTTCCACATTTCACAACATTTCTTGCTTTTTTCTGAACCCTTAGGTGAAGCTAGCCTTGCCAACACAGCTGAACAGCAAGCACCATCTACTGTTCCGCTTCTACCACGTCAGCTGCGAGACAGGCAAGGGCACCGTCAAGAAGAAGGAGACCGTTGATTCATTCGGTAAGCACTCTCCTCTTGCCTCTCCTTTTCCATTACATTCATTTCACATTCACTTGAAAAGGAAATGTGAAGATCTGGGCCCCGTCTCACAAAGAGATGCGATTGATCCAAATCAATCGCAAGTTTGCAATCTCCTATCTCTTTTTACACAGTTGTGATTAAGATCCGCAGTTCGAGTCCTGCCGTGGCACTAATGTCCTTTGGCAAGACACTGATCTACATTTGCCACACTCAACCCAGGTGATGTAAATGGGTACCTGGCAGGAATTAATTCCTTGAAATGCTAGTGCGCCGCAGTGGCTGCCTTGCTAAAGCCAGGGTAATAATCGGGGCAGCGCCAGGAGAGTCACAACGTGATGGACATGTGCGCTATATAAGAAGCCACCATCATTATTATTAGTATATCAATCGTAATAAGTTGCGATTAATATCATCTCTTTGTAAGACGGTGCCCAGGTAGCAAGAAAGATATGGAATAGAACTTATTGAATATGCTTCTTGTGTATCAAAAGATACAAGTGCCAGATATCCTTGTCCTGCCGCAATGATCGCAGACCAACATGGGTGTGAATAGTGGAAACGAGTTCCAATAGGGGCTATCATACAACTCTTGTCTATTGCTGAACACATTCGCCGACAATTCCTCCATAGGACGTTTGACACAGGCTCTGTCTGTGGTAAATTTCTAACACTAACCAGATTCCCAAATGCAATCTTGTGTCCCACATTTGTAAACTACACCTAACTCTAACCCAAAAGCAAGTAACATAAAACTCATTTGCAACCCAAACCCTTTTGCCCTATATTTCCTTTTTACGAAACTAACGCCCGGGGCAAGTATTGCTTGTACTAATATCTGATCCCCACTTTGCAGAGGTTTAAAAGTTCTCTACACACATTGCTGTTTGTGGATTTAATACACATTAAATGTCTCACAGTTTCGGTCAGGGGTGTGAATTTCTTTTGATGGATAATACACACTTTCTGTCTTTGTATCTATGTGGTAGATTTAGGATTAGCCTTACTTGACCGTTCATTATCTGTCATCTCAGATAAAGTTCGTGAGCTTTCATTTTCTTCCACAAAGACTTGATTTGATCTTTAATCATTAATGTGCTGTAGGTGGCTAATCTTTTCCAAATTTCAGTTCAGCTCACTCTATTCAACCTTTAAAATCATATATAGAAAGCATGTAATACAAAATAAGAATACAAATAAATGGTTTGGATGCCCCTAAAAGCCAAGGCTTGATGAAACAAAGCACCCAATCTCTCCTTTTTTAGATTCAACATTGATTCATACATTTTGGTGGATAAACTTTTCAAAATTATCTTTATCATGATGAAAAGCCTTACATTAGTTTTGATGTATGCTGATAACATCTAACTCTTTGTGAGATGTGGACAAAGTGGTCTAATTGACAATGTTGTATTTCCATGTAAGGCTGTTCATATTTACAGCTAATATTTCTTTCTTGTCATAACAGGCTATCATAATCAATACTTGTTTACAGTGATTGTGTAGTTAATTGCTTGGTAGTCTTATCTCAGTCTTATCTCAGTCTTATCTCAGGTGGAACTGTTTTATTCTCGAAATTTGTGTCATGCTAATGTTCTGTGTTTATTAATTTTTTGTCTACGAATGAAGCCCACTTTATAGACTGAGCATTTTGATCTTTAGCCTGATGAGAATTGAGAAGCATTTATCCACTGTATTTTCTCCTCGTTCTATTGTTTTTTTTCTTTCATTTTTCTCTTCTTCTCATCCCCTCTCTCACTAATCATACTGCCTCCCCTACAATTAAAGTGGAACCTCTGGAAGGTATTACCCTATCTGAACACAAGCTAGATGTTTGGCAATCACTTTGGACACTATTCTTTATTCATGTTTGGTTTGGGTGTTTTTTTAGTTGAGCCCGTACTGCCAAAGGAAGAGGAGTTTTGGGAAGTGATTGCAATAAATCCTTTGGCAAACAAGAGTTGGCAAAAGATGGATTCAATACGGAGATTCATAGACCCAAAAAGGAGAAATTGATTTGATATCCCACGTTAATCAAATTTCAAAGAGATTACCTTGTTTTCTGTACCGGTATTCACACTACTGATACATGCAATATATGATTAAAAGCTATAAAATGAAACAAAGTGTGTTTGGTATTGGTAATTTTGAAATAGTAATAAACTTCAGGAGAATAGTAATCATACTTCAATAAAAAAGAAAAGAAAATTACAATAACTTTTGAAGCAGAAATATCAGGTTTTGATATATGTATATATATGTTTTGATGTATACATACATATCATGGGTATTGGGTAAGGTTTTAACCGTTTTTAAACAACATTTTTAGAGATCATTATTCTCTTCCCACAACTCCACTTTAGCTTGGCTGTACAGTGTATTTTGTGTCTTTTGTCAATTTATCAATGTTGTTAATTTATTAATTGTATTTGTTTGTGAAGGAAAGAAGAAAATTAAATATTTAATTCATTTTGGGGTGCAGTAGAAGAGGAGTCTAAGTAGTGGGTGTTCAGGGGATGTACAATACATGTACTAGTCATGCAACACTTGGAAAAAACAAATGTGATAAAACACTGATCTTGCTACCAGTTTTAATTTGAAAATTAAATATTGTCAATTCAGAGTTTTTCTCTTGTACAAATACTCAATTGATATTGGAAACATGAGGGGGAAAATAAAAATGTATCTTTTTTTACTTCATTGTGCTGAAAAAGGTATCGATCTAGATTTGCATGAAAAATTGAAAACCTGTCTGTGTAAATGTCATTCAAATTCCAGTCCATGTACCTATCTCTCCTCGTCTCTTTATACATGTATATTTATAATTTTATTATGTTTTATATTTTTAAGTAAATTGTGTAAATATATTAATTCATAGTTTCATATTTGCTTTTTCTATTCTTAATATGTCTGTTTAAAATAGGATTTGTGCTACACCATCCCACCCCAACCACCTTTTACTTTAATTTTTTGTTACTTTATGAATTTAATATCTTTGAATCCAGTAACATTGCATTTGATTCATTCTATTCAAGATTCAGTTATTAATTCTTCCCAATATTAATTTTATTCCTCGCTTGTAATTTGGTTTGCTGTTCTAAAGCATGCCATTTTTCTAATTGTTATCAGTTCTTTTAAAGTGAATATTGTTACCCCCCCCCCCTCCCCCTCTACCCCTTATCCTGCCCTCCCACACGTTTGATGTTCTGTTTTAGTATAGACAGAAAGAAACATAAGAGGGAAGGGTTTCTTTCCAAATGTAATTACAATTATATATTTCTACTTGGGACATTTGATGAAAATGTGTAAATGTGTATGAGCATTGATGGATCAGATGAACTTTAATTCAGATTGAAATAAAAAGGCTTAACAATGCATGTGAAGGACTTGATAATCATAATGATTTGGCAGTTAAATGAGGCTATATATCAAACTCAACTGTTTTATGTTTTCTTCTTCTAACTTTATAAACAAAACTTATAATTTCTGTTTTTAACAAATATTTGCTGGCTTGGCATTTTAAACATTTAATTTAGTAATGTGATCTGGTGTGGGTGACACACATTTACATGTATATAAGGAGGAAAGTTTACCTTTACACATGTTTTGAGGGCAATATAGTTTATAACTTATTTGCCAATTTCTTGTTTATTTTTCTCTTGCAGTTGGCTACTCATGGATCCCACTTCTAGATAAGGCGCAGTAAGTATCAGGATTCTAAAACTGGAATATGTGAATATGTCGATTGCCAGATGTTTAGTATTGCTGCGTCGAATCGTACATGAACTTATCTTGTGTATAGGTTCATCGTACATAGATGTACATGGTCTATCTATAGCAGCTTTTGAGCTTTTGCTCATGAATTATTAATACTATTATGTCCATGAGAGAACATGTCTTTTACTTGTGTATTGGAAGTTAATTTGGTCGAAATTGTCCAAATGTGTTAGTATAGAGATACAGTGTATGTGTAATACTCAAATCTATAAATTCATGAAATCAGTGCAAAAACAAATATTTATAAAACCTATTGCAACACATTTTAAGGAATTTGCAAGGGAGAGGTGGTGCACCCCCTTTAATAATTGTTGGTACTGAAATAATAATACTTATACTAATAGCTTGTTTTTATATAGCGCTTTTCAGGACAGCAGGCCCTCTCAAAGCGCAATACAGATATATATTATTAAATAGAAATGCGTACAAATTGATGTCACTGTTCATTCCATGTCATTTTAAATCATTTTATTTCTGTTATCACATAGAAAACTGAACAATGGAGAGATAACCGTTCCAGTGGCTGCATCCATGCCTAACGGATACTTGTCTTCTAAGGGAGGTCAGGGAAAGGTGAGGAACACTTCATAAAGGGATCCAGAGGGAGGTCACAGGGGTTTGTACCCTATCCCTTTCCCCTTATTTTAGAATTTTCTTGTACCTATTTATTTATTCATTAATTCATTCATTCATATATTTGATATTTCATTTATTCACTCATACATTCATTTATTTATTTGTGCATTCATTAAATACTCACTTATTCATTCATTCATTTATTCACTCGCTAATTCATTAATTCATTTATCCTCTCATTCCTACATTGATTCATTTATTCTTCCATTCATTAACTTCTTGTTAATTCATTTATTCATTCATTTATTCATTCATTCCTTCATTCATTCACTTCTGGCTTATTTTACACAATAAATTCAGGATTATTATTTTTTTTAATAAATACAAGTGACTTACTTTTCTTCATGGTAGTATTTCACTTTTTGAATACATTATAGAAGTTAAAAAGTCTGTCCAAAAAGCAAAACAGTATCGGGGATATGCATGTACAGGTACAGATGTTTTCAGGTGTGTTATTTAGTGGTAAAATAAAAAAATAGAGCATGATTTTGAAGAATTAAGTTTTTTGGATGGGTTTCAGAGATTTATTTCTTTTCTCTCTCCTCTTTCTGTCCCCTCTCTCTCTCTTTCCATTTCTTTCTGCCTCTGTTGTTTTCCTTTATCCTATCTTTACTCTGAATTTGTCATCATATTCCCTCTTTTGCCCCCTACTTGTTTAAACATCTCACCATTTTCATCCCTTTTCTTTAATCCTCCATCTCTTCTTCCATCTCTCTCCTGTTATCTTTTGTTTTTCATCTCATGCATTTGTCAAGTTAATTTTCTTTGTGTCTATCCCTCCTCTATCACTTTTTTTAATGTTATATACGTATTTTACAAATCAAACATTTTCATCCAATAATTCTCAGATACATTTTATCAAGCAAGTCACATTACAGTGTTCACTTAATCTTTTCAGCACTAAAACAGTCCTTTTTCATTATTGAATCATCCAAGAGCTGTATTCTTAAATTGATGCTATCTTTTATGTCAGGGAAAATGATGTTAGTTGCCATAACATACTTAAAATGCTAAAAAAAATGTTACCTTTGGTGCTTGCGCAGATGTCTTTTTACGAAAACGTAGCCCGCTTTTGCGCAGACATCAACCAATGGCTAGTCCGGGGGGGGGGGGGGGGGGGGGGGGGGCGTTTCACAAAACTTGTCATCAGTGACAAATGACAATTTTTGTTATAAGCTAGTGAAATCCTTGCTTCTGATTGGTCATTAACAGATTTGGCACTGATCTTTGTCCTGTGTCATTGAAAAAAGGCTTTGTGAAACGGGTCCCTGATTTTGGATGTTTTGACTTTTAACATTAACATAAAAGATAACATCGTTTTCAGAATACCACCCAGTCCTTCTCATTTCATAATCATTTTCTTTACAACCTTTCCTGCCCAATACACGATGCATGTAGTCTACCAAAGATCAATACTCTGCATCTGTTTTGGGCCCTGATCTAATATTCAACCTCATGGTAAGGTTTTTCTCACATGCCCTCCCTCACCTCCCTCCCTTCCGAAACCTTGCTTTTTTAAGTTTTGCATTTGATGCAAATTTGCAAGCTCTGCTAGAATCAGCTGGCTCCCAACTATATATCTACAGTAGTTGTGGACTGTGAACCCCTTTGCTTTGTGAGAAAGGAAAGAAAATTAAAGAGCATATTATTACCTTATGAGCGAATGAATATGATTTCTTAAGTTGTTGTTGGTTTTTGCATCTGACACATTTTGACTACATTTATAGCCAGCCACTCTTCTTCTGCGATGGAGAATGATTTTTTATTATTTTTCATTTTTGAGTAGCAATTGAAGTGAATTTGAATGATAATCTAGGTTAGAAATCAACTGTAAAGTACATGTAAGTACATGCACAATGTATGTGTGTGTGTTGTGTGTATGCAATTAGGATATGGATTTGAATAAACATGTACAATTTACCTACACTGTAGCTGCAGAAATCCCTTATTGCAATTTTAATAACTTGTAACCATGCCTCATGTACATGTACATGTATGCTTATAAATAATAGAAATATGATTTCATTTGAATTTTACTACAATTAGAATACACCTGTTTACGAAATGCTCATGGTTTTTAGAAATATAGGGTAGTGTCTGGTGCAGAGTTTTAAGAAAAAAATGTAGAATAATTAAGTTTATTCTGTATGGTGATGTATTTTTATAAAAATGCAGAAATTATCTAGCAGTTAGACACTTTGATTGACATAATAATGATATCTTGAACATATTGTTTGTCTTGGAAAAATTCTGTGGAAAAAAAATTGCTCCTCCCTCCTGTAAAACCTTGTTCTCACAAAAAAATGCTGCATAGCTAAATAAACCATGTTATGTTAGTGGAATTGAGAGGCAATTTAATGTTGGTTAAAGATGGTTTGTCCCTTTTACAGACCTAATAACCAGAAAATCCATTAATCTAGTTGTATATTGAAGAGGTTTGTTATTAGGAGCCTCCCACCAAAAAGAAAAATGGAAACTGGCTTTCAACAAATTGAATTTAAATGTTTAACAACCATTATATCTGTTGATTTGAAATAACACCCTCTACAGCAATATGACATCAACACTAGATTTTTTATTTATGACAAAGATGTTTCAGAACCTAATGTACGACTGTAAAATTTCACACATTTACATGATTCATGCAACACTCACCAGCTTTTATAGAAAAGGGTAGTACAATTTTGAAAATATTTCTTACTTCCTTGTTGTCTCATCTTTACTTTTCAGACTCCAGAAGTGAAGTGGGTCGATGGAGGGAAACCTTTGCTCAAAGTGGATCTCAAACCAGTCACAACCATCTACTCAACAGTAAGCTTTATTTTAAAGTTTTCTGAATTTCTGGACAGTTTTTTCATAGATCATATTGTACCCATTCAAAAATTATGGGGAGAAAAAACTGTTCATATGTACATGTTAGCCAGTGAGCATGTTTTTTTGAGACACCTCTGAGGTACAATAGTACTGTGTTGTCTAATGAAAGTTTATTTTGCATTTTTCTAGCAATGCTCTCTTATATATCTTGAATGATGCCTTGTTTGATAGAGAGAGGGGAGGAGAGAGAGAGAGAGAGAGAGATGAGAAAGAGAGAGGGGAGGATAGTTTTGAGAATACACATAAGTGAGGGGAGCAGTATGCTTTTAGGATAGGCTAAATTGGAGATTGGGACAAAATTGGAAAGTAAATAATGTAGAGCTCATAGGACAAGGTCGGCGTGAAAAATGCCATAAGGATCGTTCTCTGTGTGTTACTTGATGGCTGTTCAGTACCCACTTCTTCTTGTACACCTTTGTGTCCAGCAGGGTTGATTCTCATATCTTCTTTTACCTGTATACAATTTTGTTTTATTCTTCTGTTTTAGGACCCACACCTACACAATTTCTTCCAGCAGTGTGAGGGATGGGACGGATCGCAGAAAAGCTGTCTAGAAATCATAACCTGCGTTAAGGTAAGTCGAGACGGCTTGACAAGTAGTGATCTTCACTAATGATGGTTGTTGTTGTGGTATTGATTGTGGTGAAAAAGATGAATGGTCATATTTGGTGGTGGCATTTTTTAAAATGGTAACAGTGGTGGCAATATGTAGTGCATGATGATGATGATGAAGATGACAATGGTGTTCATGATGATGAAGGTGTTGATGATGGTGGCAGTGGTGGTGGTAGTGGTGGTGGTACTGATGATGGAGATTGTGATAATGGTATAATGATTATTATGGTGAGGATGGAGATGATGATCATCATCATCATAATATTTATATTTATGGTGATGATGATGTTGAGTATCACTGTCAAAATTGTAGTGACAATGATGATGATGATGGATTGTTAGTTGTGATGATGACACTTAAACACTTTTGATGAGATACAGTGATGATAATAATAAGTAATGTTCATGTTCTCATTTGCTGACAGGCTATGCATGCTGTGGAGCCAAAGACATTCATCAACTTCCTTCCAGTAATCATGAACAAACTCTTCGGCCTCCTACCAGTCAGCTTAGTCGATGAAGTCCAGCTTAACATTGTCAGGTAATATCCAATTCCTTCTCTCATTGGTGACCATAATAATCAAAAACATTAAATCAGTTCATAACAGTTCAGAAGTTTCTTTTGAATACATGTATATCGCTTTTTCCTTTTCAAAATGGCACTAGTTATTCTTATTTTCAACACCTTCATTTCATATATGATTAAATCATTCTTATAAATGCATTGTATGATGCGTTACTCGTAGCATGCTGGATCTAAGATAATTTAAAAAGAAAGTCTCTAAAAAGGAGACATTCAACTACTAAAAGTTAAAGTGTATTTAATTTTGTTTTGTATTTATCTCTTGAAATGTCTCAATTTGTTAAATTTCTGAATTAGCATCTTACAATTGTTTTTTTTAAGAGGTCAAATTGGATCATCTTAAGTGTGACCTTGCATAAAAATGATCTTACCTGAATATTAAGCATAATTTTCTAGTATATTTACACGTTGTGTGAGGAATATTCAATTAGCGCATTGCCTCTAGGAACCTGGTGGTCCCTCTATAAGCCTATGGGGTCAGAGAATTCAGTAGTCATCGGGTTAACAAATCATCTGTCCGCCATCTTTTGATTCTATTTCTAGGCTGATCATCTTCATGGTAGCACAAATCCAATCTGTGAACAGAGAGGACGTTCTGCGCTCCTACGTGAAGGTAAGAATGCTATCAAAGAATAGACAAGACAAGGCTCAGAAATTCTTTGCAGTAAAAAATGTGTATCCACAATGTGATGGGTGAAAGAAAATCTGAAATAATTTCCAGTCGTTATTTCATTTGATGAAGATGAGTTTGCAGTCAAACTATATCCAGTCTTATGTTTCCTTTGCTTTTTAAGATCAATCGATCTAATATTTACTGGGTGTAAGCCACAAATATGTTTAAATAATGTCTAAAATTTGTTTAACGCTAAAATCTGATTGCATAAATGGAAGAATTTTCAAAGTTAATACTTATACAAATTGTATTGTGTGAATTAAGGAAGCCTGGAATGGTGGTTAGTTGCACTTGAATCTTACAAACATGTTTTTTATTTTTTAAAATTGTACCCAGCAAATACAATGATTTTTTTTAACAACTGTTAGTATCTGAATTATATGCATTCAAGCAACTAGAAGGTGTAACAATCTGAACTTTATTGTTCCTGATCTTTCATCTTACTTTTCTTTTTCACCTGTACATGTAGCCTTTAAATACTTTGAAATTTTCATCAGCATGTGAATTACATGTATTCTAGTGACTAGTCATGTAACTGTCTAAAACTTGCATGTTTTAAAGTTACAGTTGTAATGTTTTTAGTGTACCTTTATTTCATGTATCGTGCTAACATTTTGTCTTTTGTCCAGTACGTGTATGAGACGGTGAGAGAGAACGAGATGAGTCGAACCGTCCATGAGGAGCTGGTCAAGAACCTGGCTGCATCGCTACGTCCAAGCATGGACCACATGGTCATTAAGAACCTTATGAAGGTGGGTGAAGGCTGTCATTACATTTTTCATTTGATTTGTTTCTTTGATGATCTTTGAAGAATTGCTTATATCTGTACTGTACTTATATGTCTTTAAGTGTAGAAAGAAGCTAATTTCTAAATGATTGAGATGATTATGACGTCATACATTTTGGTGTTGTTTTTTGTCGTAGTTGTTAATGATGATGATGATATTGGTGATGGAGAAGATGATGATAATGATGATGATGATGATGATGATGATGATGATGATGATGATGATGATGGAGATGATGATGATGATGATGATGATGATGGTGATGATGATGATGATGTAGATGTTGATGATGATGATGATGATGATGATGATGATGTTGATTATAATCATAGTATGATGATGACGATCATGATGGGGATTGTAACGATGCTGATGATTGTTGTCATGTACACAATTCCGAACAGTATATGAGAATAAGTATTAAGCAAGTCAGGGAAAGCTCCTTCATCTTTATTTCCTTTCCCTTATTCCTTGCAGCATCTTTGGTTCTTCTTTGCGATTCTTATCAAGAGTATGGCTCAGCACCTTATCTTGTCAAACAGACTTCAAGCTCCCAGACATCAACGATTCTCTACCAACTTTGAGACTGGTATCAGGAACTTGGTCCAGGTAACATGATTAATTTCAGCTCCATTTTATAGGTGCTTGTGAGGTGTCGCAGTTGAATGGTTTTATAGCACTTGACTTCAAAATCAAAAGTCTTGGGTTTGATCCCCAACACGACCCTAATGTCACTTGGCTTACTTTATAAGTGTACACATGCTTTCTTAACATAACAGCCAAGTTAAACAGACAAAACCAAATCACACGTCCAATGGACAGTATGATAATGGGAGGCTTTTAGATCAATGCAGATCAATTGCAATTCTTTACTTGTCAGCAGAAATGTGAACATTGCATTTGAAGTATGGTATAATATTTCTCTGATTCATTCTTTTGTTTTCAGGCTCTGTTGCCTCACATCCGTCAGAAGCACAAGGAGTTTCCACAAGAAGCGAAGGATGCAAACTACAATTTAGCGTTCTTCATCAAGGTATGATCAGTCAGACTCCTAACTTTTCCATTGTTGTTTAGTGGGAATAGAATCCCTTGTGGCGTAAAGATAAAGTTGAGTTCTGGTCATGCAGCTGCCTTATAAAAGAAACTGTTCAGAAGCAACAGGGAAATTTGATAATTGATGCAAATTCTAATGTTTAGAATTATCTGTTTCCTCTTCTTCCTGGCTCTCTCTCTCTCTCTCTCTCTCTCTCTCTTTCTCTCTCTCTCTCTCTTCCCCCATACTCTCTTCCTCCCTCCATTTTCTACTAGGTTAATTTTTCTTGTCTTTGTTGCTCACTGTCTGTCTGTCTGTTTGTGTGTGTGGGTATGTGTGTGTGTCTCTCTCTTTTTCTCTGTCTTGCTATCTGTCTCTCTCTCTATCTCTTCTTTCTCTCTCTCTCTTAGTCTCTCCTATCTCTCTCTCTCTCTCTCCTGTCTCCCTCTTTGTTTCTCCTTGTCTCTCTCTTTTACAATGTACATGAATCTAATACTGTTTCTTTCTGTCTTATTCTGCCTGCCTGCCTGCCTGCTTGTTTCTCAGTCTCTGTCCCTCTTTCTCTGTATACCCTCCTCATACATAATATCAAGGGTTTAGTGACACAAAAAAACGTAACTCCATATTTTGCTGAGAAGAGTATTTGATATCAAAATCTTCAGAAAAATGTGGGCTTTCCAGGAATCACAAAGACTTAACTCCACCCAACACCCCATTGAAGTCAATGGCTAGTGAAACATAGACTTAACTCCTTAACGCTCAGTGACACATTAACCACTTTTTCTTAAAATGGCCATAATGGAGTTACGTCTTTGTGTCACTGAGCCCTCAATATCTAATTTTGTTTTATCTCACTTTCTCTCTTTATTTGCGTGTATCAGAACTGCTTCACCTACATGGACAGAGGTTTTGTGTTCAGATTGATCAACAACTATCTTCAGTTCTTTGATCCAGAGGACCCAAAGGTATGTACCAACGTAAACATTATTCTCATTCTTACTCTTAAAAGACAAAGTGTTCTGCCGATCGTGCTGCAGCAACCTGTATTCACAGTGCTGATATACCATATGCATGCAGTGTAGTTGGCTTCCAACTTATCATATGGATCCAAATACAATCTTGTAAATTCTCTAGACAGTTCTTGGACACTGTGAAAAAGGTGTTTAAAAAAGGGTTTTATGAAACAAAGAAAAAACATTAAACATGGGGATAGAAAAAAATGTGTCAAGTACTTTGAGGATGAAAGAAAGGAGAAGGAAAAAACTTGAAAATTGACTATTGTTTGTTCTAGCCTCTGTTTGAGATGAAGTTTGAGTTACTGAGAGTTGTCTGCAGCCATGAGCATTACATCGCCCTCAACTTGCCGCTAACCAAGAAAGGTCAACAAACAAAACAGTTCAAAGGTTAGAATTTATTTTGACCTCCTCCTTCTCCTCCTCTCTCTCCTCTTCTCTCCTCCTTCTCCTCCTCTCTCCTCTCTTCTACTCCTCCTCATACTCCTTCTCCTCCTCCTCATACTCCTCCTTCTCCTTTTCCTCCTTCTCCTTCTCCTTTTTCTCCTCCTCCTTCTCCTTCATCTCCTTCTCCTTCCCCCTGATTTTCTTCTTTGTATTCTTTTTACTCTCCTTCCCCTCTTTCTTTGTACCTCCTTCCTGTTTTTGTTTTCTTTCTCTCTTTCCATTTTCCTTTATTAACAGTTTTATTTTCCAATCATCTTATGACAAATTTTTGTAATCAATCATCATTTTAAGGAAATGAATGACCCCTTTCCTATTTCCTTTCCTGCTTTTGCATTTAAGCCAAAAAGATAACAAGGAAAATGCCATTTTTCTTGTTTTTTTTTCTAGTAAAATCTTTTCTTTAAATCTTCCATTGAACAATCCCCTAAATGGCAACTTTACAATGATGTATTGCCATGGGATCTTAATATGTGGAAAAATCAAAAATAGAAGAAATCATTCAATTTAAATATCTAATTGGATTGTTTCCTATTAAATCCATGGACTTTAATGTACCTTTTATCAATTTTCTCATGATCTTTACTGATTATTCCCATCAAACAACTGATGCTATTTCATCATTTATATAAACACATACACTTTTAATTACTTTCTAATACAATAGCATGTTTAACTTATTTTCTTTCTCCATGTAAATTTCTCACTTATGATACACTATATGTTAAGAAAAGTTTATGCATTGAAAATGTATTGCCCCCAACAAGATTGTTTTTTAAGAGAATATGAAAAAAATAGACAGTATCAAGTATAAACTCTTTATATTTTGTAGGAAATTTGGTAAATTGTGAAGTATAAATTTACACCAATAAAAGTAACTTTAGTTCTCATTTAATTTGATTTTAAAAAGAGCAGGCACCAGACAATAAAATACTTTTAAAAATTAATTAAAATGTTCATAGAGTTCACAGTTTTGCTAATAGTTCAATCCATTTTTGACAAACCTATGAATAACCAATTCCTGAACAATTCCTGAACATTCCTGAACAATTTTTACAAAACTTGTACATTCTTTCTCTTACATGACTATATGTCTTTCGATTCTTCAAACGTACATCCACATGTACTAGTAGATGTCAATGTCTTAACATTATAGTCACACTTAATACATGAATGTACACACTTTATTTAATATTAATCTTAACATTATTTGTCTTTAACACACTCACACGTTTTGACATACATGTAATTACAGTAACATTCACTTCCAAGTCAAATTATAACTAATCGATACATTGCACTTCTCTTTGTGTGTTTGTTCATTCTATCTATCCACACCTCCTCTCCACCTGATAACCTTCCATCCGACCTTCTATCTATCACTCATCTAACCAACCAATCAACAGTGGCTGGCTCAGCTGTACAGAGTGGTATGTAGAATGTGCTCTCTTCTCTTCCTTCTCGTTTCTTACCGTTCAAATCCCCCACCTTCCTCAAATTGTCCTTTTCTCATTGTTAAATCGTCTGTTGAGTGCCAGAAGGGTATTAAATCATTGTTGAGTTAATGCCCTTTGGCTCTTCGGAGGCCAATGTGTTTGTCAATAAACGTAAATGTGTGTTGTGTAAATGCTGTGTGTTCTGTCGATATCTTAATTTGTTTTTCTTTCTTTCATTCAGATTTTGTAGCTTCTTTGTGCATATATATGCTAATGTGTTCTGCGTATAGGCTTCAAAATATGATTTGTGCCAATACTCTGAAGAGGCATATGGTTTGGGAATATACTCATGTATCATTCAGTACAATAGGGATGAAGAGGAATTGATGTTTACTGAATTTCTTATGATTGTTCATTAGACAGAAAGGTTCATTATTTATTGAAAATATATTGAAAAGTATGATTGTAATGTTTGGTTATTTTTTTTGCAATGGGTTTGTGGAAAATATATATCCCTTGAAATTGAATGATATGCAATCATTTGGTCTCATTGTGTACTTATCATTTATTCTATCAATGTTGATATTGAGCCTGAAAGTAGCTCAAAAAGTGTGGTTCATTAACATGCAGCAACACGGTATTTGGCATTCATGGAAAAACTATTTACCTTATAAAACAATACAACAAAACCCATCCCAAATCATAAAAATAGAATAAATGAGCTACATTGTCCAGCTTGTACCTGTCAGTGTCTGTGTAATATCCATTCTCATGTGTATTGTCCAATTTGTTTTTCATAAATCTCTTTTCTACGTGTGTATTTCTTACTATTATCCATCTACATGTATGGTATCTTCAATCTTCACTTTTACAATCCCACAACATTGCATCCCTCATATATTTGACAATTTCATCTCTTCGTAATATTTTCCCAATCATAACTTTGATCAAGACATCATGTGGTGAATGCGGTGATGCTAGATTTGGAATGCCATGGTACATTAGCAGTCATTTTTTTCTTGTCTTTCTCTTTGTACGTTTGAGTTTCCCTTTAGAGCATTTGAATTATTTCCCTGATTTTGTGCAATCTTTGATGTCATAGAGTGCCTGCTTGATACTTTGATAAAAACCCAAATGACTTCCAAATTCAAATTATATATTTTGTTAATAGAAATAATAATATTCAACCAAGCATGGTTTTCAAATTACTATGTGGGGTTAAATTTTGTTGAATATCTAGAAATGATGGCATACTAGAACATTCATTTAAAAACTTGGTATCAGATTCTCCACTTACATAAAGTAAATTACATCTTAAGAGTTGTCAATGATTTTTGTGCACAGCAGTGTGTATGTAAGATGGTGTACATGGTGTTAGCATTTTAAGATAATATATGCTCAGCACTCTTTTTAGCATTCTTGCTTCATGTCTTATGATTGATAATTCGTTATCATTTACTAAAATATAGTTATTATCTATTTATTATTTCTTGGTTTATATACAAAGTACAAGAATTGTTAAAGCATGTCATATTATTCTATAAGTCCTTGCCCTTAATATTACTACCATATGGTATCAAGAGAAACTATTTTGGCCCATGTTTATTTCAAACTAGAAAATGTGAGTCAGGTAATCACTTTCATGCGGGCCCTTGCTCTTCACAGCTACCCCAAAGAATAAATCTTCCTCCAAAATCACTGAAGCTTGACATTCTGAAATTACATTTATCCAATCTGATGTTCTTTATTTGAGTTTATTGTTTTATGCATGAATTTTTTTGTCTTGTTTCTTTTCTTCCCCCGCCCTTCCTTCTTGTTATCTTTCATTCTCTTCATCCCTCCCTCCTCACTCGCAGTGGGAGGAAGAGCGAAAGCCAATCAGAAACCTGCTCAGAAACCCAAAGGTAATTTGAATAATGAAAACATGACAATGCTACGCTAGCTCTTGGCTGGTTAATACAGAGGGGTGGAAAACAGTTTTGTGAGGCCTACCTGCAACATAACACAAGCTTTAACAAAGAAAAAAAGAAAAGAAACGTGCATGGCAGCTTACATGATACACACACGATTACAATCACATAAAGATACATGAGCACCAGATTACTTTTGTTGTTCTTCTGTTGAGAGTCGAAACTGTGTTCAACATTGATTTTTGTTCAATGATATGGGCTAGCACCCTCATAGTTCATAGCAGACAAATTACTTTTTTTTGTTGGGAGCCTTTTTGTATAATCTATTAAAAAAATGAAAAGAAAACAACCAAACGATAACATTATGGTCGATGCAATTACATTTTTACAAGGAGGGGATAGGCAAGAGCCATATCAACAACAAAAATCCAAAATGCTTTTCATTCACGAGCAATCATTGCTCTCTCTGCTCTCAAGCACTTTTCACATTGATACACACCCACATGCCCACACGCACATGTACATTCACATAAACACACACATATTTTAAGTGGTTGCATGCTGAGGTAGGTTGAACTACAAGGGACTGAGCTGAAAAGAGTCAATACAGTTTTAGTTGTAATCGAGTGCAGTGACACCCCCTCCCTGCACCGGTCCTTTTCCCCTTCACTCACCCCTGCATTTAATGGAGACCCTGCAACTCCACCCTATTCCCAAACCTTAAACATTGCTTTAACCCTTGTCAGGCTTGTGTTCTTGCAGTGCTGCTTTCTGTTCTTGTCTACCTGGCTGAGCGTTTTCATATTCTTTTTCTTCAAAATCTGTTTTTTTTTTAAACTGAAAATTTCATCAAATTCATAACTTTCAATTGATTCAATCTTTTGGCTAGAAACTCTATACATATGGGAACAAATATATTTCTCTGCAAAACTGGTAATGGTCCATTGTTTTCTGTCTCAAATTCCTTCTGACATACATCAATGGTTTGTCTGCATTTCTGTAAGAAGATTTTCAATTCATGACAAAAAAAAAGTGTTATTCCATAAACAAATTGGATATTAGATATAAATGCCATATTTCATGTGAATATTTTTGCACATTGAGATTAAGTATGATCATTACTTGAAGAAAATTCCCAGTTTATGCTTCGCAAAGATCTGTCTATTTATGACCCTTTTTCCTCATCTTTGTGTGATGTTTGTTTGAATTCTGTCATTTTGTTATGTAAGTTGAGCTTTTCTTAAATTTTGAAAATGGATTGCATCAGTTGCTCACATGGCTACTAGTATTCAAAGGGTGATGCCTATGCTCGAAAGATGAAAATATTCTTCATTTGAAAAAATATGATGGTCATCAAAAGAGCCCAAAAATGCAGCATTTTAAGGAGTACAGTGGAATGTTAAAGACTATTAGTATTTCTAAAAATCGTCTACCAATCTAAAAATAATGCTTTAACAAAAATTCAAATATCTTATTTACATAAAATAATATGCTGGCTGCAGAAAAAATGGATTATATTGCAGAGTCATAGGAATGCTTATAAGTCTGACCAATACATGTATGCTGTTTGTTCAGGGAAAGAAGGTCGTAAGATCATGAGGCATATTTATGTGTACAGGCTACATGGAGTCACTGCTTTGGGCATCTGAGCTTATGATATATTATATAATCCTACAAGTATACTAGCAACGGGGGATGATGGATGCAGTAGCAAGTCATATTGATCCCAAATCCTAATCTTTGCTTAAGAAAGCTTTTGCCATTCCAAAGTAAATTTGTGTGTACGACAGTGGTTATTATTATTCACACAGAGGATGTACATGTAACGTTATATTGTCTTTGATTTAGATTCAGAAGGGCGCTCATCCACATCGTTTTAGAGAGTTGATACCCTTTTTTGCTCCTAACAGATGAAATAATTCCTCAAAGAAAAATCTCTAATCTTTAAGCACAATGCTTCCTTTATAATTAAATATATATAATTTTCTTGTCAGAAAAAACTATTATCACTGAATAAGCATTTTTTCCAGCCATTTATCTAAAAAAAGGAAAACTCATTATTTTGAAATCTATCATTTTCCAGTGTGATTTACTGGAGTATAATTATCATGAATGATGAAGTTACATGTACATTTTATGTGTGGATATGTATATGTGTTCAATTTTTGTCTCTTATACATGTGCAAAGAAAGCAATTTGTAAATGTGCAAATTTTATTTTTGCTCCTGTTTTGTCAAACATGCTCAAGCTGATTTGCTCAGGTATAATCAAAAGTAGTTTCAGGAAAGAATTGCTGAACTACTTGCCATTTTGTCTGCTCCCAATGCTCTCTTGATTAAATTGTTTTTTCTGACAGATTAATTTCAATTACATAAAAATGGAAGAAATATACACATTATAGATTATTTTCCAAGAACCTTTCACAATTTCAATAATTTAGTGATATAAATTCCATTTTGTACTTTATTTAGTGAGCATTAGATGCAAAATTCAACTTCTTAATTTGAAGAGAAAAAATTCTCACTATCAAATACTTGCAATCTCAAAATGTACATGATTGTAGCTTCTTTTGTAGGGCCTTTTTGAAAAAAGACTATTTTTCAACCAATACAAAAAAAAAATAATCTCATTTTGAAGAGACAAAATACCTGCATCACCGCTGATAATTCTGTTGATTATGTGTTTATTCAAATCAGCTTGAGTGTGTAAATCCTGCCGAAAGCTTTAAAAAAAATTGTCATCACATTTTGCGCTTTTTATGTTTATCTGTGCCTGTGTTTTTACAGTTGAATATAGTGACGATTGTATGAGATGTGTGCACTGTCTGTTGAAAGCCAGAAGGGCGTTAATGCTGTCTAAAGTACACTGTATGCTAAGGCCCTTTTGGTTCTTGTGTTGTGTGATTTTTTTTTTCTTTCATGATTTTGTTTGTAATGAATTTATATTGGCCTAATCAATCTTTGCACAGTATTCAATGTCCTGAAACAGATGAAAAATGGTAGGTGAAGAGATTTGAGCACTAAAAAGTTGTTTGTTTCACAGAACTTAAATCATTATACTAAATGTTAACCATTCACTAAAGAGCAAGTAAATCAATTAATAAATCTATATCATTAACTTTAAAGCAAGTAGAAATAGATGCAAATGTGTATGCCATGTTATAGCACTTTTGATAAATATTGCAAGTAACAGAGAATGATAATCAATTAACATTGAAAATTTCCTTCCCGGTTTGTCTTAGATTGAGATATGATGATTATGATACAGTAATATTGCAATGGTTGCTAAGACAATACAGATTCAAAATATTTAGGAAGTTCAATTGACTAAAATATATTGGCTCTACAATTTATCTGTAAGTACTTGTAAGTTAGAAATAAGAATATTAAGTCAATTTATGAAGCACATTATTAGTAAGATCATCCCCTGTATATGTTAGTCATTGTTTTTTATTATGTAAATATGTATAGGTATTGTCTTCTTTTATTTTCACCTATGATATTGTATTACCGCATAGGTTAGTTTGCTATAGTATACCGATATACATGTACAAGAAACCTATAGCTACATGTATAGACTGTTATATTCATTTCATCTAGAAAGTATATTACCATGCTTGCTAAAGACTGTATATTACCCCTTCTTGCTACCTTTTGCACTGTTTCAGCGTATGGAGGCAACTTCAGGAAGTATGGTATGCTCACCAGTCTCTTGGCCTCTAATGGGGGTCTTTCCAATATTCCTTTGCCCTCTTACACTATAATACCCTCTCTATGTTAATCTTTTTGTGCAAGTATATATATATCTGTATATTCTTGTCAGTTTTGTGAATATCTTTTGTAGCGCAGTGCAGTAGTGGTACATTTAATATGCAGACAGAGTTTATAACCGTGTAAACAATCAAATTAACATTGTTGGATTGTATGCATAGAGAAATTAGAATAATAAAAGTAAGGAGAATATCATTGGTCATTAAGAAATATGGCAATGCTGCAAGTTTTCTGTCACATGAACATACACACAAAAATGAAAATGAAAATTAATTTCATGAATGAAAAGTAATTCTTCACTTATACATTATGGAAAATTATAATTTTTTAAAGATATATGCATGAAAGAAAATTGGATGAGAAATAGTCGGAGTATTTTTTTAAAATTTTTTGTTGCTGGGTAATTGGTAAGGTGCATGGGTGATCAAGAAAAAGTGGTTTGTAGTGGGGAATTTGTACACATACAGTGATACAATATAAATGTTATTTTTAAATGTCACTTTTTACCAAGGATTTGCACATGAATATAGTATTATTATGTACAATTACATATACCGATTGATTATCAATCATAACATACCAATATACTTTGTATATCGAACCACATGTTTTTAGATTAGATTTACCCATAAAACACACACAATTAGTTATTAATATGATATTATATTTGTGTTCACAATTACATATTTATATACAGTGTATATATATTACAATCGATAATCATTTAGAATAAAAACTGATTTATGACCAATTTCTCTGTTGGAGCCAGAAGGGCATTATATCTGCATAAATTAACACGAGTTCACATCCTTCTTCAAACAGATGATTTACAAGAATAGTGCATTCACACATTGACCTACCGGTATTGTAATTCCTAATGTCGAAAGCACAAATTATGAAAAAATTCTCTTCATTTAAGGATCAGAGATTACAATTCTTCAATGATTTATTACTCCTTTTCATTACTTGTGCAAACACCCAGCCCCCCTCACTCCAATTTACCCTGATTTTATTATATACCCAGCATAAATAATAACTTGTCTCCCTTCGCATTTATTCAGCATTTATATATATTGCGTAAATAATTTATTAGCTGTGTTTTTAAATAGATGGTATTCAAGTACTTGCAGTGTTGCATTTCAGAAAATACCACGCCCATCCACCCCTCCCCCTCCCCCTCATCTAACGTATAACTCCTTGTGCACTTGAAAGTTAATATATTAATGTTCTGGATATAATTTTACACAATAATATTCTGGGTTTGACCTACAAAAATAAGAACAAAATCAAAAGAGACTTCGGGTATGTATAAAAATGTCATTGTAGAACAAAACTCAAAAGTAAATGTCAAGATAACCAAATGTCAAGATAACCAAATGTCTAGTTGACTTGGTAGTTTATTACAATTTTGATTGAGTGACAAGTATGTAAGTCAATCGTTTACATGCCAAGAGACAAAGTAGAAAATAGTACTGTAATATTCACATTCATACCTTATTAGCTATGCAACCACGAACCTAGATAACAGTGTTTAACATCTACATGAATGTGGTAAAAAATGTTAAGGAAACAGAAACAGTGCAATTTTTTGACAAAAAGAGCAATATTTTGTTTGTATGTTAGTATTTCAATTTATAATGAATGTGTTGTACTTTTATGTTGTCTGTCGTGTTGTGTTCATTTGTTTAGTAATTGTGCATTTTTTGTTGTGTTTTGTTAGGGGTGGGGGGGGGGGGGTCATGTTAAAAATGAGCTCCATTAGGAAAGGGATGGTGGGATCAAGGAAATATTTTGGCCAAGTGCAAAATATTTTCTCAAGTCAGAAGTGCTTATTTAATTGTTGTATTGTTCAACATGTATATACATCTATTATTCTTGTTATGACCTAAAATGTTAAGGTATTGAAGAAAATCTGTTTGTTTATTGGACCAGGGAGTCAGCACAGATTTGTAATAGTGGTTTGTTTGTTTGTTCGAACCAAATTACCCAAATATTTTAGATTAAATTTTTTTAGTATTTTTCCTTGGTTTCATAATTTTAATACTTCAATGTTTCTTTATTTTTCAATCTGCAATCTACATGATTCATAACTTTGCGTTTCGATATGAAGCATATAATACAAGGAGTAATGGAGCAACAGATATGCAAAAAATTCATCCATCGTTTTTTTAAATGACATAAAATATAGAATAATAAGAATGCATTCGACAAAAACAACCTACATACGATCTAAAAATACATAGTGTTTGGAGTTTTATCTGTGATATTGTTATTTTTTAATGTTTTAAACAAAATTGGTATATGTATATGTTCTGTATGTTCTGTGTCAATGTAATGCATATTTTATGTTAAGTAAGGAAACTTGCTATTTATAAGTCCCATACATGTTAATCATTAACAAGTTAGTAGCAACTCCAGAATGCATACTTAAACATAACATTTAACAATTGAATGGTTTAAAATATGTTCCTCCTGTCAAATGTGAGATTTAAAAAAAAAAATGTAAATTGTGGTATCTGGATGTTTTGTTCATAAAGTGCTTTTGGTTTGTTAACATGTAATTTTGCATGTAATAAATAATAATGATAATAATAACAGAACAGTGCTTTTTAATTACCAGGCATTCATAAAACTAATAATTTGTTTAACTTATTATTTTGATGAACGATTCATAATTCAAAGAAGCAAAAACAAACAAAAACAAAACAGAAAAAAACACCGTAAAAGTAGTGAATGTTTACATGTATTTTTGTCTTTGTTTTGATTCTTAATTTGCTTAAAAAGTGCTCCTTTTTTTTTTTTTAAATGCTTTTTATTTTTGATATCCTTTTGCATGCTTTTTATTATAAAGAAAAAAATGTTTGTGTTTTTGTTCATGTTTGATCATAATTCAGCTAGAGGTCAAAAGGGCATCGAAACGGAGAGGACTGATTTTATTCCAAGAAAGTCATTCCAAGAACTGGGACCATTTCACAAAGCCTTTTTTCCAATGGAAAATGAGAAAAATCAGTGACAAATCAGCTGATGACCAATCAGAAGCAAGGATTTCAGTAGCTTATAACAAAACTGTCATTTGTCACTGATGACAAGTTTTGTGAAACGCCCCCTAGAACTAGCCATTGGTTGATGTCTGCACTAAGCTGGCTACGTTTGCGTAAAGACTGTCCTTTGTCACTGATATCAAGTTTGTGAATTGGCCCCCCCCCCCCCCACTTTTGAACATAGTTAATTATTGAATATAAATAAGCGATGTTTCAAAGAGAAATTTCAAATTTTAATACAGCCACCTTCCATTGGCTCTTCTCCTCAAGAACCATGCATCACAGAGGACAAAAAAATTCTACTTCTTTAGTAATGGTTGTAAAAAGGACCATCAAGTCACTAAAGTCCAATGTCGCTTTTACACTGATATGACCCAAATGACCGCAGATTGTGCCTTTTTGTTTCTCGTACCTCAGTCACACTGCAAACCAAACTTCAAACCAACTCCAAAGAACCGTTTCTGGGCCATTTGGTATAATGTAAAGTTGTGTTTGGTCTGATGTCAGTACAGTTTTGGTCTGGCATTCGTTTCGCCAGTGTGACTGGAATATATTAGCTGGCTTGTATGTTTGTGTGCTCTGTCTTGTCTAATCATCATCATCATCATCCCTAACGTTTGATGTCAACCGTCTTTCTTTTTTTCCCTCGTTCTCCTTATCCTGCCTCTTGTCCATCCGAACTGATGTGCTTGACTCGTTAACAGTTCCGTTCCGCCAAGGAAAAGACCAATACAAAGGTTTGTTGGCATGATGTCTCGGCCTCATGTTTTTTATTTAATTTTTAATTTTTTTTTTTTTTAAACAATTTTTTCTCCTGATAGGGTGTGTTTGTTCCCGCTCCCGCATTGTGTTGCGTGTCTCTCTTAATTGGGGTACGCATCCCCTACATGCTGTACGTATGTACGTCTACAGTGTTCTGTACGATGTACATCTTTAATATGGTTTCACAAGAGTTAATAGACAGGCTAGTGGACATATTTACAAGTAAAATTTAAAAGTGAGCCCCTGCTGGCAAAATTCATACACCTTTTTTTCCCCCACTGGGTCACAGTTCAAAAAAAAAATGCAATATTAGAATGAAGAAATTGTTTGGATTTGAATTTGCTTTTAATTTTAACAAAAATCATGTGGAAATTTTTGATCTGTCCTTCCTTTTTCATCAGGAAAGAAGTTCTTTAAATACTGACATAAAATGTTTTTAAATCTGATTGTTACAAGAGCATTGAAATTCTATCCGTTGTAAGAGGGATGATCGAGTTTGGGTGGGAACCAGTTTAAGAGAGACACTTTTTTTGTAATGTTGCACTGTTTGTAATCTCATATACCATTTCCGTTTGTTGAAGTTCGAAATACCATCCGCCGCATTTGAATTCAAATTTTTCCTGAGATGTTCGGCTTGCAAATCATTTCATTTTTCCAGAAGTTACCTCTGTTTGTATATATATGTGGCATACACTGTTCTATGATATAAAAGGTAAAAGTGTAGTTTGCAATATATACATATCACTTAATCAAAGAAGTGTAATGGATGGATATCTACTATACAGATCTGTTGTCATGTGATATTTTATGTTTATTATTTTTTTAGTTCAGGCCAATGTTGCCTTATATGCCTATTTACTTAAGGTGAACAGTCATGTACATGTACTAGTCTGTATTTTTTGTGCTGTCTTGTTGGGTTTTTAACATACATGTCCAATTATATTTGCATTTCAAAAGTTATTGAGAGACACTTTAAAGCGGATTAACATACATTCATAGTTACATGAGTTTCAGTGATTGAAAATGGTACACTCAACAAAATACATGTAAAGGGTGTATCTGAAAAATCGTTGAACATCCCTAACCTCATTTTTGTTAATTAAGTACCAAAAATATTCACATGTAGATGCTTCAGTATATTTTTGAACAAACACATTTCTACAGAACAACTGCTTTCTCTGTCTTTGATTTGGCTTTATCTAACCATGAATGCAAAAGAATAAAAACAAAATGAAGTCTTTTAACGTGAAAAGTTGCTGGATTTTCCCCCCTCTCTTCCATTACACCTTCTACTCTGAACATGATAGACTTGAAGTACGACTATTCATTGACGGAGGAGTACTGTCAGAATCACTTCCTGGCTGGGCTGTTGCTAAGGGAAGTGGGCGTGGCTCTACACGATGTCACCGAGGTACGTCAGCATGGTATCAGGGTGCTACGGAACCTCCTGGCCAAGCACAGTGCAGATGACAGATATCACTCTAAGGTAAGCACTTCAAGTCGGGAGAAGATCGAACTTTGTGGTGGTGTCTCTGTGATTAGGGTGAGGGAATGTGTGGTAATGGTTGTGGTGGTAGTGGTGGTGATGGTGACGAGGATGGGGTGGGATGATGTTGCTGGTAGTGATGCTGCTAATGCTGATGACGATCCACAGCATTTATCTGGTACCACATGGTTAAACAAATTATTCAAAGGCGCAGTATGGAGGTGTGGTGGTGGTGGTTGTCTGGATGGTAGCACTAGTAGTTGTGATAGCGATGATGTTTGTGGTGTTGGTGGTACATGTAATGATGAGGAAATTGAGGTAGCAGTAGTGGCGATGGTGAGGATGATTGTGGTGAGAATGGTGGTTATGAAAGTGGTGCTGGTGCTAATAAATACATTGTTCAATATGATGATGATGTTGTTGGTATAATTGTTATGATGTTAATTATTCTGATGATGATAATATATTTATTGATAACGATGATGAGGATGATGATAATGACTGAAACCATGTTAACTATTTCTCCCTCGTTTAACAGCAACATCAAGCTCGAATTGCCACCCTCTATCTCCTTCTCATCTCCATCATCCTCGAGATGATGATGACGATAATATATGTGTTGATAGTGATGATGACGATGATGATAATGACTTTCATTTCTCCCTCATTAAACAGCAACATCAAGCTCGAATCGCTACCCTCTATCTCCCTCTCATCTCCATCATCCTCGAGAACGTCCACCGTCTCGCCAAAGACCTCCCACAGACCATCGGACCTGCAACCAACCTCAACGGAGGTCAGAACGAGAATGTCTTTGACCTTTCAACCCTGTCCCAGGTCTCGACAGACAGTTCACAAGGTCATCAAGGTCATGAGAGAAGCAACAGCGTGTCGTCCAGTAGCAAGTCTCGCTCTCTCCAGAGGGACTCCAACGTGCTAGACATCATAGCTGGAAGAGGTAGGTCTAACAATCATTTCTTGACTGCACTTTTGCCATGTTGTTATTGTTTTGACAGAGGGTAAGACACTATGAATATGACCGACAAAGAAAGCGGACAAAATATACAGTTCCTCAGGTAGACAAAGGAACATCCCTTCACTGCTATTATGTAAAAAGGTGAATATGCATGTGACACCTGTTCTACACATTTTTACATAATAGCAGTGAAGGGATGTTCTTTTGTCTACCTGAGGATCTGTATATTTTGTCCGCTTTCTTTGTCACTTATGTTCATAGTGAGAATAGTCTTCTTTCCTCAAAAGCAATTTCCTTTGAATTGCTTGATATTCAATCAAATTATTTGATGCTTTAAATTGATTCTCTCCAAAATTGATTATGGGTCGATAAATCAAACTCAACAAAAATGAATTTTGTCCCATTAGCAACAGAGTTCACAAGAGTGGTAAACAGAAATTGACTGCAGCATTGGCATCCCTTCATAAAAATTAAATTAAATTAAATTTAAAAAAAAGATTTCCTTTTCTGTCTATGATACATGTTTCTGTATAATCTGTTTTGTATTGGACATGACTAGGGCATCCCTGTTGACATGTGTAGTTAAATATAATTTGCGATACAATCTGACATCATGAATTTATTATTGATTATAAAGTTTGGGGTTAGTTTGGGAATTTCCTGCCTCATCCCCAACAAGCAGTATTCTATTTCAACATATCGTCATCCTTGGTGTTTCAGGGGATTATTATTTTAGACTTGTGTTATCAAGTTATTCAGATTTTCTTTGTTGTGATGATGCTTGTGCGTGGCATGCATGGCAACAAATTGGCCGTGTGCATTTTTGCATTGTCTCACAATTTGTATATGTATTAATATCCAACTGTTTGTTTGATAAAATTGCTCCTACAGGCTGATGGCTGTTCACTTTTTTTTAAACTAGTTGTGTGACTCTTATGTTTCATTTATTGTTACCCTAGCAGTAGTTTGGCCTGAAATAATGCTGGTAAAAATAGAAAATTGTGTAATGGAGATATAAATTTTCTATGTCGCCAATTTTTGTTCATCCTCTATTAAACTGCACCGTCTTGTACACTGTCCTGTATATCTTGTTCTGACTTTCAAAGATATTTTTAGTCAGATGATACAACTAGAAACTGGGCATCAAACTTTCCATGAGAAAAGTAAGAGTTATCCTATAAGAGTGTTATTGACAGCCATGAGAATGTATCTGGCAGATAGTTGTAAGGAATAGATAACATGCATATGTCACATTAGCATAATTACATTTATCAAAACTACTCTATTTTATGTATCAAATGTTTTAAAAACAAGAGTTTATTTATATCCCTACCTCAATGTAAATCAAAGTTATACTATCTTTTTGAGTCAATACCCAAGACAATGTACAGTAAGCCTATATATCTTTCCTTTAAAATAAAAAAAAAATCATTAAAAGTTTAATTATTCTTTACGTACTGAATTTTAATTTCATTAATTATAATCAAATTGAATTTTTTGTGATGTAGGACTAGCAACCACCAGACTCTCATCCATGTTCGGAGAAGGTGAAAGCAGTTTTATTTCCATTTTTACTAAATTAATCTACATGTACATGTATTCAAGATTTTATCATTAGCTGCAAAAGCACAAGTTTTATGTATATATAAAACATGTCTTTCCCTTTTAACCATATACTCATTCATATACACCATAACATTGGATCATACAGTGCGGGACTTCAATATTGGCTGTTGAAAGCCAGCAGGGCATTAATGAACTGTATGTAAAAGTAGATGAGTTAATATCCTTCTACTTTTCAGCAGCTAAGTGGCAACTTGTATACTGCTTGTATGCTTTCTGTTGCTTTTGAATATAGGTAAAAATGGTTTACCTTTAAAACTGATCTCATGGTATTTCAAGCCAGCCTAAGGACGGCCTAATTTTTTCTTTCCAAACCTTGAAATGTTAGCAGGAAATTTAGAGTGTTCGTTCCTTAAATTTTACTCACAATATTTTATACAATTAGTTTTTATGAGCTTTCCCCGGCAAAATAATACATTTATATACACCCCAAGCCTTCCTCTTTTCACCCACAAAATATTACCTCTTGTATATCATGCAAATATTGACATAGCTATTTACATACATGTCTTTCCCTTCAACTATCATATACATATCGCCAAGCCCTTCATTCAATCGTCTTATTCCCAAACAACTATGGGCTCTTGTTTGCTTTAATATGCCATCATATTACAATATTTGTAATTGGCTATCAAAACTTCACATGGGCTTGAATAATAGTCATCTATTCCTGCTACATGTATTTCATAAGCCTAAAATAATTTTCAAATGTCATAACACTTCTCTTCCTATTCTACCCGATGTTCGTATTAACATATTTTTTCTGTTTCATGGTACTATATTCAAAGAAACAGTTGGAATTTACAGACTCTTGTTTAGGTTATTACTACGAAAAGGCATACTGTGTTCTTTTTTTTTCACTCCATTTTCTCCTTCTTTACATCTGCAGCTGGAATCTTCTATTTGAACATTATTGTAGGTGTTTCCCGGACAGCTAAAAATATTTGTCTCGGTATCTGAAAAGGGATGAAAACTGTATTGCTGACACAGAATTTAGTTTTGATAATGTGCTGGTTATTCACTATCCTGTCAAAGATTTCATGTCTCATTCAGTGGTATATTAACATGTGTGTCCATTTTACCATGACAGATATAAAAGATTACATATAATCACGATATTATCCTTCATATATTAAACTACTATACATACTGAAGGGTTATATTGAGAAATGAAGTATATTGGAAATGGTGCTACCCTTCTTCTCAAGTTTCATTTATGATGACTTTTTTGTGTGTATTTCAGTGTATACATTGAATTATTGAAAATTAAGTCAGTATATTGCCATCTACCTTAGATTGTATGAATGCTTGATTGAATTTACATGCTCATATACCAATTTTATACTGGAAATATTATAACAGAAGAATTTGATTTAAAACTTTTTTTAAAGTATAAGTTGTTATGCTTCACAACTTATTCTTTATAGGTACATGAATGTCTGCATTTCGATATACTCAAATTGGCAACTATTATCTTCCTTCTCAGTGAAGATAATTGTAGAAGTACATGGACTTAATGTATTTAGCATTGTCTCATTCCCTTTGAAAACAAAATGTGATCATGAATCTTATTCAAACATAAATTTACAATAGTCTCGCCTGAGATACTGGCACGTCTCTGGTTTCAGATCAAGTCATTTTGAAGATGCTAGGATGGATTTGGTGTTGGACAACTTACAGTGAAAAATTCTGAAAAGCTGCCATTATTACCTTTTTTATATTCTGCTATACTTAATTAAAATATCCTGAATAAAATCTATTTTCTTTTCAACTTTCTCTCTCTCTCTCTCTTGTTTCTCAAATCAGTTTCCAAAGACACACCACTCATTGTAGCAGGTACTTCAATGTGTGCAAAAAACACAAAAAATGGTTGAAATTGAAGAAAATTTGCATGTTTCTGTTGTATTCTGTCAACAGTGCGCCGTTAAGTGAGAATCGTACAGTGTTAAGTGGTGATTTTTATTTCTCCATCTTAGCCATTTGAGAATTCCTTCCAGATATTATTTTTTGTGTATTTGATTACCCTCTTTACCGATTTCATGACTATTATCTTTTTGTTAAAGAATACCATCTTTTTTATTTCTTGTGTTTTGAGCCAGAAGAGGCTGTGTTAAAAGTTTCTAAGCAATTGCCTTTCTGGCTCTCAACAGATGATTTGTGCTTAAATGATTTGTAGGTTATTGAATTTTCTGGGAAAAATATGTTACCTGGAAACGTTACTGCCTCTCTGAAATAGTCACCCAAGTTGTACATTTCCTTACATACATTTTTTTGTCTGTAGTTAAACAGTATCATTTTCTTTTATTTCTTCTGTATCATTATGGGGCTTTGTACTAAACGCAATAGAGTACATATATAGTAGTAGCTGTGTTATACACATGTCCAAATTATTTTGAGCATATTCAAATGTCTGTGAGTACTGACACTAATTGTAAACCCAGTTCCATTACTCTAATCACAGCTTTGTATTCATTGATGCAGGTTTTTATAACACCAAATGAAATGAGTTTTCCCGCTTGTTATCAATTAGTTATTTATTAGATCATTAAATTGTTGAGTGCTACAATTTATTTGTTAAAGCATGTTGAATGAAAACTGATTTGTTTTCTTCTATAATTTATTGATGTATTTAGTAGCTGAGTTATGGGGAATGATTTCTTAGATATACAGATTAATTTGTGTATGATGTACACAAATATAAGAAATGAGCTTTTAGTAAATTGCCTCTTTGGTATTTTTGTAGATCTGGAAATATTCATGTACATGAAGCAACGCTCCCACTTACTGTCCTTCATAATTCCCTCAATTGGACTTTTCCTCCTATAAGTTAAAATTCAAAGGATGTATTCCAAACATTACATTTTGATTTAATAATATGTTACTACTATTATATGCAATTCCCCCTATTATTCATTATCAGTGTTAACTATACTTTCTTTATTATATTTTTTATTTTGACAGCCAACGTGCGGGCTAGTCTCCCCCAATCTTCACATTTTGTGAGAAACACTGGTATAGTTTCTCTTTATATTCTGTGTTCAGAGCACTCAACATCTTAACAAGACTTATTTCTAATCCATAGTCACATACTAGATCTCCAAAAAAAAAAATCAATTAATATATTTATCCCTAAGTTTTGGCAGTTAACAGAAGTCTGGTTATTTCTCCATATAATAACAATTATTTTCTTCTACAACATGTACGTGATACGGTCAATTCATTTCGCTTTCAACCTGCATACATGAATAGCATCTTCAGAACTTCAGATATCATAATTCACAAATGTTCAAGTAAATCATCACTTCAAAATGAATTGAAATATTTCTTTTTCTGTTTCATATAATTGAATACACAAACAGGCACGTCCAATTTAGATTACAGAAATCAAACATAGATTTGCAAAAATTATAAAGAATTCTATTTTGTGATGCTTACATTTAGTAAAGTTTGTGCACTTGCTGAGTCAAATTTTCACTTTTATACATTTCACATTAACTGTAAAACCAAGTGAAATTATTATTAACAATTATTACATTAAATGCACATTTAGATATATTTGCTCGTCCGAGTATATTCATTCAAATTTATTACAGTTATGGTTTGAATTGAAAATTATACTTTCTTTGCAGGTTATGCAATAGATAAGATATACAGGTTTCATGATTTATCTAACAAATACTACTTTGTAGAATACTGTTGCATTATATACGAGGGAGACAGTATTTGACTTTCAATCATTGTAGCGTTGGAGATTAAATTATCTTCATACAATCTACTTTAAAGGTAATACAAAGTTTTGGTATGGGGTCATGAATTTGGTTCAACTGAACATATTGGAAGCATATGCGATTGGGATGAAATTGTAAATAATAAACTCTTTGTTATATAGCTCCCTCTCAAGACTGGTATTACTTTAGCTTCAAAACAATGTTTCTTGACTACAATCGACCGATTTGCTATTCCTGTTTGAAATTATACATCAGAACTGCATATTGTAAGATTTTCATGGTCGCAGCTACCATTGAATGGCATCAGACGCTATTTGAAATTTTTGAAATATTCATAATTATTTGAAATTTACCGGGAGCACCGGTAAATTTTGATCTTCAATTTCTCAAAAGCTGATGTGTTTTAGGGACTAAATGTTTTAGTGGTTATAATATATCCAAATGGGCATCGAAATATATCACAATTTTAAAGAATTACTATCCATCCAATTTTCAAAATTTTCCAAAACTTTGCATTACCTTAAAAGGATGATATGATACCACACAGGGTATTATAGTCCTTTTAGGTCTTTACATGGTATATATGTTCAATTTTCTTCTGAGTATGGTATTTGATGAGTTATATGGAGGAGAAAGTCTATCCTGTTATGACGTAAAAGTAATAAATACTTCTGAATTTTAAAGAGCTAGAAAGGCTTTTAATTAATGTCACACTTAATTATTTGAAATGCCCGTCTGTCTGCAAACAATTTGGACTGCACAGGGTTCTATGTTTCCTTTTCTTTTTTAAGAAAAAAAGTGATGATGAACAATTTTATGTTTCTACATACATGTATCTGTCTGGTTCTATGTGAGTTGTGACACTCATGTACTGGTGTGTATCGGTTTTGTACTTTGAATTACTTAGCCAGCGTTTCAGACACATTATATCCGTAACTGTTTGTGCGTGTGCGCTTTGCCTAACATTCAAAACTTATACTCTTCGTTTATAATCACTGTGAGAGTCTCCCCTCCCCCTGGTCTCAAATTGGCAACCCTCATGTTTATTCTGCTACTGTTTTTTATTTGTTTTCTTCATTATTACCCACTTCGTTGACTCAGGAGTACGCCATTCCATTTCCGCCCCATCCATGCCCGAAGCCAAAGAAAGGCGAATGAGCGCGTCAGGTTTGTTTTGGTCTTTTTTTTCATGTCGATTTTCTTTCTCTTTTATTGTTGTTTTTTTTTTTCTTAATGAAAGCTTTATTTAACCCCCACTCTGGTTGTTGGTCTTTGTTGTTGTTGTTATTTATTGCTGAGCTTGCTTTTTGTTTTGTATTAACACCGACGGTGGAGGTGTGGGAGCAAAAGGAAACCCTGGTTGCTTGGAGTACTAGATGCCGATGGGATTACTAGAATCTGCCCCGCTTTTACTGCTGGTACATGTCTATGAAGGAAATATTCTTTCAGTGAGAAAAAAAAATGATGTAGAATCCTAAACAGCTATTCCTACTCGTAGGTTGATGTCTTGATCATAGATAAAGCAATATTTGGATAAGAATGCATTAAAGTACTTGTAGGAAAGGACATCTAACATGTTAACAATAGAAGACCAGTTTTAATCCTTAATCAATTGCTTTATACCCAACAATACTGGAAGATTTCATATGTTTTCTATGGATATTAAGCTCCACATAATGTATCTGTTTAGTATATCGAAGTGTTGCTAGAAATCAATTTTCAGAAATAATATCTAGTGAAAATAATTCAATATTTCACAGAATTTAGCCTTATTTATTTGTCAAAAATATATTGAAATAGTGAAGAAAAACAATAATTTTTGTCAAATTGATCACTTGCAAGTTAAGGCACCTTTTTCACATCTGCATAATTTTTTTTAGAACTATAAATTTGAATTATATTAGAAATGAGATATAGAATCATATGTTGCTTTGCACTTGTGGTGGAGGGTTTATTCGGCTGCTGATTCTGTTTCTTTTTTTAAATTCTACTGCATTTAGTGGCTATTAGGTTTGAATTAAGATCTGTCAGTAGTGCATTTTTTTTAATGGCAAGGGAATTGATGAAAACATAGCAATAAAGATTTTTTAAATTTTAATTAAAATGGACTTTCATAAAACAAAGTTGGGTCTAACCTAAGCAGGCAATTGTGATTTCTTGTTCCACATAAGGTTCTCTCCTAGGCAATATCATTAGCCATTTAATTGTTTTTTTTTTTTTCTATATTTATTTTAATATGTTAGAACAATGGGCAATCTTTGTTCAATATGTGATTTTTTTTTTTTTTTTTTTTTTTTTTTTTTGGGGGGGGGGGAGCAAACTGCAGTAAACAATTAGATGCATTAATTATGGCAGGATTTCATAAGAGTAGCAAGGTTTAAAGATGGTGATGGGAGGGCGTAGTTATCAGCATAAGTGCTTCAAATGAAATGGAATAAATTCATGTTCCTTTCTTCTAGATATGACATTTTTTTTGCTTTGTTCTTTTTATTCTCATATTAAGCAGATAAACATTATTGGGGTTGACAAAATTAACAGTACATGTACAATGTACATGTACTGACAAGCTTCTCCATAACAATTTACAACATGAAAGTTCATTCCATGAGAGGCCACGTACCAGAATAACAACTTCTCAATTATTATTTTTTCTTTTTAAAGTGGATTATATTTAATAGATGAGCTAGGTGTTTGACGTAGAAAAGTTCACAAAATACCTGCAAAATACTGTATAGTTTATATTCCAAACATGATGAAAAATGTCTTTTGCACATCATAGACTAGATTTAGATAGAAATAACATGATGACGTAGTTGAAACATGTAGGAAAAAACATGGTGTAAGAGCGTATGCATTATGTCGATTGATTGGAGTATTATTGTCATCCCAAATGCAGGATGTGTAAGAAAATTGTAATATATTTATGATGAGAAAAGTAATTTGAAATTGCTTTTTTAGTGAATCATTACCGAAAATTGCAACACCTAGCACCCATAATGGATTATTTAAAAGAAAATTGACATGCCCTTCTTTCATACATTCCCTCAGAAAAGGGATTTTTTTTTTTCATTTCTTGTTTGCCTGAAATGTCCTGCATGATGAGTATTGCATTGTGCAAAAAAGGGCAAACCCTTAACCATTCCTTTCCCTACCCCCAGCCCCCTACATACATTACATGTATATGCTTTGCCTGTTGTATTACCCAGCCCAGCCCCTTTCCTTTCAAAGTATGTTTGAAATGCATGCCCCTTCCATGTCCCTCATAATGTGTCTGTTTTGGGCCAGAATGGTTTTACCTCTTTTTTTATTTTTACGAGTTAACACCCTTCTGGCTATAAATAGACAGATAATATTTGTTTTCATGACACACTCTGTACTACTGGTACTCTACAGGTATCTTCTGCTGATAGCAAGAAGGATGTTAACTATGTGTCAAAGGATATGAGTTAATGCCCTTCTGGCTCTCAGCAAACATTATCATATACAGTACTTCACCTGTAATTGTACATTTACATGTACCTGTATTCGTTGCTTACCCTTGAATAAGTATGCTTTGTAATCATGTAACTTCAAAATGTGATCTACGTATATACAAAATATATGATTACAACTGTAGTGTCTCGTATGTGTAGTGTACTGTAGGAGTGGTACACGTAGCAACCTGTTGTACTGTATCTGTACTGTACTACTGTATCTGTTCATATGTGAATCTAGCTCTTGAGTAGATACAAGTTGCTGTGAATATATTATAGAGACACTTAAGAAAGTGTAGACATGTTGGTCATTCAGAATATGTAGTAGTTGACGAAATCTCTCTTGTAAGAAGTGTCTTTAGATATATTATGTAGTTAGAGTCAGGATGATAGATCAGAGGAATTGTGATATTGCTAGAGCCTATGAAATGGAACTATGTGAGTAGGATATGTCAGATAATGGTCACCTTCCCAACAACACTCAAACCTGTCTTAGTGGCCACCTATATATAAAGGCCACCTGTCTATAGTGGTCATGCATTGTGTCTCCCTTAAGAGAGAAATGTGTGTTATAGACCCTGTCTAGAAAGGCAACCTGTCTACAGTGCCCCTTTTTTTTATTCCCTTGGATGGCCTGTATCTACAGATTGACTATATATCCAAACGTGTGTTAATATCTTTGACAGTCATAGCGGTGGTAATTCTCTGTAGAATCTTGTGAGTTAATACTTGTCTGGCTCACAGGAGAGGACTGTGTATTGTCTGTTTGGAGCCAGAAGGGCATTAACTCAATAAACACATAGTTATGACCCTTCTGGCTCTGAACATACGATATAAGGATATCCATGTGCATTAAACCTACATATGTGGATTCTTGGTTCAAGCTGCCAATCATTCCTGTTTCTCAGGAATGATTCCTTTCTTGGCCCTTCAAATAAATGTTCTAGACTCTAGATCCCTCACTTTTGTTGATATCTCTAAAGCACCAAAATACACTGTATTCCTAGGTTTACCTTGAGAGTTTTTTTTCCTTCTTTTTTTTACCTGGGGATAATGGGCTCATATGTCCATGCACTGTATACAATTCAGTGTTACATTTATTTAGTCCCTTGTAAACAGCAATATGCTGCTGTTCTCAACGATACTATGTGGATTTGACTTCAAGATAATTTGCTACCAGTGAAATTTAAATTCCTATATTCTAACCAACACCTTTTTTTATATATGAAAACAGGTTTGTAGGTGGTATCCCCAACATTTGTTCTGGTTCTTCAAACTGCATCATAATGTTTAACATTTCTCTCTTTTAGCCAAGCAACTTTTCTTTTCTTGCAGGTTTTACAGGGCTTTAGCTTTGTGGACAGTCTTTTATATTTCAGATTTCTAAGTACATCTTCAACAAATTTGAAGCTACTCAGACTTAATTACATGGGACAATTTCTTGAAGAAGCATTTTCTTTTCTCTAGCTTGAACCTGTAGTTTAAGATCTGGTCACAATACAATCATGTATATGCAGGTGGTCATGTTCTTTTTAGAGAGAATGACACTCACTTTTCAGAATGTTTCAGTCCTCAATTTTTGTCTCGCCTGCGTAGCAAAAAGCTAGACATAGACATTATGTCCCTTCCAGGACATCAAATTTTTATTTTTTGACCAGTTCAAAAGTGTACCATATAAAATTTACGATATTTGTTGTTGCGATATGTGGATAAGCGCTACGTCATTTATGTTCTGGTTTATCATATTGAATTGCGTTATGCAGGCGAGACCGCCGAGAGCGTTTCCCTTGTTAGGTATTGTGAACTTTGTTAGCACTTAATGTACAATGAAGTATGCTGGAAATATGTTTAATAATATAGTGTGTTGATCACCCCAACAAATGTTCTGTTCTTTTTGTTGATACTATTTGATTCGTGAGAAATATCGTGTTTCCATTGGTTATTTTAAATGATTTATATTTCAAGTTAAAATAAATAGTAAGTCAAACGAGTTGATGACATACTTCATCTATTTTCAGTCATTAAATTTGCTGACAATTCTTGTAATCACTTGTAGTTTGAAATCACTTTCTGTTGAAGCGAGAGAAATTATTCTTCTTAAATATCCTGCCACTCTAAAACATGTCCTCTTTCCAATTTGTGACATTTAAACTTTCATTTCTCAGGTGAGCAGGCCGATAAGAGCACTAACCTCAGTAAATTCCTAAACTTGAGACTTTCAGTCCTTTCGGTGAACGAGAAGGTTAAAAATAGACGCTCGTGGAGCAATAATCATAGAGGTTTGTAGGAGTTAGACCAAATCTGCAGCACATATGCACCAAAACAAAATGCTGGCAAAGGATGAGGGGGGCACATTTTTTATTTGTTCCAAACACTACTTTTACTAACATCATAGGAAGTCAAAGTACACAATTGAGGAAACCTTGTTCATGTAACAGTGAAAAATAATTCAAAGCTGGAGAGCAATTTAGCAATGGAAAGGTCCACGTCTTGATATATACTATTTATCCTTTTGGTATGTGACAAAACTTCCATCCAAACTGTTTGCAGCAAAAAGATAATGAAAAGAAACAGATATCAGGGCAATTTCTTTTTTTTTAATTAAAAAAAGTCATAATGGGGACTTTTTTCACAAAATGCCCTCATGGTATAACCTCAGAAGGCAAATTTATATATATATATATATATATATATATAAATATTTTTTTAGTAAGGATGTCATTGTTATGGGGTGAGCTTTCCTGACATTTATGTTGACCTCATCCACCTCTGTTTCTCCTCAAAAAGTTCAACAGTTTTTTAATACGAGCTGCAAGAGAAAAGTATCCTGATGAATTTTAAAGAGCTGTATAAATCAGTTTTGTTTAATAGATATTCATATTTATTCCAGAGTAATTCTGATATGACTTCAAGCTTTAGAATTCCTCAAACTGTACTTTGAATTCAATCATATAAATTGCTACAGCTTTTGGTATGATTTGTTTAATGTTAAGCTTTAACTTTAGTATGAAATAAACTATTGCATACCTGCCAACTATTGTAATAACAGTACAATGACTTGTTACCATCAATTTAAAAATTACTCTGAAATTATCACTTCCTAGCTGAACCATCAGAGAACACCAGTAAATACAGCAGGGCGCTATCCAATACATCTTCCGTGCCCAGAAATCGTAATAGGCTATCTTGGAGCAGTAGCTATGCAGGAGGTTTGTAGGAATGGAATCAAAACGATTGGCGGTCATTAATATCTCATCTAGATGGTTTCATATACATTGACGTCAAACGCTCACCACTAATTCTCCCCACATATTGCTTCTTAACTCGTACCCATTTTGAAATAACTTTGTAATTATTAGTTTGGTATTAAAGAGCCAGAAGGGTGTTGAATTTTCTTTGTAAAAGGAATAACGCCTCTTAAATTCTTAGCAGATGTTCTGAGGATAGAGAGAACTATATAGGTTAGACTTTGATAATTGTTGGCATGATTGTGTAACAACATAGTTTTGATCAAGACTAGATTTTAACACTGAGAGCACAAATTCTATATATAGGACTCCCCTTTTTAATTCTACCAAATAAAAATTGTAGTTATGAAGTTGATAAGTAGCTTTGCTTCATGATCTATAATATCATGAACTCTAAAATAGCTGAAAAACAATTTCAGAATATATTGAGCATAGTTATAAACATGAATTCACAAGATAAGAACTAATGGAGAGCTAAGCTCTATAAAAAGTAATTTCTTCCTAATCACTCATTCACATAAGGAAAAAGAAAAAAAAAAAAATCTCTGATAAGTTTTTTGGGAAAATAATTAATTTCAATTACCTACAAGAAGCTCCATTTACATGTAATATGCATGTTGATACATTTCCTTTATTATATTATCTAAACAAGAATACAATTCCTTTTATTCCATTTGGTACTACACATTGATTAATCCACGGTAATTCACTGACAGTCCTCACGGCATGCATTTCAGATACTTTAAAGTGACTTGGTAACATTGTGGAAGATTAATAAAAAAAATTGCTTAATTTTTGTATAAAATGTTACTTACTATATTCTTTCTACTGTACTAACCCTCTGGCATGCAAAAAATCCTGAAAAAATTCTCAAACCACAAAGATATCTATGGTTTTCTTTAAAGGCATCGATGTACGACACCCTCTAACAGTGATTAACAGTAAATTCTCCTAACCATTTGTGAATTTTTCAACCGTTTTTCCATGAAAAAAAGACATAAAACAGGCCATAAAAACTCTGTCAACACTTTATGTCAGGAATGGAATGTAGAGCCATTTTATTGCTTTGTGAGATTTCCATTCACCTCAACAATGTTACCAAGTCCCGTTAAGATAGATACGGTCACATTCGCATGGAAATGATCTATTGAAAAAATAAAAGGACAGTATACTAACTATTATGATAATAAATTCATTATAATTTAACGTTATAATGTAATATAATATTATTCAATATGAATAATTTGGGCACATAGTATACTAAATGGAACTTGCTTGGGGTTAAGGTGATCATATTTTTCTGTTCTACGTTTTGTTTTATGTTTTATTTGAGTAGTTCTTTATGTAAACACATGCATGAATTACAAATAGGATATTATATTATTCACATGAATACTCTTTAAAGGAAATATGATTTTGCATGATGCTTTTTGTCACTATTATTTCTAGCACAAGGGTTGAGAAGTACATTCGTAAATCTGAAGCATGTTTTAAAGAATCTCCCCTCAATTACCAGAATTGTGTGGTATATTACACAAATTTATGTTATCAGGGAAATAATCAGCACATGCAATGTCTTTATTACCAAATATTAATGCTTAAATCATGAATAAACTTGTCTAGGTATATTCATATATTGCGATGATCAAGATTGATCGAGATTCTCGGGGTTAGGATTTTTTTTAAAGTAATCAGAAGAAAGAAATAATGATAATGATACCTCTGAGACAATCAATAGAAAATTATTGTTAACATCCATTTTTTGTTCTTCTGAAAGGAATGTACTGTTAGAGTGAAAGTGTTAGGAAAATTGACCTATTAAAGGTCAAACAACATTAGTGCATGAATGCATCAGAATATTATTCACTTCCAGTTTATGAGCACATGTTGCATGGTTTACTACACATGCTCATGATGATTAAACCTACGCAAACATGTACATACATTATGTATTATATACTTTATGTTAGAAATAAGACATTTTCAGCCCATATTTTAATTATGGATTAATAGAGATGCTATGAATCAGTATTAAATTTCAAAATTATTTTGTTTTTCACTTTTGGAAATTGTGATATTATTATATCCTTTTAGATTTAAGGGAGTCTCAAATTGTACTTAAATATTATATACATACATTAACAAAGAAAGCAATGTAAACGATATACATTTGTTTGAATATGGATTACCATTTGATTTGTTAAAAAGATATTGATTTGTATGGGATATAATTATGTTTATGGAAATAACTTCTGTTGGTGACATTATAAAGTACTTTTTTTATTGCTTCTCTCATAATATTTAATTGTTTACCATTTTCTTTTTTTAATGTCTTATGTTATTCAGTTAAAAACTAATAAGGTAAAATCATGGCGTACAGATGTACATACCTTTTCCCACCTTATATGACATTCTCAAATACTCAAAGTATCAAATCAGGTAAAAGAGGCTTTGCTCTAACAAATATCTTCTTTTGATTTCTTTTTTAAATCTTACCATATTTAGATTTAACTCTTGATTGAATCAACACTGTGTCTTTTAACCATGACAACATGAAAGATATATACATGTAGCATTATATATTCAAACGGATGAGTATAATCTGGGCATTTTTGTGACTTTTAGGTGAATCTACCGTTGATATGCAGTTTTTACGTGGCCTTCAGAGTATAGCGACCCCACCGACAGCCCCAGGGGCGTTTTCATCGTCGTCTTCCGCATCCAACAAAGCTAGTAACCGCTTATCCTGGAACTTTCCAGGTTTGTTGTGGCATTCGACCCCTGACCTTTGACCTGTCAAGGGTCGCTCTAACAGCCGTATATTAATGCTTGCGATATATTTACTTTCAAATTTGGAATATATCACTAATGGCTTGAACATCGCACACCTTGCAAATGCCGAGTAATGCTCTAAATTCAAAATATTCAGCCACTCGTGTATTCAAAGTTATATCCTTTTTTGTTGCATACAATTCCAATATATAACAAATGGTAATATAATATCTATAAGCGTATGTGTGGAGTTAGCATAAATCTTTATGCGAGAAGCAATCTGCAATCTTATATTTATATGATATATCATAGGCTTTGGGGTCTTCCTTGCCTCTTGAAAACAGCCCTTTCATTTATTCATATAAACCGAGCCGACTTCCTCTTTCCTATCTACATATATACCTGACTGCTTCTGAGGATATCCTCTGTTGAGAGTCAAGAAGGCATTTTCTTATTTTCCCAGTTAAAGGAAAATACCCTTCGGCTCACAGATGACAATTGTTGTATTTTTTCACAAGTTGTTCAGACCTTTTTTGACATCCACATACTTGGGGGAAATCTATGAACCTGGCCCGTTTGACGCCTTGATGACTGTACAGAACCTGTTCCTGCCCCCCCCCCCCTCCACCCTGTCCATTTCGCATCAAGACGAGATTACCCCCCCCCCCCCCTTCATTTTATGAGACCTTGCACAATACCCGAGTCTGTGAGCCATGCCTTTTTTCATCGTATCGGTTCCTGAGAATGACGATACCCCACTATGACTTAATATGAATGCCTGTGATGTATGTATGTGCCTACATTCATGTAGTCAAGATATTGAGCACACTTCCAATCAGTATTTTAGGGTGAAAACAGTAGATTACCCTTACAGAGAGATAATATGCTTCCAGAACATGTTGCAACCTCATATTTGGCACTGTTTGATATCATCAAATTATCCTGATGATTCCTGATGTTCCTTATTATGTCAATATACACTCTTCTTTAAACCATCGTTATGCTCTATAAACCTTTTTTTTTTTCATGTATGGAAAAAATGAACCAAACCTTTTAATTTTTTTGAATAATAAGTAGGATTATTATTCCACCCCTTCTTCAAAATATTTAACTAGAGGGAGCTTTTGAACAGATTGTACTCTCTTCCATCCACGTATGTTACCTATTTTCATCTCTCCTTGAAGGCTATAAATGGAATACTATTCCTTGGCCTTATAGGTTTAACAGACTCTTTTTCTTTTAAAGCATCATTCACATTGTTTAGTATACAAGGTTCTTAAGGGCCTCTTCTATACATATATACAGTGTATCTGGCTTCTTTTCTGTACATTATTTCTAGGAGGAAAATTTTTTGCTGTTTTTAGAATATTTCATAAATATATTTTTTGAATAACTGCAATTTTTTCGGAACAAAGATGATGAATTTTATTTGCTGCTCTCTAATGAAAATGCATGGTTATTCCTTTCTCTTTCTGTTTTGGTTGGTTTATATTTTTCCTTTGTTATTCCAACTTAACTCGAGCGTGATTTGAAACATCTCTCTTGTGTGCATGTCACCAGAAAATCAATGTAATTTTAATCATGTTAACCCAACTAATACCACAATATTTGCATCTTCTAGTCAAAGAATATAGAGGATGTGTACGTGTATAATACATATGATCATTGCTTGTTAATGTTTTTTCTAATAAAATGCCCTTTATTCATTTTAGGTAGGAACAACTTGAGCAGACTGATTTGCATGTATCCACCTGCAAAATTATATTTGCCCAGCTTTTTTTTTCTTATTACAGCAAGGATAAACATTTATGCATTTTTCATACTTATTTGTAAAAACTTTATTGTACTATTAATGTAGCTCCCTTTTATAAATGTATGTGTATTGCAATGTTTTATACATGTATTGGGTGCATCATATACTGTATATGTAACTAGGAGAAAGAAAGAGAGAGAGAGAGAGATTCTATGGTGTTTATATTATTGCTATATCTTTGTGTAATACTTGACATTTCTATAGAGACATTGAAAGACCATTTTTTATGAGGATGGAATGTCAGACAAAATTTGCTGACAACTTTGTTTGCTTATTGAATGAATTGCTTATAAAAAGTCACCAAAAAGTAATTGCAGATGGGACTTTAGGGAAAGATTTATCTCCCCCCCCCCCCCAAGAAAATATCCGATATAATTTTATTGATATGTATAGTGGTAACATTATTGCATTTCACTGGAGTATATTGTAATGTTTTTGTATTTGATATTGTATATTTTGTGTACATATACGTAATGCACTATGTTTGTTAATTCCTATATGGAAGCTTACATGTACATTTCGTTAGTTTATGTGCATTATTTCTGCTTTTTATTTCAGTATTTTGATATGTTCAGTTGTAATTTGCATGCCTTGCATGAGACATTCTTATTGTGTGCTGCCTCCTCAGAAATGTAATGATCCATGTTTAGGAATATGATCTGCTCTACATTTAATTTTATTTGTTGATTTGTGCTGTTAAAAAACTATAACTGACAAAGATAGATCTTATCGTAATATTGCAGGTCTGCTTGGGTACGATTAGTTTGATCTTTTGGTATTTTGAGGGAAAGAAATATCTTGAGCAAGATGTAATTTGCTGTTCTGCTAGAGAAAAAAAAGGTTGCTGTGTTTTTACAAGTACACCAAAATATAGAATGGTGTATTAATGTAAATTATTGTATAAAATATATTTTTAATTGTAGAAGCAAGAGCTGTCAAGGAAAAAAGAAAGTCATAATGATTTCTGTGACTGGTTTCTTTAATGAAAGTTATAAACATGGAATAGAATATGTAGTAGTTATATATATCTGTTATTGGTTATGTAATGCCAAAATTGCATGGTCCTGAATTACATGTAATTTGCATGACTGTATGATTTGCTGTGCTTGCCTTTTTTCCTCTTTGATGGTTATTATTTCCTTTGTTCATTTTCTATTTATCTCTCACACTCCATCTCCGCCACTTCCATTTGGTATACTGCACACTCACTGTCTATCCATCCATCCATCCATCCGAAACTCCGCCACTCCGCCCAACCGACTTTTGCTTCAACCTTTGACCTTTGACCTCTGATCTCTTCATGCACGATTAAACCGGTCATTGGGGGTCACTCTCCAGGAAATCAAATTAAAGCAGACCACACTTTCTGGCGATCGCATAGCCCGACTCGGCCCAGCGACAAGCCTAAAAGTGCCTCGCAATATAACAGTATGGGCTACTTAGCGATTCCAGGTTGGTTAGAAGAGAATTGCAGAGAAACAAATTCTGAAAGAACTCTTCTCCTGCTGAGAGCCAGAAGGGCAGTAAATATATCGCCCAAAGTTCTTGCCCTTCTGCCTCTCAACATTAAAGAAAACAATATAACAAGTAAAGTGCATGTCTTGATTTGATATTAAAATTCAGTTTGATTAATACGTTTTTATAATAATGCCCATTCGCGAGTGTGATAGTGAAAATGCACTGCATGATCGTTAAGCCACAATGTGATATGAACTAATCCTTGCTGAGTTAGTCCCACAATTGTGACTTCGAAGAATTGCAGTGCATTCCACTCATGCATAAATCACAAAAACGGACATTAATTGTTACATGAAAAAGTCATTTAGGTAATGAATGATATAGGTAACAATGTAGCTTCGCTTGTTGAGATTGTTTGCTTTGATATTAAAACAGTTTTGCTGAATGTTTTAACATCGTTTTTGTAGCATGATTGCTCTTTGGTTTGGTTTGGTTTGGTTCAAGGGAAAGCAAGATATTGATGGGAATAATGATACAGGGCTTTAAAAAAATTAATGTCCTACAATACTTTGGTGTTAGAAATGTTAGTCCAGAAAGTACTGCTTGTTTAATTCTTTTGGGTTAGTGAATCATGCTTCTTTCATCATTTGACATGTCTAATGAATATCATCATGTAATCAATACCATTTCTTATATTATAAATCATTGCAAGATTTGAAAAATATCAATAATATACATGTATTCACAACTGAGGATGATTAATTTCATCAAATTACTATCAAAACCATGGTTTAAACCCTAACTGTTTATTTAAAATACATGGAAGCTTAAAAAGGCGTTTATAATCATACCATTGCCTGCCCATAGATCAAACGTACATGTAATGCTTTAATGTGGAGGCTTTAACCAGTGGTTGAGATAATAAACCTATGTGATTTGAGGCTGGTTTGTTTAGTAACATTGAATCATTTTACTCTACCTATTTACATAGCACCATAGCGTTGTCAACATAACGACCTATAACTCTATTATATCACCAACCCCCCCTACAAAGGATGATTAATTTCATCAAATTACTATCAAAACCCTAATTGAAACCTCTACTGTTATTAAAATACTTTAACCAACCCCCTACATGTATTCACAAAGGATGATTAATTTTATCAAATAACTATCAGAACCCTGATTGAAACCTCTACTATTATTGAAATACATGGAAACATGAGAAGGCGTTTATAAGAAAGGCCTTTTCACATAGCACTGTACCATTGTCAACATAACGATCTATAACTCTTTCTTTCACCGACCCCCCCCCCCCCTCCCCCTCCATTTAACAGGTGGCACTCCGTCCATCTCAACGCCCCGCCCACTGACCGACAAGGATCGGACCGGTTCCAGTAGCTCCCTCACCAGCAACACCAGTATGTCACCGGGTCAGATCCACGTCAATGGGAACGCCACGCACACCTCTCTTAGCGATACCAGCATTGATGGGCATGGGCCCGTCTCGCGATCGCACTCGCGGTCCAAGTCGTCGGCGATCATTTTCGACAAGCTGCTCGACCATGAGATCAAGGATCTTCTCGTCAGCTTTCTCTACATCATTAAGAATGTCAACGAAGGTATGCTTTAGAGTGGACAATTGGTTAAAGGCCCACTGTACTACATGTAGCTACTTGCTCCCTCTATACAGAAACAATGCCTCATCTGTGACCATTGGTCCCCCATGATCCTCTTTTTCTTATGTTAATTGAGAGTTGATGAGATAGCCACCTGTCAGTGACCACCCTGGGTGGTCTAATCCCTCCTAGCCAAACTAGTACAGACGGCCTTTAAGAGAAATACTGAAAGAAGATAAACAGGGTCCTTTAACATACTAGCTTTAACAGCCTGCCCTTTCTTTATCATTAAAGAATGTGAACGTTTGTAGGCTTTAGCATTCATAAACTATTCTTCCCCTTCTCCCCCCCCCCCCCCAAAAAAAAAAAAGAGATAACATTTTTATGAAAATGAATGGTATGGGAAAGTGGGATAAAGTAGTTGAGCACATCAAAGCCTCTCAAGCATACATTACATGTACAGTACTTGTTTTTGTAAGAAGGTGCAGGAATGTGAGTGCACAACAGTTAATGACATTTTAATTTGCTTGGGATTTTCTTCTTTTTTCCCCTTTTTCCCCTTTTTTAAGTAGCTAACTGCGTTATAAATATGGGAATGAGACCTTACTGTGGAATAAAAATCTCTGACAATTACATATCGAGGTTTGAAGTTCTAAGAAGCATTTAGCTTATTATCAGTAAAATAATGCCTCCTGCAGGTACATGTATATGTACACTATAGGAGATGTCATATAAGGTCGGGAAAAAGATTGGTTTACAATATACAGGTGGTCCCCTAAGATTCTGAGGTTTAAAATGTACATTTAATATTTATTCTAGCCTGAAAATGATAGGTAGTACATTTGGAATATTTACATACTTGTCGTTGATACTAATAACGTAAGGGTATTATGTAAATGTGCATGTTTTTAAAGTCAACTACCTGTAATGAGTAGATCAAAATAATTGCATAAGTTTCATTTCTCAACTTGACTGTAATTGATTTAAATCAAGTGATAATTCAAGACATGTATTTTTGAAATTCATATGGAAGGTTTTCTTGCTTATAGAGACTAATGCTTTTTGTCTTTATGTCCTAATTCTTTTCCTTTTCTGATGTATTTTGTAGAAGTACTGCTAGGCTGGTGGAGCCAGAGTTCAGAGGGCGACCAGCTCAAATTATTTGATGTCCTAGAGTAAGTGCCTCTACTTTGATATATTTGTTACATGTGATGTTTAGAATCAAAAGTGATATTTACTGTACCTGTAGAGAAAAAAACATGAAAGGAAATACACGAAAATTGGAATTATTGTGAGTAATGAGGTACACGTAAAGTGAGCAACATTTTGGAGGTGGCCCAAATCTTGCTGAAGTTAACAAGCATTGAAATAACAAACACAGGTGCGCATGTATCAGACTGAAGAGTAATATGATGGCTGCTTGATTAAAAGACAATTCTAATCTGTTGGAGAGTATATCATTTGGAGGCGCCATAGCTCAGTCGGTAGAGCATTGGTCTCATTATCCGGTGACCCAGGTTCGAAACCAAGTTGATGCTCTAGTGCCCTTTGGTAAGGCATTAATCCTCATTAGCAGGTCCCTCAGAGATGACCTTAAGCCATCGGTCTTCTGGTTGCTTACTAATAAGCATTTATTGCTTAGCTGTCAGGTAAAATAACCACCACTATCACATCACATTTAAAGATGAATCCTAGCATTCAACATTATACTTCAATTCTTATATGGTGTTTGTACATGTAGGAAGATTAGTAAGCTCGCTATCATCATGTATTTCATGACTTGAATGTTTATTTAATTGCTAAACTGAGGCCTTTGAGGTTACATGTAACTCTACTTTTGCTTTTTATTTTCCTCTCCCAGGCTATGTCTTCAGCATTTCAGATACGTGGGCAAGAAGACCATTATGCAGAGCAAGTAAGTCACTTTAAAAAAAAAAAATTATCTCATACACTTTTGTGAAAAAAACTTTGTGAATATATTTCAATTATCGGTGTCCATGATGTACAGAGGTAGCAAAACCTCTGGAAAGGTTTTTTTTTCTTTTCTTTTTTTTTCTTTTTTTATGTTCTCTCTTTTTAAGTTCAAGATGTGTAGATAATCTTTTTTGTCATGTTTGAAGCATTAAGAGTGTCATTTATGTTTTATATAGTTGGTGGGAAAGTTAGTGTGCTGCTATACCCGATTTGCTTAACGTTTTCCCCTTTTTTTCTTCTAGAAACTCTGACTTTTAGTTATAGTTTTTGACTGATCTGTAATTTATAAAATGCCTATTCTGAATGCAATTTAATGTATATGTATTCAAAATTATTCTATTCATGATTGTGGTTTGAAATGATTTATGCAATTTATATTCCATGCTACATGTATGAAAGAATCTGTTCAACATGGTTTCCCTTTCCTTTATTCCAGCCACAAAATTTCAATAATATCTAATAATATATACCCTTAGGCTAGGTTTGACCATTATTTTATATTATTTCATTGGCCTGGATTTTCTCATCAAAAAAATATGTTCTTCATTTTAACAGTTATATGTATTTAGGGCAGTTGTAATCCTTGAGTCCATACATGTACAAGTATAATGTTCATCCTAACATAACAAACTACTACCTTCTCCCAGCTTTAGACTGATATATTTAATAAACCTAAGAAAGTTCTAATTAATTCCAACAGGGCACTTTTATTAAGCTTATATTGTATTATGAAATATTATTTCATAGTATTAGCAATACCCCAAAACTTTTATCGTAGGCTCCTGTAATATAAAGATGTTTCTTTGAGTATCTGGAGCACTTGTTAGTACATGTACGCATTTAATTTGTCAGATACCGGGTACTTAAAAAATGCCATTTTTAGTGTATTATGTGAATCTGCAGAACTACATGTATGTAGTGAATGATTCATTTTGGAGTTACTTTGAACACCTAACTCGCAATTTGATACCAGAATTCCAGCACTAAACTGATTTATGCCTTTGTATATAGTAAACGGAGCATATATCAGTTCCTTGGGTAAGCAAGTCATATTCTCAAATATTCAGGCAAAAAAATAATTGGAAGCCAATAGACAAAAATTTCATAGATACAGCTTCATGCAAAAGGGTCTAAAATTCACTCTTTTGCAGTTGCACTCCCATTACATTGCACACTGTATGTGGTATCCATCTTGTCGGTAGTCTCATTGTAAAAAAGAAACGGGTTCATAAGATTTGAATTCTCATGTAACTATGCAATTGCCTACATATCTACTTCAAAGTAAATTCCCAAAGGATTCGACTTTCCAACCAATCTACATCCCATCCATGCTTCAATAGGTGGTGTCACACAGAAAAATCCCTTAGAAAATCCTTAGAAAATCCCTTGAAAACTCCTTTCAAGGGAGAATTTTCTTGCTTCGTTAGAGGATTTTCATTGGGATAATTGGTGACAGACAGCAATTAAGAGGATAACTAAAATCCGCATTTTTGGCCTCTGTGTGACATCGCCACATGTGTACTGAATGATACGTCTCAAAATACCCTTTATACTATACAGTAGAACATGTTATATTCATAGTCTTCAAATAAATACACTGTAGTTACATAGCATGTCCGTACGAGTGTAGTTTGATCATCTGAAACATATCCATGTACACTTTGTAGAAGCATGCAGTTTTCATGATTATCGTCATATTGATCCTATTCCAGTAGCTTAGTCCACACATTTTTATGGGTATACACCATTTCCTATTTTCTATCCTTCTTTCTCTTACTATCCAGGGTCAAGGGTTGGTCTTTTTTTTTATTGCAATTTTAATATATATTTGAATTAGCACAATCAAATTCATGGGGTTTTTGGCCACCCACTTTTTTAATTTTTTTATTTATTTATTTATTTATTATTATCATTATTATTATTTATTTTTAAAATTATTATTTTTTTTTTATTTATTTTTTTTTTTTTTTAAGGGGGGGGGGGAGGGTTGGGGTGCAGGTTTAACGCCTAGGCAAAGGTACCAACCTAAAATTATACAATATATGAATTTACATAAAATCATATGGTATTTGTTTGTCACAAGTTTGATGTTCCTTACTTGGTGGCGCTTTCCAGCATTTTGCGTGTATTTGCGAGTTCACTGCTGTGTTTTGATTTTACGCAATCTTTCTAGTGGGTGTGAGTAAGCAAATAGTAACTTCCTACTCAGTTTTAGATGGACACATGCAAATATTTTTTTGTTTGCTTCCCCATTGAGCATAATGTGTCAACTTAAACTGGAGCCGAGTTTGGCCAGTCTCTGTCTATTGTAATATTGATCTAAACTGCCCTCTAATGGCTAGCATTCCTCACTGCACGATATCATCCTGACCTTTGAACTCTCCAAGTTGACCATATGATATCTTGTCTTTACCCATATCCGTATGAAAGACAACACATGGTGTTCTCTTTGATATAAAACAAAGTTTAAGATTTCTGTCTTCAAGTATGTTTTTGACCTCATCTCTGTTATCTGACTTTCTCATCTCACCCCTCCCCCATCCCTTGTATACCACCCCCCACCCCCTCCCCCTTCTCTTAATATAAATTCTCTTTCAATGGTTGAAATTGATCGCCTGCTGCTCTCTGTCTTTCTACTGGGGGCATGTCTGTGTACCTCCTTTGGTGGACCCCACTCTCCCCCATGGATGAAAAATGGTAAGAGCAAGTGCCGTGTTAGATACCAGCTTGAATGGCCCGAGCCCCCTCTACCCTAATAAACTAAATTTTCAAAACAAAAGATGATTTGCATGGTGTGCACCCGGTTTTGCTCTTTGACCTCTGTCCTTTGACCCTTGACCTTTAACCTTCCTAGACCCTCCTGCATATTGTTAGGACATGAAACTTGAATCTCTGCTTGCCCCGTGAATAGATTGCTTTCTGAAATAGTACTTTCTCCTGGTGTAGTGATTTGTATCTTTGTTTCTACTAGTTTCCAAAGCATCATGGTTTTTTCCTTCTTTCTATCTTTTGGAAAGATTCCTTGCATATTCTTCTTATTCTTTTTCTCTCTCTCTCCCTCTTTACCTTTGTTTATCTTCTTTCCTCTTATCTATTTGTGAAGCATTTTTCTTTTGTTCTCCTTATCTCTCCATCCATCTATCTCTCTGCCTCTCTACCTTCCTTTTCTATTCCTTTCTCTCTTCATTTTTTTTTAAATTTAGTTTTCCCACTTCCTTACCTGTTATGTACAGTTTATCTACTCCATCCCTTCCTTTTCTGTTTCTTTCTCTGTTTCTTTCTGTCTACATTTTTCTCTATTTCTTTCTCTCATCATTTTTGTATAAATTTAGATTTCTCACTTCCTTACTTGTTATGTACAGTATATCTACTCTCTCCCTCTTTTTTGTTTTTTTTGTCTCGATCCTTGTATGATTGCATTAGAATGACTATTTAGCTATATACTTCTACTCCTAGCATCGTTTATTTCTATCAGTCTCTCATCACTATGGAATCATTTGAAATAAAGGTGTTTTTTTTTTTAAAGCCATCAACATTTCTTTCTACAATCAAATTCTCTATTTTATGTTGTTGTTACAGTGTTCCTCTTGAATTTCACAGATTTTCCATTCTTTCTGCAGTGCTTTGAAGTGTTAATACGTTGTAAACAATCAAATATCTTTCTTATCTTACATTTCAAATTTTATCTCCCAAATATGTTTAATGTATGCATTATTTGAGAATTGTCAGGTTCTACGGCTCCATTTGCACTGTTTATCCCCCCCCCCCCCCCCCATATATGGAAGGGTACATTTACGTGTGATTCAATGAAGAAAATTATCTGTTCAGTTAAAATTGCTTCATTGTCAAGATGCTCTCAGTTTGTTCAAAATTAAGTGTGCTTTGGTGCTGTATTTGTCCGTCTTACCAGCAGGTACTGTGGTTTTAAGCTTACTGGTAACTTTTTCAAAATTTATGCTGCAGGGTGGTCTTTCCTTTTTATAGGACCTGCAATAATATCTTTAATGTATTTTGAGCAGTGTACCAATGGAGACAGCACTTGGGATAAAAACCTAAACTAATTATATTTTTGTACACAACAAACAGGAGAGCCGTCTGTTACTACGTCACAATCCAACAACCAAGTTGCCAACTTGAGATTCGCATCTTAGCTTAATGATCTCATACTTCAAAACTTTCATAACTCTTATTATTATTGTCAAATGTGTTTCAAAGTTTCGCCATTCTGTTCCTCGTATTTATCTGCTTTCATACAAATCAACTTATTACAAATGTTTGATTTCCCTTTGATAATCCCACTCCTAAAACCTCCCTTGCTCATCTATGCAGCTAGCTGAATATACAAATGTATCTGTTGAAACATTATATTGAATGATTTGTCTAGAGTCTAATAGCTATCATATATTTCAAAGTTTCTTAGTCACACATGTTTCTTCAAATTTCGAAATTCTTTCATTGTAAATTTGTTCTTGTCTGCACATGCTATTATCCCACATTTACAATAAAGATGGGGAAAAAAGGGGAAATATTTCAATGTTTTTTTCTTCTTTAAATTTGCTTTTTTCTTCCTTCTTTTTTAAAAGTCATGTATAATTGTAAAGTCCATTTTATTAGCGAAATGGTGCACTTATCCCCTTTATCTAGGCATGTGAATGCCTTCTTGCATTGGCAAAGTAACTCTTGTGGCTTTCACATATATTACAGAAGTATATAATTCTATGTGGAACAAAATAATTTGTATTTATTCTGAGCTGCCACGTTCCCTTGGTTTTTATGCCCTTTCTCCAAAATATTAGGGAAAACAATTGTGTAAAAAAAACTATATATCTAACCTATGGCATTCACAATATATGTGAATATGTGTAGGTGGACATAATATCTGCTGTTATATGAATGTGCAATTTGTATTTTCCTTTTTCTCCTGGTTTTTTTCTTTCTCCTTTAAAAAAATAAATATTCACGTTTCATTGCTCATGAACATGGGCATGAGTGATTTTCATACAGCACCCAACCTCATGAAATATCTGATAGTACATTGAAACATACAGTGCTATTTTGGGAGGTTGATGGTGCATTTCATAAACACTTATCATAATTTCATCTAAAAATATAGATTTATTGAGTCTTGGATTGATGGGTGTACCGGTACCCATATGCACAAGGTCAAGGCTAATAAAGTCTAGCCTGTCTATAGCGACCGCCCAAGGGAAACATAAAAGTTGGTCTTTGAAGACAGGCTTCTTTAGTACATGTATCAATGAGAAACCATTTTCAAGGAAAACAAAGTATGTGGTCTTTGTAGACGGATGGACACCAAAGTAGGTTTGGCTGTATTATACATGTAGGTTTAATATGAACCAAACATTGTGGCCTTCTTCGTTTCAGACTGCGTGAAAAACCGACATCTAGTGAGCGGAGCCGTACCCTGCCAGTCAACATCAAGAGGCTGCCACAAACCAGGTCCCTGATTGAAGTGGGAGATCTACCACTGGGTGAGTACATGTACATGTTTGATTGTGTGTGATCTGTTAATTTAGAATCCTAAGTCTTTAACCCACCAAATGCCAGTACAACAAGAAGTCAATCACCAGGAGTCGCCAGATTCAAACCACCGTCCGCCTTCTTCTCCCCTGCAGAGGATGATACATGTTCTGTACTGCATCTTGGGAATAATGTCGCTCTTTAGTTTAGAATCTTAAGCTTATATAACCCATGACTTTACTTTCATCTTTACATTTTCTTATGATTGTTGAATTGAAAATGTTTTTATGTTGCAAATTTATATTTGTATGCACTCTGTATATGAGAATATGGGAGATACACTTTAAAATTTGATAAAGAGCAAACCTATATCTTTCATTGTCTTTTGCTATACTGTAGTTGCTGCTTTGACTGAATCCGATGCTGGCCAGAGAATCAACCAGGAAGCAAATCTAGCAGCAGAGTGTGGCATGATCATCCTGGATGTACTAGGTCTCTACTGCATCAATTTCAGGGTAAGTATTTGGTCATAATAGTGATGATGATGATGATGATTAGTAATAATAATAGTGGTTTTGTGTAAAGCGCTCATGTCTGTCAAACTTGACACTCCTGGCGCTCCACAACTATTACCCCTGTTTTAGCATGGCTGCCTTTCAGGCGCTCTAGCGTTTCAAGGAATTAGTTCCTACCAGGTACTCATTAACCTCACCTGGGTAGATAAATGTCTTGCCAAAGGACATTAGTTCAACGATGGGACTCGAACCGGGAACCATGGGATTCACAGTTCGGTGACTTATCCGCTAGACCATGACACCTTTACATTATCAATACTTTAAACATTACTTGATGATGATGATGATGATGATAAGGAATGTGTCAGAGATGTTATATATTTGCATTATTAAAGCTTATCTGTACTAGTTTATAGGAGGGTTTAGACCGCCCTGCAAGGTTACTGGACAGGTAGTTATCTCATCAACTCGGCTCTCAATTAACATAAGATAAAGAGGATCATGGGGGACCAATGGTCACCAATTAGGCATTGTTTTCTACATTGAGGGAGCAAGTAGCTACAAGTAGGACAGTGTGGCTTTAAATGCATTCTGTACAAAAACTTTTTCTTCTTCATTTCTCCTCTTTTTGTCTCTCCAGACGGCAATGGACAGTGGGGATGGCAACAACCCCTTAATGAGGAAGGTGATTGATATCTTCACCAGTTTCCTCCATACAGGACAGTCAGAATCAACACTCAAGAATGTCTTCAGTTCCTTACGTCTCTTTCTAAACAGGGTAAGGTTCTCTCATCAAATTTTCTTTTGATATTTTGCCCCTCTGTCAATGCTAAGATTCAAACTCTTTCTACTCCAAAGGCAATAGACACTATGAACATGACGGACAAAGAAAGAGGACAAAATATACAGTTCCTCATTCTACCCTTAACAATAATTGCTGTGGTAGACAAAGGAACATCCCTTCACTGCTATTATGTAAAAATGTGTAGGACGGATGCCACATGCATATTCACCTGTTCTACACATTTTTACATAATAGCAGTGAAGGGATGTTCCTTTGTCTGCCACAGCAATTGTTGAGGGTAGAATGAGGAACTGTATATTTTGTCCTCTTTCTTTGTCCGTGATGTTCATAGTGAGAAACCATGTAAACCCTTATTCCTCTTTGTCTATCTGAGCATAATTAAAGCTAATGAGCACATGTTGCCTTCCTGGAGCCGAACGGATATTGCATCTTTATGAAACAAATGATGCAAGTTAATGCCCTCCTGGCTTACCACAGATGATGTATTACTTTCGCATTGCATATTTACAAATTTAAAAAGAACTAAAGGCTAGCATAAATTGTTTCTTTCAGATAGTTTTTATCTGTCCATGCTTGAGTTTTTTGTCTTGTTTAACTCTATGCTGTAGCTGGACTCACACTGAAATCAGTTTGTATACACTGTTATGTATATTATCTTTAGAAGAAGGTTAATAGAAAAGGTAGTTTGCTATATAATATATCTTAAAAAATGTTAATCTGTTAATTTTTTTTATCTATAATATCATATGTCAGGTACTGTGCTGTGTAATGTTTTTGTAGTAATGTTGTGTTTGTCATTTTATTGTAACCTCGTACACGAACATACATTTTACCATCATGTCATCTAATTTTAGGACGGCTACCTCTTTCTTTATGGGTGCTACCTACATGAACGAAGCAACTTTTATATTTTTGTTGCAATGTATTCATATATTGTTTTATGTTTATGTACCAATGTTTAAAATGTTTTGGTGATATAAAATTGAATTGAATTGAATTAATATATGCTATAAGGCAAGAACATGAATCGGAAGACTCAGTTGAACCAGGCTTAACTTGTTCCACCTCTAAATGAATAATAAGAGCTAACAATTCTATCCAATGGGAAAGATAGATAAATATGAGAGAAGTCATTCTTCCTAGCCCTATAATCCACTCTCTGTAGTCAGACTGGGATGAATTTGCCGATGACATCTACATCATTCCTCCGCGACACCACCACCATCATCATCGCCATCATCATCGTCATCACAGGGTTTTCTTTGGCGCCGAGCAGGCCGAACCCTATTTCTATTCCCCCAATGAATCTTATCCGGTGTGTAGGCATCGTGTCGACCCATGACCTTTGAACCTTGGCTGCTGACCTTTGAGCATTTCTACGGAATCGTGTTGCAACATGAACATCTTTTGCTTTCTCTTGCCTGATTTTCTTTTCTCGTTTCTATTTTTGTTAAGGTGAAGACAACATACACTATCAGGGAATAATTTTCCTCAATTTTTTTATTAGCAATTTCAGCCGATGGATGAATATTTAAAATGAAATTCTGTACATTTCTATGGAAGAAAACTGCTACAAAAAGGTTTTTGTATAGCAGTCATGCAAAAATGCATAGCAAATTGCGATGCGATACCAGGAAAATTATTCCCTGACTATGTATGTTAATAGTATATCGAGACTTAGAAAAGTTTCTCCAAACATGTTTCAGGTTATTTGTCCTGTATGCTTGAATTTAAATGGATTGAAGCACACATTTTCATTGCTGCTATGCTAGGCAAGTCTTGACTTCAGACGTTAATGCACTAAAGATTGTCTAGATGTGTGGAATAGGAATCAAATTTGGTGTGAAAATAATTAAACATTAAAACAAATATATTCTTCAAACTTTAATCTTAATTCTTTAAATGTGGCTCGTTTATGTTACTGGCAGCCAATTTGGAATAGTAAATAGAAAATTGGTTGACTTCCGGATAGATAGAAAACTACATGTACATGAATGCTATTTTTCTCATATTACTGACGTCTTTTCTTATGAGCACCACTCCTGCTGCAAGCGCATGGAACATTCTTTCACATATTCTGTCAAGTCTTGTCATATTCTTCTACTTTTATCAACTATTTCAAATGGCACACATTCCTGTGCATGGCCCTCTCTCTCTCTCTCTCTCTCTCTATCTCTCAATTAGAATGTTTACAAATGGACTGTTCTTATCTTTTTCTTTGAATTTTTCCTCAGTTTTTGTGATGTTCTTTATTTCCAAAATTACATTGCCTGATGGCTGCTTCCTCAATGAATGGCAAGCACATACATGTATGAGCATTGGATATTTATATGTCATGAAGCTGAATGAACGACATACATGTACATGCTGTAGCTGTAGCTTCAGTATACAAATGAGTTGCCTCTATAAATGGTTACAATAGACGCATTGTAATGCAACAAAATGTAGTCTTGTTTTGTAATACATTAGTTTTGTTTTACTTTGTAAACTATATTATTTTGTGAATAATGTTTTTTAAAATATTTTGGTCATAATGAGAGTAATAATTGATTGTTTACAGCCAAACCACCAAGGGCATTGCCTCTGTGTTTATTAAAAACGGGTTAATACCCTTGTAGCTCCAGAGTCCAAACAAGAGGATTACATGTACCTCATTATATTTTATCAATTTCTTCTATTTTTTCTTGCTCTTCAAAACAGTTCCCGGTGCCTCTTTTCAAAGGAACAGCCAACCTGTGCGGAGACCTCTGCCTAGCAGTAAGTAATATTTTATTTTTTATTTTTTTAATTACAACACATAGTTTTTGTCCCCCATATTGTGTCTCCAATAACGTCCTCGAGTGTCCCTTTAAAAACACATAAGAAACAGAAATTGAATGGTTAGGAGCATAAGAATAGAGCGTGGGGAGTCATGAAAGTTATGTGGTTTTACAGGGACTACTTTTGGATACATCTGGTATCTTTGTTTTCAGTGTATGAAGATAGTCAATGTTCTGAGGTCGTATTTTGAAAAGTTTTTTGTTAGGGGAAATGATATCAATTGTCATAACAGAGACTGAAATGGCATAGAATTTAACACATACATGTACATGTATGTACTGTTTCAATGAAGGTGGAGCCAATGTCTAATCTTAACATGCGTGTACATATGTAGCCAGCATTTCACAGATATTAACAAATAACTTTCTTACAACAATAAACACCGTGTCATAAACAATAAAGACAACTTTTCTTTTAAATAGCACTCCAGGAAGGTTGTGTGGTTTTATGGCTTGACTCTCTTTGGGTACTTGCATACAGTATATAATCTTTTTGTTTTCTGTGTTACAATGCAGTGTATATTCATTATTCCATGTATTTTCTAATCCTCACAGCTCCTGAAGAACCTAAATTCCAAGCTCGTCTCGACAAGGAATGAGGCGTGCGCTCTTCTCTATCTTCTCATGAGAAGTAACTTCGAGTTCACAACAAGGAAAGACTTTGTCAGAGTTCATCTACAGGTAAGGATGAGGAGGTTGAGGAAGAGGAGAAGGAGGAGGAGGAAAAGAAGAAGAAGGAGGAGGAGGAGGAGGAGAAGAAGAAAAAGAAGAAGAAGATGAAGAAGGAAAAAAAAGGAGGGAGAGGGGGAGGGGGAGGAGGAGAAGAAGAAGGAGAAGAAGAAGAAGAAGAAGAAGAAGAAGAAGAAGAAGAAAAAAAGGAGAAGAACAAGAAGAGGAAGAACAAGAACAAGAAGAATATGAGGAGGGGAGGGGGAGGAGGGGAGGGGGAGGAGGAGGGGGAGAGAGAGAGAGAGAGAGAGAGGAGGAGGTGGTGGAGGAAGAGTAGGAAGATGATGGTGATGATGAGGTTGATATTTGTTATGTAGGTGGTGGTGTTGATAAGGAAGAACGTAATAATACTTTTGATGATGATGATAATAATAACACTGGTGGTATTGATGAGGATAGATGATTTAATGATCTTAAAGATGTGGATGATAATGGTAATGAGGATGGTGATTTTGATGATGTTGATAGTGAAAAACCAATCATGATCAAAAAATGTTTTCCTAAAGATTTTATCTCTGTAATTAATTTTTATTTAACAATAGGTATGGTACTGTACTCCTTTAACAATGTTAATGTCAAAATATTTTATATTATATTTTATTTCCTTATGTTTTTATTTTCTAGGTGATCATCTCTGTAGCTTCATTGATTGGAGAGGCCAACAGTTCTCACTTCCAAGAGTCCTTAGCAACCATCAACAACTATGCAAACAGTGACAAGGGCATGCAGGTACATTTAATAACAAGATTATACAGTGCGTCCCAGAAAAAACGAAACCGAGAATCATCGATGTTTTATCATAACTTAATCACAATTATAATTAATAAATGACACATATTTGGAAAGCTTAGATCCTCCTCTTTCATTTGATGCAACTCATATAATGCATATTTCATGCATGAGTAATTAAAAGCAATTTGAAGAGAGGAAACCAAAAAGTCATTTGGCGGGCAGTATCTGAATTTTAAAGAGAAAATCACATTTCTAGAAAGTTCAATATCTGCCCTTTCATATGACATCCCAATCAGGAAAAGTAAGCCAGGATTAACAAAGTTCTCTTTGTTTAAAGTCATACTTGCATTTCCATAATTTGTGTATGGAATTACTGCCATTTAAGATTTGGGGGGGGGGGGGAATTGTAGCAATTGTTAATATCTATTAGGGTTCTTAAAAATAACCTTTTTCTTTTGTAGAAAACTGTCATGATGAACAAAGAAAAGAGGATTAGGGCTTAGATACATACATGTATGAAGTACTATTTTCAAACTATACAGTTTGTAAGCTGGGTGGCACAGCTTAACATTTAAAAGTGATATTTGTGGGAGCAACCAACAGAGAATTATTCCTTGTTTCATCCTGTTCCTTGCAGATATAGACAAATATCTTTTTTTAATTAAATCCCCTCTCTTCCAGCACACCGCTTTCCCGTCACAAGTCAAAGACCTGACCAAGAAGATCCGCACTGTTCTCATGGCAACGGCCCAGATGAAGGAACACGAGAAGGACCCAGAGATGCTGGTGGACCTCCAGTACAAGCTCGCCAAGTCCTACGCCAGTACCCCTGAGCTTAGAAGGACATGGCTGGACAGTATGGCTAGGATACACATAGAAAACGGCAACTATTCTGAGGTAACGCTAAAGCTTATCTGTATTAGTTTATAGGAGGGATAAGACCGCCCTGCAAGGTCACCGGACGGGTGGTTATCTCATCAACTCAGCTCTCAGTTTACATAAGAAAAAGAGGATCATGGGGGACTAATGGTCACCGATTAGGCATTAATCTACATTTGCCAACCAGGAGAGAAATAGGGACCTGGTAGGAGTGTCATGGTCGAGTGGTTTAAGCACTTGACTTGCAATTGAAAGGTAGTGGTTCGATCCCTGATACGGCAGTAATGTCTTTTGGCAAGGCATTAATTTTCATTTGCCACACTCGACCCAGGTGAGGTTAATGGGTACCTGGCAGGAATTCATTCCTTGAAATGCTAGAGCGCTGTAATGGCAGCTAGGCTGCACCTCGGAATAGAATTTCTAGATAGACGGTGCTATAGAAATGCCTAAAATTATTATTATTTTTAGGATGACAAAAGCCTCTGTATTAGGTAACCATGTGGTAGGAATGCTCCCCATGGAGTGGAGATGGTGCGCATTGTGCAAGAAAGAATCTGATGACAGGGGTAATAGTATCTGCATAGCACTTAGAGACGGTATTAAGTATTTAGCGCCTTATAAATCCAGATTGTTAGTATTATTATTATTATTATTATACTGGTAGACCTACATAAAAAGGTAATGAAAAGTTTTGGGAAATTTTGAAAATTGGATAGATAATAATTCTTTGAAATTTCGATATATTTAGATGCCCCTGTGGATGTATTATAAGCACTAGAAAATTTAGCCCCTAAAACACTTCGGCTTTCGAGAAATTGGATAAACAAAATTTTCTGGTGTAAAATCACATATATATATATGCTTTCAATATGTTCATTTGAACCAAATTCATGACCCCATACCAAAACTTTGTATTACCTTTAAGATTTACAATAACATTTAACTTGAATGTCTTTATCTTGACAGGCTGCACACTGTTACATCCACATAGCAGCTCTGATAGCTGAGTACCTGAAGCGAAAGGGAACCTATTCTCAGGGCGTCCAGGCCTTCAGGAGCATCTCACCAAACATAGAAGGAGAGGAGAAAGGCATCAAGAGCGATTCAGGAATGCAAGATGTACAGTATACAGAGGTGAGAAAGAGGCATGTTGATTAGGGCGGGTCAGGGGCAGGGCAGGGCGGGGCTGGGGCTGGGGCAGGGGCAGGGCGGAGCTTGGGTTGACCCATCTGGTTAAAGGGGACCAATTTCGTTAGGGGTTCTGTGTTGCTAAACTACATTTATATTCAGAACAAGAAATGCTGTTACTGATATTGTTAGGTTTGGTATTAGTTGTAGTAATAGTTGTAGCAGTAGGAGTAGCAGTAGTAATAGTAAATTGAAGTAGAAGTCATAGTAGAAGTAGGAACAGTAGCAGGAGTAATATAAGTAGTAGTATTTCTACCTCGGACCTGGGCCCGTTTCATTAAACCTGTTATAAATAACAAGTTGGAATAACTGTTATTAGCTACTGAAATCGTTGCATTTGATTGGCTGAGACAGTACTCAATATTTTATTTCATGTTGTTGTTTAGGATAACCTCCTTGCTGAGTTGGAGCTTTGTGCTGAAGGCCTGCAGAAGGCAGAGAGATACGAGTCAATGGGAGAAGTCTATAAACTCATCATCCCGTTCTATGAGAAGAAGAGAGATTTCCAGGTATGAAAAGGACAAGTTTGGGACACATGAGGGGTTATGTTTTTTCGCTTAAGTAAATCTACCTCAGATAGAGTGGATACGTCACCGAATGTGGATTCTTTTCAATTCAATTTTGGTTTTATTAAAAATATACTAAATAAAAAGTAAGAAGACTAATAATACTTGGTTCACATTCTATTATTTTAAAATTCTGTAATAAAAAGTAGGAAAAACATCACCAAAAAAAAAAATGATTGCGAATTATAAATTATGGATCACAGGGTCCCAGATTTGAGCCCTGCCGTTGCACTTATTTGCCAAACTTAATCCACGTGAGATAAATGGGTACCTGGCAGGAAGTAATGCCTGGGGAGCATTCCTGCCAGGCATCATTTTTACAAATGCACACTTGCTACTCTAAGCACATTAGTTTTCGCATCCTTCCGGGTACCTATGAAACACCTGGGTGGAGAGTGCCAAATGTAGATCAATGTCTTGACAAAGGACATTAGTTCCGCGGTGGGACTTGAACCGTGGACCTTGTGATCCACAGTCCGGTGACATATCCACTCGTCCACGACACCTTTTAATAGGGACTTTTAGATTTGCGTGGACTGATACGTGTAACGTCCATTCAAGGCAGTGCATTAAAAAACATCGATCGTAGCATGTACCCATTATCTTCGTGCGAATCTAAAGGTCCCTAGTATCACAATGAAGTGACTTGAATGAAAAAGGAATGAAAAGTCAATTGAAATAGAAATACGTTAACATTCTGTTCCTTTTGACTTTTTTTGTCCTATAGAGACTTGCTCTGGCCTATGGGAAGCTAAGCAAAGCCTACGAGAAGGTCATGAAACTACAAGGTACTGGCAAGCTGTTACTAGGCAACTACTTCAGGGTCGCATTCTTCGGTCAGGTGAGGCAATTCTCTTCTTTATTCCATCAATTGTCATTTTCATCTTGGACATTAGTATTGAAAATTATTGTTGTTCTCTAGTACAGGGATAATTATATAATATGGACTGGCCTTGAAGCAGATACCACATAATATTTCCCAAACTAGACTCATATTGCCCCGTGAGGGAAATATATGTGGTATCTCCCAAAAGTTAAGCCAGTCAATATTGTTATTATTATCTAAATCAGACATCTAGAGCAAATACATATATGACAATCTCATAGAACTGAACAAACTTTGTCAAACCAGCACTGTGCATCCAGCTGCTTGACAAAATTGTCGATACACTGCAAACAGTGTACCCAATTTGGTGTGATTATTACGTCACAATAAGAGTACGCGCAAAGCGCGCAGGTTCTCGTACACATAATAGATGCGCAATGACAATGACAAAATACGGCACGGTGAATATGGTCTTATATTTCATGCTTTTTTAACACGTAAAGTCCATAGGCTTTTTCATGAAAGGTAAATATGGTCTCATATTCCCCGATTAGCTCCTTTAGGATTACAAACAAGTGTAATATGATTTTGTAAAACCACTGCTCAGATGTCTGATACGGGTAATAATACTTTTTATTCATGATACAGTGTGTGTCCCTTTCACAATTTTTGTTCTTAATGTATTCTGCTTTTTTCTTTTAATAATCTGGAGGAAAACACTACTTCTGACTGGAACCTAATAAACAACACTTTTTAGACTGTATTTGAATCATAATGCATTGAGTACTAACTAGTCAGATATGTGCATGTTGATAAAAATGAAATTTTTGTGAACAGATTTGTTTAATCATGCGCTACCATATTTTGGAACAATTGGAACATAGATCATAAGTTTTTGTTATTATGTGTTGTCATGTGACAGCACTTTGAAGAGGATGATGGGAAGGAATACATCTACAAGGAGCCAAAGGTCACAACCTTACAATCGATCTGTGAGAGATTACAAGCCCTTTTCTCCGACAAGTTTGGCTCTGAGAATGTGCAGCTCATCAGAGATTCCAACAAGGTTAGCAACTTTGATTGATTGTTTTTTCTTTCTAGTTCCTTGATGTGTGTGAAATTTGTTTTGATTTTTCCTTTAGTTCCTTGATGTGTGTGAAATTAGTTCCTCAATGCATGTCTCTCCATATATTTTGGTAGATGGATGTATAGATTTGAACTGTCTAGCCCCAGCCACTCTGATGAGACATATATTTTGAATAGAAATTAAATGGCCTAAATTTTGCAGTAGACAGTGAGACTGAGGTATGAATATTTTGGTTATTTTATACTTTTAGTGTGTGTCAGTCAGATCAGATCGTATACGCTTACGTACAATTGCCAGTGTAAGCCAGTGTGTAAGTGCAGAAGGAAAAAGAGGGCCATTTCTCACAAGCATTCGCTTTTCTTTTGGTGCTTCCCATACTGTATTTTGTATTATTGTTTTTATGGTTATGGTTAAATGAAATATCTTAAATCTTGAATCTGATTAGTTATGCTTGCAAACAAAATGTGATGCCACCATCTTTAGACTGTCAGTAGGAAGATGAGACTAAAGAGATGATAGGAAATGTTCCTCACGTGGAACCTCATTCTTCCCATCCTTGCTATATGACAGGTGAATATTGACACGTTGAAACCCGCCATTGCCTACATCCAAGTCACCTTCGTGAAGCCTTTCTTTGACGAGAGGGAGCTTGCGGAACGAAGGACCATCTTTGAGCGGTCAAACAACATCCGACGATTCGTCTTTGAGATGCCCTACACCAAGAAGGGAACTGCTAGGTCAGGGGCTGTGGAGGACCAGTTCAAGAGAAAGACCATCCTTACAAGTAAGAATTATAAATTCAATCTTAAAGATTCAGATATATCACGTGATGAATTTATTAACGCTTGGATGTGAGTGATCTCATAGGTATCACTCCCATCCACAAATAATATGCCCTATACTGCACTGTGCAGTGATATAAACAAATTATGCTTTCATTATTTTTATGCCTCCGCCACCGAAGGTGGTGCCGGAGGCATCATGTTTTCGGGTTGTCCGTCCGTACGTCCGTACGTCCGTCCGTACGTCCGTACGTCCGTCCGTACGTCCGTCCGTCCGTCCGTACGTCCGTCCGTCCGTCCCGTTTGACCGTTATCACAATATCTCAAGAACCATTTAAGATTTAAACTTAAGACTCGGGAATAGTATTTATCACCATAGGAAGACGATCTGATTAGATTTTGGAGTACGTAGGTCAAAGGTCACAGGTCACAGAGGTCAACTTATGAAATTCCTTGTATTGAGTTTGTTAGCGCGATATCTCAAGAACCATTTGAGATTTAAACTTAAAACTTAAGGATAGTATGTATCACCATAGGAAGACGATCTGATTAGATTTTGGAGCACGTATGTCAAAGGTCAAGGGTCACAGAGGTCAACTTATGAAATTCCATACATTGAGATTGTTATCATGATATCTCAAGAACCACTGGAGATTTAAACTTCAAACTTAGTGATAGTGTGTATCACTATAGGAAAACAATCTGATTACATTTTGGAGCACGTAGGTCAAAGGTCAAAGGTCACAGGGCTCATTATGTATGCAAAAACAGCTTGTGATCGCGTTATCTGAACAACCGATTGATGGATTCCTGCCAAACTTTGGTCATGTATGTATCTTGCAGAGCTGATGAACTGATTAGATTTTGGGGTCACGAGGTCAAAGGTCAAAGGTCACAGGGCTCATTATGTATGCAAAAACAGCTTGTGATCGCGTTATCTGAAGAACCGATTGATGGATTCCTGCCAAACTTTGGTCATGTATGTATCTTGCAAAGCCAATGAACTGATTAGATTTTGGGGTCACGAGGTCAAAGGTCACAGCGCACATTATGTATGCAAAAACAGCTCGTGATCGCGTTATCTGAACAACCGATCGATGGATTCCTGCCAAACTTTGGTCATGTATGTTACTTGCAGAGCTGATGAACTGATTAGATTTTGGGGTCATGAGGTAAAGGTCAAGGTCATGCGGCTCATTATGTATGCAAAAATAGCTTGTGATCGTATAATCATTAGAACAGATTGATGGATTCCTGCCAAACTTAGATCATTTATGTATCTTGCAGAGCCAATGAATGGTTCATAAGATCAAAGGTCATGGGCTCATTATGTATGCAAAAATAGCTTGTGGACGCATTCTCATTAGAACTGACAGATGGATTACTATTTAACTCAGGAAATCTTGCAGAGCCAATGAACTGAGTAGATTTTAGGGTCATGAGGTCAAAGATCAAAGGGTCATATATGTTTATGAGAAATTGCTTGTAATCACGATATTCTGAGAACATGTTAATGGATTACAATTGAACTTGAATTTGAAAAATTTCTTCCGTTTCGGTTTGTAAAATTGCTCTATGACGGAGGCATCATTTTCGACTGCGCGCAGTCGAATTCCATCTAGTTATGTATTGGTTTTGGTTGTACAAGTAAGAAGGGTTCTAATGTGTATTAGGTAGATATCACATCAGTGTTAAATTGTATTGAGTAGGTGAATAGTATCGACCAAGAATTTATGTAACGATTACTTTTAAAAAGGGAGGGGGTGGGAAGGGAATCTTCATGTTTTCTCCACCTGTTTTCAATCTCCTGCACTTTCCTGTACATTGCATTAAGAGAGTCTATAGCAGCTGCAGGGTCTTTACACATTGACATTACTTTCTCATTTCATCTAATTAAAGGGATTGGGTAGCTTTGTCTCAGATTCTGAAACAAAATTCTGGATTTAGCTCATGCTGCAATCATAATTATTAACCTTTAGGTCATTCAGGAATCCCATGACTTTTGTGATTATCAAGATATTTATGATTGAAAATCAAAATTTCTTTTTGCGTTTTCCTAACGGTTTTCAAAACACTACAGTCTATTGGGGAAAATGATTATGTTAAAACCGGTCACTCAAAGATTTTTACTTTTTGGAGGCACTTTATGATCATTTTGAAGCGCAATTTTGTTATGGCTTCAATATTACACCATATCACAGACACTGATAACACATAGGGCCATGTATCTCAGATTTAACATTGTTAAATGATGCTTTAACCCCTCTCCACCTGTCTCCACCAGCCTCCCACACATTCCCGTACATCACCAAGCGAATCCAGGTGGTGTACCAGCAGTCTCAGGAGTTCAACCCCCTCCAGGTGGCCGTAGAGGAGCTCCAGGTCAAGGTCAAGGAGATGAACGAGGTCTTGGACATGGAAAACGTGGACATGAAGAGGCTCCAGCTACTACTGCAGGGCAGTGTCAGCGTACAGGTGAGAAACAGAGCTTTAGTTTTCAGTCTCATCAGCACCGATTAGGCAACAAGATATTGGCGCTTAATACATTCCTGGATTGGATTGGATATTTGCTATGGAATGAAACCATAAACTATTATATTAAATTGAGTATATGCTACTTATACATTGTACATGTAAACATATTATGTGTGATTAAAGTTGACTCTGTCAGTCCACGTTTTGTTCAAATTACAATATTAATGCAGGTAAAGAGATAAGGTAAAGATCTCAATACTTACATTTATCCTGCTAAGATCTTCATTTTCCTCCCCCACCCTCATCTATGTAAATGTTAGTTAAAGAACTCTCTGGAAATGATCAGAACTAATCAAGCTTTCTTCTTCTTCAAATTGTCTAAACCGCTGTTCTTGCGACATACATGTATATATGACATGCCTACATACTGTATATAGCTGTATTTTGTTCATTATCCTTTTTGTTATGATGGTGCGTCTCAAAAACTGTGTTTTTACAAATATATAAAAAAAATAGTTTGCATGCATGGAATAAACAATTTTCAGCTTTGTTTGATTTTTTGTTTGATTTTTTTGTTGTTGATTTTTTGTTGATTTTGTTTTGTTTTTTTTTGTTTTGGGGAGGCGGGAGGAGGGGAAGTTGAGGTGAGAGTTTAGGGGGATCATGGGTACCCTGCCCCTGCTCTTGTCATGCCTTTTTATTTATTGTTTTGGTGTGTATTTTGCAGGTCAACGCAGGACCAATGGCTTATGCTGCCGCCTTCCTAGGGAGAGGCAGGGAGGAAAAATGGAACAGCCAACAAATCAGTGACCTCAAGAAAGTCTTCAGGTTGGTATTTAATTGGTACAGAGAAACCTGTATATAAAGACCACCAAAGGAGATAAGAATAGTGGTCTATATAGGCAGGTTGTTTTTTAGATGCTGCTGCCTTACATATAGGTTTTAATGGAACAGCCAACAAATCAGTGACTTCAAGAAAGTCTTCAGGTTGGTATTTTATGGTAAAGTGAAACCTTTATATAAAGATCGCTGAAAGGGGACAAGATAAGAAAGAAGCTGAAGGTAGCTGGTTTGGACACTTGGATAGCGCTAATGAAGGAAAAAGAATAAAGTTCATTATGACGCGAGTAGTTTGATTAGTATTGCTTAAAAATAACCCATTGAATGAGCAGATGAGGAGAAATGAAGGCGATACAATTTATCTGTTGCATTTTCTCTTTTTAAAAGGATTTCTATTCTATTCTTTTTGTAGGGATTTTGTGACATCATGCCACAATTCGCTGTACGTCAACGCTCAACTCATCAAGTCTGATCAGTACGAGTATCATGACGATCTAGAACAGAAGTTCCAATCCATGGTCCACACAATATCATCTCTAACGGGGGACAAGGTGAGAGATTGATGATGGTGGTGGTCTTGGTAGTGATGGTGGTGATAATGATGGTGGTAGTGTAAGTGATGGTAATGGCAATGATCCGGTAACGATGGTTGGTTGTGGTGGTAGAAGTGGTGAGGGTGATGATGAAGACAATGATAACGGTGGTAGTGGTTATGATGGTGATGGTAGGTTGTGGTGATGATGATGATGATGCTGGTGATAATGATGATTATACCATTATCATGAGGATCTAGAACAGCTCTAATCCATGGTCCCTACAGTATCATCTATAATGGTAGAATGTTTTATTATTGTTTTAGTGACGATGTTGTTAATGGCAATAATGGTGATAATTTGATGGAAATTATTAGATGGTTCATAAAGTGATAAAAATTATTATTTTCAAGTTTTATTGACGTAACTTCAACTACAGTATGACTCTTGTATGATACTAGTAATTTGATACATATCCTCATGTATAATCACATGTAAGATGCTGTCAATTTCTACCCGTTTTCTTCTCATTTATCTTTAGTTAACTGATGACGAGCAAACATTAGGGAGACGATCTTCATCCACCATCTTCAGTGCCATCAGCGGAACACCTTGACCTTTGCATCTCATGACCTGTGACCTCGCAAGATTAACACTTGTCTGAAGCAAACGTATAATTCCAAAGAGGTTGTCAATTCAATGGAATCTGTCCACCTGAAAGAGTGATGGGAACTCTTTATCCTGATCACGTGAGATGCTTTGGAGGCAGCCAAAAATATTATAACGATCTAAACTTGACACTGGAACTGACATCTGCTCCATGTCATGATTTTATTCTCCATTCAACCAACAGATCTATCTAACAAGTGACTGGTATCCAGCTTCGGCAGTGGATGACATAACACATTTCTCGATATTTCAACAACACACTCTGTAACAATATAAAGACTTTTTAAGAACATTTAAGAACATGTATAAATCTGCATTTCTTTGCGTAACCTACAAATTCCTGCTGCAGCCAATAATGAAAGTGGAGACTTTCATCTGTGACGTATCAGTTGCAACCTGTTAGTTTGACACGAGTTTTGTTCTCCAAAAGGGGATATTCTACCTGCTATCAGCTTTGTGGATACTTTACATAAATGTGTGTGAAAACTTGAATTAAAAGACAGCAAGTTATACAAATGTAGAATAATGTTTTTAGACGGATCTTGAAATATTGAATTTTGGTTTTGTGATCGGTAATGAAATAAATGTATGTTTTTTCTCAGAACATTGCATTTTTAAGTGCATTTGATATGAATCCAGGAGTAAAATTTACACAGAAATGCCAGCTAGTATATAAAGATATTGTGTAATCTGTTATACTGTTGAGGTTGTCAAATTGCAAGTAATGGCAGACATGAAGAAATAAATAGTAATGCTCTTTTTAAAAATGTGTTGTTTTATTACGTAATAATTCTCTCGTAGACATTTTAATGTTTAGATAAAGAAACTATTTATTCATTTTGTAGGTTATATAGTGAAGAGTAATATATCTTTGTAGAGTTCATTTACTATTCATATGGGTGCTAACTGATATCTTTTGGGCAATATCTAAATATTTTCAGGCTTCATTTATTGATGATTAAAGGCTGGTATAAAACGGTGACATTGACCTATGGCAGAGATGTGTGAGTTGTCCCACTGGCAATTTGAATGGCTATCCTATTACTTAAATTTGTCTCTTTTTGGAAATAAAGTTATCAGAAAAATGATGTAGACACACACAAAATGATGATATGTAAGTTGAAATATAAAGGACTACATGGAAAGTCCCCTCTAATAAGCTAAATGGCATCAAATTGGAGTGTATGACATTACCTGTCAGTGTTAAACATTTCTGGATAGCCATAATTGGATTTTAAGCTTATTGTTGTTAACTTGAAAATTACACAATAATGGAGAAAATATAATTTTTGTGAAGCAAACTGCTACAAAACATGAGGTGATTTTCGGTGCAATTAAGTATTGTGGTCAAGAAAAGAAGTTGATAATGCAATGTGATACATTTACGTGGATGGAAATAAGAAAGGGGCCATTATTGTGTGTTAAATAGAAAAACTGTGTTCTTTCATATCAAATTTTAACTATTTGAAGCCATGTTTGAGTTATTTTGTTTGTAGAGAGTTCCATGATGTTTGATGAGATGTGAATAATAATGAGTTCATGAAATCGCTTGTTAATAATGATCTTGACAGTTTTCTTTTTTACATTCCATTAATTCTTTTTGTTTTAGGATGATGTCATTGTAGGGAAGATGAAAGCAAAAACAGAAATATGATGTATATGTTTGCAACTGACATTTGTGCAAGCTTTTTTATATATCTGTTTCCATATGGGAGTTTAAACTATCAAAATAGTAATCTGATGCATAAAGTACAAAAAATGATGTGATCTTTATATTACATTTCCATGTATGAACTGAATGTTGACTCTAAAGGCTCCATAATTTAAACTACATGTATTTTACTTGTAAATTAATTGCAAATGGAGGGTGCGGAAAAAAAAAGGAAAAAATCTGCTTTTAACAAGGGCCCCTGAGCATACACAGTTGCATGTACAGTACGTATCTCTCTTTTTAGATATTACCGTATATAAAATGCACAACTCTTACTATCCTTAGACATGTATAATCATCTTTTTCAGCTGCAACATGTTTTCTAATGCGGTATACTACATGATTTGTGAATTGGGCTGTAGGTAAAGCTGATCTGTTGGAAAGATATAAAACATTAAATGTTAAACAGACAAGACCCTTTGTGAACTTGGGTCAATGGTGAATTGTCCATTTTCGATTCTCACACTCATCACGACTAAATCTGCAATAAAAATCATATAACTTAAAAGATAATAGATGTTATATTTTCTTTTCTTTTTTCTGAAAAGAGGTTTTTTTAAATGAAATTTGCTCTCAATATGCACCGGTGAGGGATAAGGAACTAATAAATCATGACTGAAATATTTTGCAAGATCTTTTTTTCTAACTTTGATCAGTGTTACATTTTTTTCTTCAAATTTGCTCTGCTATCATTAATATGTATGAAATATGGAAAATGACATTATTTAGTGATCGGTTGCATTTACTGTATCAATCATTCTTTTACACTGTACTTCGTTGAAAATGATCACTATCCAGTAAAGTCTGAATTAGACGTTAATGGTAAGGCAAGTATTGGTTCAATTAATATTTCTTTTCAGCAACTCAAATTTTGTAATGCATCAAATGTTTTGTATGTGGTCCTGTTTTTCTAGGTGATTTCTTTTTTAGATATATATCATTATAATTGTATAAATTATGAATAAATTAGTATCTCAAGCATATTTAAATGCACCATCACCATATTCTTGGAAAAGAAAAAATGATATTAATGACTTCAGTGTTAATTTGTTCATATGTGAAAAACAAGCAGTTTCCTTTTTGACTATGTAAATAAATTGTATCATTTTACTATCATAACTTTAACATTAAGTTTAACTTAAGAAGTCATGCTATAGTAAATGTATTTTACATGATGGGTTGTTTGTGTATTTGTCTGTGAATTAGTGTACAGTTATAATGATATGCCAAAAGATATGTTTATTTTTTGAAGAATATGAGATTGTGGTGGATTTGTGTGTACTAAGCCTTGACAATATGCACTTGTAAAACAGGATTGGAAAAAAAGAGATGTTAGACAAAATACCAAATAATTGTCTGATTCGTAAGTAGCGCCATGAAAGCTTTGAATTTGTAAGTAAGGACATTAATTTGATGCTGTAGAGGAATGAAGACATCCTAATGCGGATTTAAAATTCGCTTAAAAAGCAAAGTAGAGTTTCACTTTACATGTACAGTGTAACTAAGCTTGAAAACAAAACAGTTTCAAGAATGTTCATGCAACAAGAGATGAAATGAATATAGCGATGGCAAGCTTTTCAACTTGTCTGGTTTCAAAATTTCAGTGTATTGTATGATTTTTTTTTATTTTTATTAGATTTTTAAGTATTTAATAAATAAGACCTCTTTGTAAATGATCTTATTACTCTGAAAAAATGCTTAGACCCATATATTTGTGATAATGGTGGTGTATAATATAGCAATTTGAGGGGAAAAAATGATATCTGTGATATTTATATCCTCATTGGTAAATTGGTTTCTGCTATGTTATAATGAATACAATCTTGCACAAATAAGATATTTTCCAGCCATATTATTGTGTATTGCTGAATTTGAAGTAAAAGTTTAATTATCAACGTTTCTTTTGTTAATTATATCACCAAGATCATTAGCCAGAAATGTATCTTCATTATCTGGTAATTTTTTTTTTAAATAGAAGATCTATGATAAAGACATGATATATAGGTATGATTTAGTACATTTTGATTATTATAAATGAAACACGAAAAACCACAGGGATACTTAGTTTTTTGCTAAATTGGTGTATTTATCTTCAATTTAGCATAAATATACTTGCCAATGGATACATGTGAATTACTGGTAGACTAGTTTCAGAATGACTAAATAGCATTGCATAATGTTACTAGAGCAAGCTACTAAATGTGGTATAGGAAAGAAATAAAAACTGACATACGTTTAGTTACATGTAGTAGCATACATGTATGCCAAGATAATCATAATTGTTGACTAAAAGTAGTGAAGTCAACTACGAATATAATTCCATGATAAAATCGTCATTGATGTCATGAATTGATAAATCTGTACATTCATATGAAAAAGCGGAAGAACTGTTACTATCATTTTTATTCATCAGTTTATTTTTTTAATCCAATCAATAAAGATTTAGCTTCATCAAAGAATATTTCTGTGTCCCCTTTTAGAAATGTAAAATAGATAATATTTTAGTATAAACCATAATCCTCCTACGAACCAGTATATCAGCAGCAGATATTTTATGGAGATATATTGCAGAACCGATGCTACTTATATGCAAGATAAATGACATGTAAAGATGGCATACCTTGACTCGGCTTCTTTTACTTTTGATGATTATGTTTTAGCAGCTGTATACATACATTGTTTTATTACAGATTATCTGATAAATAACACATGTTTCTGCTTTGAACTTGTAAGACTTGTTTCCTTGGGTAAAGTAGAATGTATGGACTTGCTCTCTCTACAGTTATAGTCTGCTGCGAGAAAGGGGGTTATTTCTGTCATTTTTGTTTATATAGAGTTAACAGTCATGCTCTAAGCAGACAGTATAATCTTTATGATATTGTTATTCAAGAAGTTCAATAAACTATCGGTATGATAGCTAACACTAAATGTTTCACGTGAAACAATGAGAGCTGTTTGTTTATGAGTACAGGGTTTTATTTACATTTGAATCAGTTACATTTAGGTTAGAGTTCAGTAACATCAATGAAAATTGAGTTGAAACGTTTTGTTTAATCCAGCAGATTCTATTAAATGTGTTGGCTCTGTTTTGTAAGACTTTTCCCCCTAAATTTGTCAAGAACTAATCAGACAATAGGGGCAAGATAAGACAGAAGAAAGCATCATGATAATGTGTACTAATGAATAAGATATTGTAATATCATTCATAATATTGTAAGAGTTAACATAAACAAGAATACAACAGTACATTGCATGTGTTGCGTTGGCGTAATTACCCTTGCTAATGCGATGAAAGTATATTTGGTAATACTTGTGACTGTATTATTATTATTTTCAAACTATGTCATGATTATGTAATATATTGGTAGAGACCTCGTACCATGGATATTTTTTACCCTTGACCCTGTTCTTCTCATGACATGTATGTAGTGATAGCGAAGATGGAGGTGAATAGTATGTATTGTTATCATCAATAAGGTAAATAAATTCCAGGTGTGGCAGATTATTATGCCATGTCGAAAATCTATGAAATTTTACTTTGTGTTGTTTTCCTTTTCATCCCAGTCTGAATTTCTTGGTGATTATGAAAATGAATAATGTTCAATTATATTAAGTGACTGTCCAGTCCTCTGTTTTGCAGTAATACTCAAAACTCAATTTACATGTACATGTATATGAGATCTACCAAGCAGTTAACCTTTCAGTGATCACCATCAATATTATCAAGAATTAGTTTCAAGTCTTCCTTTAAATTTTTGAACTTTGACACTTCGGTGTTTAGGTATACTGCATATTATTTTATAAGGCATGAAGTCCGCTTCCCCCACCTCTTTCTCCCTCTTTATTTTTTCTCTTTCTCTTTCACACATTTTCTCTCGCACCTAACCAAACATTGTAGGGAGGTTTCCTGTATTAGAAGAACCAGGCTTATTGAGGGGTGTAGTTCTTGTACTTATCTTTCATTCTCCCAGTCTTATTCATATCAAAGGTTTCAATTCAGGCCCCACAAAATATCTGTTTCATAAAATTCTTGATATTATAATAACCAAAGGATAAAACAAAAACAAAAAACAATAACTTTTTCATACTTGCCATTTACTGACGTCACAACTTTTCCCTAACTATTGCTATAGTATTATGACATTTTATTCAATACATTAATTGTCATATGGCAAGTCTTATCACTGCTGTTTCACTTTTGAAACACCTTATACCATCAACTCAAAGTTTCTTACAAATATCGTGTGCGCATTTCTATACTCCACTAAGGCGACCGTCGTCCATTGTCCTTTCATGCATATCGCGGAAATGGCGTGGTGCGATGAAATAGGCGAGTAAAAATTTGTTAAACGACATTTAATTCCATACTTTTTAAGTAAAAATAACAATCATATTATATCTTCATTTGACGTGAATACATATTAACACGGTGAGTTCATGACGAAAACAGATACAAGGAAAAAAAAACACATGCAAAGAGCACCCTAGATTCGAATTTAAGATCTAAAAGAAATCATCCATAGTAGATTCTACAGAGAATTCGCACACTTGCATACTCATTTCGGGTAATTGCGCTGTGCTAAAGTAATGTCGAAATTCAACGATTAAAAAAATAATAGATCTATGTACATGTTCACATGTACTGTAGGCCTACATGTCGTATATACAGTCATGTATAATTATGTAATTTGACGATTTTCTGATTTAAATGCGGAAATGTTTTGATCGGATGCTAGATTAATGTAAGTCCTCGATACTCGAATAACACAACAAACAACAAAAAAAACACAATACATAAAACATGCAAACAACAAAACACTCGGACTGTATTCAACAGTCGAGATGTCGTTATCAATACGGAGTCAGTGAAAATGCATTTTCTTGTATTTCAACCAAACGCCGCAAACTCTCTTTTATAATAATCAACGTTTTATTGCGACTTCGCAATAAGCAGACCTGGGCCCCGTCTAGTAAGACAGTAACGATTAATCGCAACTTATTTACGATTGATATCAATCGCAATTATGTAAATAATACATAGGAAACTGCAAACTTGCGATTGATTAGAGGACTTGCGATTGATTCGGTACAATCGCAAATCTTTATAAAACGGGGCCATGTACTACAATCAAATCCGTCGCGCACCAATACTACGGGCTTTGAATTAATATGATACTAGCTCTGTTTTATTAAATTAATACACAGATACCTCTACTATAATATAAACAAATAAGTGGCGTGTTCCTACCTTTAGTGAATTCCTCCAAATATTTATACATAAACACACTAAAATCCGTTATAATATAATCCATTTGTACATAATCCAAGAGCTGTAAGGAGAAATAGGTAGTACGATATTTTATTTTACTATGTACTATTAATGCGTGTATGTGAACGAAGTACGTGTATACACAGTTGTTGTGCACTCATATTTCCATAGCACCGATAGTTACGCTACCATGCGTTTGAGTGTACACGTCAGCTTTCCTTTGTGACGCAACAATGTGATTTCCCTCAATGCGCGTAATGGGCAGTGCGAAAAATAGGTCACGGGTGAGATTGAAGGAAACTACGTCATGGGGGGGGGGGCGCCAGTTTTGCTCTGTGAATAAGATGTAAATAAACAAATTCACTGATTAGGAGGTGAGAAAGGGGTCTTATAATTTATCATCTTCATTTCTCATCCCCTTACTTTTCCTTCTCTCCCTTGCCCTTCTCTCTCTCTCTCTCTTCCTCTCTCCCCTCTCTCCCCTCTCTCTCTCTCTCTCTCTCTCTCCATTCTGTCTCTCTCTCTGTCTGTTTGTCTCTCTCTCTCTCTCTATCGCTCTCTTGTATTTCTACATCGATGTTTGGTGCGTGTATTTTTCTTTATAATGTTACTTTTAGTGTCAATTTTCAATGGGTTAACAAACATTCGAGAATGACCGTACTACATTTACCTAGATTTTGGCAAGCTTCGTCTTCCAAGCTTCCCCCCCCCCCCTCCCAATCTAATTTGAACATTTCAGAAGTTATCAATGCATTGCACTTATTTTGTTCGTGTGATAAAGACATTCGTTGGTTTAATTAAGATTCACACGCTAGTAGCTAGCCTCTTAGATTAAATAAACATTACTGTGTTTTGAAAGTCGAATTTAATACCCTTCGTCAAAAATATTTTTAGTCTTATATAAGTTGTTTATTTAGTTATTTATTTGGCCTATACATCTATTATTTATGGATGAAGTATTTATTATGTATTTAATATTATTCTGTTTCTTAATCTGTTTTTATCTATATATCCTCAAGTTGTTATTTATCGTATCATTGTTGGCAAAACTCAACATTTGATCCCATTTTCGGCAGATCTGGCCCGACACCCCCCACCCCCCCCCCCCTCTTTCTTCCTCACTGCCAACAGATCTAGCGACGTTTCTGGCTTTTAAGTACTCGTAGGGGCGTATCCAACTTAGAGGGGGAACGGGAATACACCCCCTCTTTTATTCGAAGGCCCAATGACTTAATTTGCCCCTCTCAAAAAGAAAAGAATTTAAAAAGAATAAAAGAATGCTAGGTCAATCAAAATAGATGAATTTCAATGAATTTTAAAATCAGAATTTCTCTGTGTCTTTATTCCAAACTACAGTACATAAATAGTTGGATAATACAGTAAAAATGCGTTAATACCTGTAAAGGCACGGTTAGAATGTACAAGGCATGAACAATGAAACAATATTACAAGACAGGCACATTTATATACATATCATACACATTGCTAATTATCTTCTTCTGTTTTTTTTTTAATAATTAAAAAAAAAGAAATTGTAAGGAAATTTAAACTAAAAGTGTTATGAACCTGACTGTGATAACGGACGAAATAAGAATATTCGGTGCTTAATTCTACACTTAATTTATATGTTAGGTGGTTGAATGTATGAGTTGGACCTTTAGACATAAATAATTATTATTTGGAAGAAATGATCTACCAATAAAGGGGACAGCCCACAACCTTTGTAAATAGTTGTATGCGATAATTAAAAAACAATTACCCCCAATAAAATCTATTTAAAAAATGATATGAAATTGGCCATTCTGAGGTTATTCATCGATGAAAAGAAAACAATATACAAATTATCATAACGCAAGTAGGAGTCAAGAAACATTCATGACATTTTAGAAGTAAACTGCAGAAATGAAAACAATTTATAAATTATCATAACGCAACAAGGAGTCGCGAAACAATCATTACATTTTAGAAGTAGAGTGTTCAACAGCGCTTTGTACACAGAGTCATGAAGAGGGGCATCCATCTTGACAGCCCATGAGAACAAAAATGTCGGCCGGGCCGAGAGGATCCTTCGAAAAGTGGTAAGAAGGTTCGTGAGATCGATAAGGTCATGAACCCTCGGATGACTTTGCAGATGTCCTGCTAGATGGACATTTTTGGTTTCATGGTCTGTCGGTCTCGTGGGCTGTAATCACCTTGGAGTTCATTACAGGTATCAATCGGTGAGGTAAAACAAACATGGATTCTAAATCCCCCGGATCCGCTCCTCCCCCTCTCTCCTCCCCCTTCCCCCCTCCCCATTACTGCAGATAATGTACAAAAATGATTTAAACAAATACGTAGACACAAAAATAGAAGGTAGGCAAAACATTGAAATCATCCACAAATAAAACGAATCATATATAAAAATCTACAAATGAAGCCCTGTAACATTTTATGGTTAGTGTTATTTAAGATTATGATTAGAGATTAAACTGCTACTGGTTATTCATGATATTTTAAAGACCAATCTATATACACGGTCAGTCAATTATTTTTAAAGTCTACATGATAACCTATTACAAAATGACGGCTTTTCTTCCTAATAAATATGATCTCCTTCTACCAGGAAGAAACCTAGACAATTCAAACGTACATTCTAAAACTTCACATATTACGCGGCCATTGATCGTAGAGAACAAGAATAGTTGAATTAGAATACAGTTATCGAAGATCGTAACACTGCCAGTTGTACATAATTTTGGGTCAAAATTAATCTAACCTTAAAAAACAAAAATCAATATTCATAGCAATTTCTCAATCGACTATCATTTCGTATTTGTCATGCAGTATTTGTTAACTCAAGGTTATATAGACCCATAACTTTTTGTAACACCTTTATGTATTAAGCATTTATCTGGAAGCCTACAAACTTTTTTCTGAGACTCTCGATTCGTATTTCACCCAACAGCGTTTACACTTGCACTGTCTCAATAGCTTTCGTTAATTCAAAACATATATTGTTGTCCTTCAGCAACTAACATTTGGAAACTCCCTTCATTTCCATTGGTTTCACAGGCTTAACTCCCAGATTTCAGGCACATTTCGAGGATATCTGTTCTCATGTTTCACTCAATTAAGACAAGACGATTTATTTTTTCTTCTTTCTTTGCAAACCTTTGGTCTCCATATTTATTTCCTGCTGAACCAGCCATTCAGCCATTGCTGTCCATGTATAAGACGCATCTGTGCGTGCGTTCAGTTACCGCGTTGGCGTTCGAGACGCTGTTGTCTGCGCGCAGTACGCGTTGCTTCGTCCACATTCCTCCCGCGATGTCCATCCTCGGTCACCGTTCTCTCTTCCGTGTCCGGGGTCATCGCGCTCAATGCGTTCTGCGAGCGTATCATAATCCGGAAAGACTTGAGGCAGTATGTGTACTTGCGGCCTTCCCACGTCCCCCAGTTCACTACAGCACCGTTCAATCCTCGGGCGTCGGACCGGGCGAGCCAGCGGCCGTTGGGGTTGGCCTTGTTGCAGCCGCGGAACCAGTAGCCGGCTTGGCGGAGGAAGGCACAGTTGCCGATGGAGACATCGTGATCACGGTCCTGCGATAAACAAAAACAAAAACGATAATTAGTTCGAGAGAAAGAACTTGAGTGACAACAAGAGGAAACACAAGAAAGATAACAGTAAATGGACAAAAACAGAGCAATAGGGGGAGAGAGATAAATAGATTGATACGAAGACATGGTCTGGGCCAAGTCTGTCAACCTCTCCAACAAAACGTCGTGTTGACGAAGATTGAGATCTTCTATTTTTTAATAATCGGTTCAACAACTATGTCTTGACTAGTCCAAGGTGTCGTTGGGTGTGTGTGTGTTTTTTTTTTTTTTTTTCCTCTTCTTTTCTTTTTTTCTTTTTCCGTCACGAAATCGTTGCAAAAGTTGTGTTGACGAAGTCCGATGTTTGATCTGTTAGGGCATTTAGGAGATCAACTTGTCCCAACAAAGTCGTCTTATACCAGATCCGAGGTCTCATTTTTTATCAAATCGTACCACCAAATTCGGGTGATAAGATTCCTTTTCCCACATCTCTTCTCATTTTCTTGTTAACAAAAACAGATCTTATTTCCTTGATATCTCATCCCGATGAAGTCGGTTGACGAGATCCGAGATCTCCTTATCTCTTCGCCCCGTCGTAAGCCTCAAAACTCATCTCGTCTACTTGGTAATATTTTCTAATCGTCCGAAGTTTCTTCTCCATATCCAATCAACTCACCCTGGTTGAGAACTGTGTGTTGTTGTGATATGTCATGGAGTCTCCTGCATTGCCTCCCATGTACTGTCCGAGGATCAACCGGAAGTTATCACTCTCATCGTTGATCCGGAAGCCGTTGTACTCTGCATAACCCAATTGGTCATCCCAGTCCGTGAACTCTGTAAAAAGGGTTAACAAAACTGAGTATGATACGAAACCGGAAAACATTTCGCTGTTTTTTGTAATATTTACAGTTATAAAGCAAATGTATATTCTAGATTTTATCAATAACGACAATAAAAGGGGCATATAGTAAAATGTGTGTTACCTTACTTTAAATAAAAAGTCCGATATGCAAAGTTTATATCTACACAGTTTTCGTCAACGAAACTGTCAAATCGAATTCAACATGACAGTATAATTTTAGTCCTGAGAATCCTAGTGTACTGATAAATTGCGACGAGGTGATTAGAGGTGTAGTGCAACATGCGTTAATCCTCAAGATTATTATAAAAAATATACTGAATTCAAACTGACTAGTGATCATTGTTTGATCCAATTGTGATTGCAATGCCATTTGGTATTACACGATTAACATGATTGAATTATCACATACACATTTAAAATCAGAAGTTCTTTAAAAGTCGGATCGCAGTCGGATCAAATACAGTCAAACCTGCTTTAGTGGCCACCTGTCTACAACGACCACCTGTCTACAACAAGCACATTTTGTTGTTTCCCTTGAAAATGGTTTCTTATTGAAACATGTACTAAAGGAACCTGTCTACAAAGACCACCTGTCTACTAAGACCACTTTTTGTGTTTCCCTTGGGCGGTCGCAGTAGACGGGTTTGACTGTACTTGGCGATGGTCCTTACCGAATCTAATCATGAATCGTGTCTGTGAGGTGATGGAGTGTATCATGGTGTTTCCAATCCAGAAATCGGCGTCCAGGTACCCGAAACCCTTGCTGTAGTCATCCCAACCTCGGTAGAAATTCGTCGTCCCGTTCTAAGAAGAGAACAGAAAGGAAAAGTGATTGGAAAGATTATAAGGTGTTTTCAAATTCCTGTTTGAGACTTTAAGTATCATGCAAACTTCTTGCTTAATTACAATTACACCTCCAAGTTTGACCTAAACTGAGTGTTTCCGTTGAAAGTTCATGTTTTGTGGATTCAAATTCGTTCACGAAGTGTGACCTAGCGTTTATCGACCGGGGGTACCAGACGTACTAGGCGGCTGAAATGCGACTGAACATAAATGAATAAGACATCAGAGCAGTTTGCAACTGTTCATGTTTTCTTTCCTGCCCCTTCCTCCTTCCTCAGACCAGCGATGGTACATACTAACCTGTCTTCGTTGTATGACAGTCCATCCTCCATCTTCTGTAGTCATATCACAGAACAACCGGATGTGCTTTCCTCGCCTGCCAGAACCCTCAAAGTTCTCCATGTAGTAGATGCCATCTTCAGTGTAGCCCTTCTTCCTGAGACAAAGACAACCGTCTAGGATACAGTTGTTGGGTTTTCCCTTGCCCTTGGGGCGAGGGCGCTTTCCATCGAAGGTTCCCCTCAGGGTTTTCAGATCCATGAGCTCTTTAAAGATCTGCGTGGAAAAGTCCGATACAAAATCATGGTCAAAATCTTCGTCCAGTTTATAGGACTATTAGAATCTTTTATTTAGCCGGTAGAAATTAAAAATGAATATCATTACTTTATATCTATACGAAGAAATAAAATAGAGTCATTTCATCATAATCTCTAGGGCTACCAAAAGAGAAGCCAGACAACTTTCAATTCTGATTTGTTTCCTTCGATGAAAATGAATTTAGTGATGTACGTACTTCTGTCGTGTTTTTGAATGGGGTGAGTATATTGCGGGATAATTTTCATCCCGTTATTCTTTTACAAAAACGCACATTTCCGAGCTCATCACATATTGAGAAAAGGGCCTCGTTAGCAGGGGTGCCCGGTGAAACGACATCCTCGCTATTTTTCCTTACAGTTGGATATTTCTATTATCTCGAAATTTGAAAATAGGAAATCAACTAACCTTCCATCTGGGCTTGTTAAGGTCCCCACTGTGTCCATTCTGTGACGTCATAATGTTCATGAAAGGTGACCTGTTTCTACCGCCTGGCTGTCTCGGTCCATCCTCCCCACGGACTTGTGTCGGGTCGGTACTGTCACTTTCCTCCTCAGCATCGGGGAAGAGATCCTCTGCACCGCCATCGCTGGAACTGTAGATGAGGTACGAACCGCCCTCGATCGCCGACGTCATTGAATGCTCGATTGGGAATTCGGTTGCGACTTCGATGACATCGGGGAAGTGCGCGGCGCTCTGCCCGTCGTTTTCTGCGGGTGGACTTGTATCTTGAACGATGGCATCGTTGTCCGGAGAAACACCAATAGCATCGTCATGTTCTCCTCCTTCATCTACGAATTGCTCTTCTGGAAGAGCACTGCTGCTGCTGCTGCTACTGCTGCTTAGCCTGGTGCTGGTGATGGATGATGGTTTCTTCGGAGGGACTAAGTCTTTGTCAGCTTTGGTATTCTGCGAGATGTCTGTTTCGTTTAAAGGCACCAAGATATGGTCAGGTGCGAGCATGTCGTCCTGTAGGAAGGGCTTATTCCGAGGTGGTGTAGCTGCATTGATGTTCGGAACATTATGGGTAGTGTGTTGAGGAATGACCTCTCGCAGCGGTGGCAATGGTTGGTGAGGGACTAGCACCTCTTGCAGTAACGGCTTATTATCGTTTGACACCTGTGAGGGGGCGCTGTTCATGTCAAGTCCTGGAGTGTCAGTGTTCGCAAACGACGATGACAGATCCTCATCAACCGAATACTCATCCATATTCTCCAGTCTGGCATCCTTGGAATCTGCGGAGTGTACGGATAGGCAGAAAAAGTGGAAACGGTCGTTAGCGGTAATGAGAAATCAAGATCATTGGAAGTTGACGGTGTAACTAAATGACAAAGTGCTTTACGAAATATATGATTTAGTCCAGCTGATCGGTGACCTGATTTGATAAGCAGAAGGCCTCCAATGGTTGTTGTTTATTTCACCCATAACTAGCAAGGGCGCCAACAGGCCCACATGGAACAATATTCTCGTTAAACTACGCATGTCATAGTGAAGAAGAAAGTCATGTGGCAAATATATAAACATTGTACAGCAAGGTGAATGAAGAAAGTGTAATTGATCAACAGTGAACTATGAAAACCTTTTGGGCCTCCTCTTTGCATAGAGGTTTTTTTTTTTTAAGTATAAAATGAAAGTAAAAATTACAGGGATCAATGCTCACGATAAAGCACGCTTATTGAAGTGTTTCAGACATTCATGATATGAACATAATGATGTCAATAAACGTAGCTGTTCCAAATACATTTAACTCTTTATGTCCTATTTTTTATTTTTTTTATTTTGTGTGATTCTGATTTGTTTTGTCTTTATAATGTATCAGTTTGTGTTGAGGTCGTTCACAAGATACCCTTGTACCAATCATTCAATGCTGTGAGAAAGAGCCGAATGGTCGCATTCACATGACCGACATTACACAAAATATTACAAAAATGAAAATTATATGTACACATACCGAAAATTGCCTTTATTGGAATGAAATCTACAAATTTGAATGCCCGAATTACATTCCATCATTTTTCACTTTGCGCCTTATGGTTCACTTTGGCGGCACGGATTAAGTGGCTCAGTTCAGCAACCTTTCAGTCTTGACCTCTACACAAAAGTCTAAATATATTCTCTGAAGCTAGCGACCGCCGACTGGGTCGTCTCGTGTTGCCAAATTGATGCATCTATGTCATCACTCAAAATGATAATCATCATTCGGCCATACAACAGCTGTTGGGCAACTAAATAAATGTTGATATGTTGTCTATAGGCCTACTTTTGTTTTCTATAACTCTGGGTAGGTTGGATAAACACGGACCAATTTGATAACGGCAATGGTCGAAAATTCAACTTTGATTCAGTAAAACTCACAGGTTCTTTACGTATAGATGCATTTCTTTATATACCGCATGCTAATATTCGAGGCCTTTGATCGGTCAAAACTGCAGGCATGAAATTCGCTACTGACTACTGGGCTGTATAGCGAGAAATATCGACCGGGCATAGTTCTAATTGCGCGTACAATGCAAGGACGCGATAGTTTAGTTAAAATATCTCTTTTTGAGCATTGACACGGGGAGGCGTTATATAAAAACAAATATTGACCGCTTATTTTTCGGGTCACCGTTAAAACTATAGATCCTCGATGATCTCGAGACTGCACTCTGCCCCTCAGCTCTATCTTGGGGCACATACAGATTCGAGAGATCTCCTTTGGCAATATTTTTAAAGGTTGAAGGTTTCCCTCAAAGCATTCAGTATCTTTATCATAATGGATCCAGCTAAACAATCGATATGACAGAAACTTATAGGATATAAAAATCGTGAGCTCGCCCATTATATCCAGCTTTTAGTACTGGACTGAACTAAACGAAATAGCATAAATGTTATTCCAATTGTGTCTTATCAATCACATATTTCACTTCCTCAGACGACATAACAAAATTGGGACAGAAATGGCTGCCAATAGAAGAAACAAAATAATGTACCTGTCTAATCTTTCACGAACATACATATCAAATTTAAAATATATTAACATTGCCAAACCGGAAATATATTGCCTTTGTAGAAAACATTGCCAGGTTTTTCAAAGCATACACGCCATTACATCAAAATTACATGATTCGAAAAGGGTTTGTGTTTGACTTGCATGATGGAATGTATCATTAGATGCTTATTGATGTGTTTTTATACATTTGCCAATATCAATAATTTATTATGACGCTTTCTCCATATCGGTCCAATCAAAATGTTAAATTAATTAGGTTGTGATGTCTCGTTAAGATGGTGAATTGGCAAAAATTAGGTTATTGGATTTGCTGCGCCGTGCCTATTTTGTTTTAATAAGTTTACGGGAATGAGGGTGACATTGTGGACAAACATCATAGGGAATGATATTAAAGAAAAATATTATTGAGAAACGGTGAGAGGGAATGAGTTCAAAGAAAATCTTTTCACTTTATTCTAATTCTAATAACAAAAATAATGATCGCATATTAATACATCATTGTATTCAATCTATCTTTAAGCACTTTTTTTTCGTTGCTGATCTTATTAAGTTCTTTTAATGTTTACACAAAACAAAAACTTATTTGAACAACAATTGATTGATTTGATTTTTATTTAAAATACTAATAAATGACATTGATTACTCGTTATTGTTCTACTTTTTAAAGGATGGAATGACAGTGAAAACAAAAATCCTTTTGCTTACCGAGTAACTCCGAAAAAAGAGCCTCCAAAACACGAACTCGCTCCTTTAATGCATCCATTTCATCCCGGTATTCAAAATGCTGTACATGTAAGGGAGAGAGAGAGAGAGAGATATAGAGAGAGAGAATGGAGGTGAGAGGAGAGATGGGAAAGGAGAAGAGAAGAAAAAAAAATTAGCAAATTAATTACAATTCTTACAATCACTCTTCTCTGTCTCATCCTCATTTTCATTCTCATCTTCTCCATAACCATCGTAACCATCCTCCTCATCATAATCATCATCATCATCATCATCGTCACATTCATCATCATCATCATCGTAATCATGGATATTAAATATCTTTCCCATATTACGTTTGAAATTTTAGGTGAAAACTTATTAATAATACCTTTGAGGAAACTGCATAATTATTTTAAAAAGCGGAGGTACGGGAAAGAAGTTTTGCCTATCGGTTCACTATATTGGCCTGACGAAGATCCCGTAAACAGTTCCTAACTTTCTAAACCATAAAGTTAGAGATTAAAGTTGTCCAATTTTCTCAAAATGTCTCTGATAATGCCTGTTCTTCATATTATTATTTTTGAACTAGAGATTGTTTTGTCTTTCATATCAGGTTTGAAGAGGTTTAAGTCTGGACTCAAACCGGACCAAGGAGCGTATGCACGATATCAGGATCACTTCGCCCTCGTCAAATAAATTATCATTGACTCTGCATGCTGTAGATCCCAGTAGCCATAGCGATGCTGGAAGCAATGTGACTCGCCAACAAGACAGTAGTAGTGTCCGATTTTCAACAAAAAACATCACCTCAGGCCAATGGGAACTTGGCCATGGCCTTGACTCTGCAAAGCCGATTTCGGAGATCGGCTTTCTTCGGGAGTCGAGACCAGCGCCCGAAGGCAAGAATGAACTTAGCCTTGATGAGGTATCAACGCGGACTAACGTGATAATGAAAGCTTGGCAAACTTGTCTGTTTAATCTAAGTGATGAGAGACAGAAAGTCGTCTGCCAGTAAGCTCTTCGATCTCTTTGATCTTTTTTCTTAGTTCCTAATTACCGAGGTGCCTAGTCATACTTTCAGGAGACAAAAAACAGACCGAAGAAAAAGATGGCAACACTCCGAATGGCCAATAATCAGTAGGTTTGGTAGTACATTTATATCATTCAAGCATACATTTCAGGATAGACAGGTTTTTTTTATGTACTGAATGTTCATGACAATGACTTCAGTTTAAAAAAATTAAGACATGAAAGCTCCAAATTCGGTAGCTCCTCTCCCTTTTAGTTGGCATGCATTAGTCAGTTGCGTAACAAAAAGTTTGAACTATGAGACTGGACAGCTAGGGGCTGGCAAAGCTCGGTTGAAGGCTTTAACGTATTTAACGTTAAAATAGCTTTAATGTTTCTGTGCTCCGAGACCAGTCCCCCCACCCACCACACCCCATCTTATTTCTGGACCCGCGCTACGCCACCTAGTATACGGGATTTGGCAGTAGGAGGGGGGGGGGGGCATTTTTTTCTATTTCCCAAGGCCTAACTGAGGGCTTCTTTTTAATCTCAACATTTTTTTAATATCAAGAAAAAGGACTCCCTTTTCTTTTCAGCATGCATGCACCTCCCCTAGTAACTCTTTCAGGAGGTGCTGCAATAAAGCAAACTGGAATGAGCTTAAACCCGGACTATAGGTGGGGCTAAGACCCCCCCCCCCCCCTCCTCTTAACCCCACCTATAGTCCGGGGTTGAGCGAAATTTTGCCAGTGTGAAAACAAAGTGGAATAAGCTTAACCCCGGACTATAGGTGGGGCTTAGACCCCCCCCCCCTTTAACCCCACCTATAATTTAGGGTTAAGCAAAATTTTGCCAGTGGGAAAACGGTATAAGCGTCTCAAGCTTCGTGACGGGAACGTCGATCAATGCATCCTGTTTAGACAACATGTGAATGATTAAGATGCTATTTTCCACGTCATCTAGTCTTTACAAGCATCTGAAAGGTTGTGAGGATGCTGATGTTACGGGATGCTGCCCCGTCACTCCTCGGGTTCCATCGAGCGCAAATTACCCTTGGCATTGGTAGTTAGGATTCTTTGGCAAGGCCAAGTGGTCGGGAGAGGGAGCGGCGCAAGGGGGTAAGGGGGAGACCCTTCCCTCTGTCTTTCCATACGTTATATTCCTCTATTGCCCTTTAAAAACCCTGAAAGAATTTATGAGGTACATTGGATTCTTTCGTTACAATTTCACTTTAAATGAATCACCTCTCAGTTTTTCTTAATTTCTTCTATTTCTATAAAAAAAAAACTATTCACATCTGTCTAAATTCTTTCGTTATAATTTAATTTTAAATGAAAATAGAGGACGTGATCTTAGGAACTAGAATTGCCTGTTTCTACTTGGCCTATAGGTTGCATTGTTTCGCTCTGCAGGAGGGAATCTCATCATAAAGAGATTATAAATTTCCACCACACGGAAGATAATCTGCATTGTTCTATCTAAGTTTTTCTTTTCCAGCTTTTAATACATTATCGCGAAGTGATTGGCGTGTTCTTCTGCATTAAGCAGAGTTAACTTTCACTAAAAGTATCCTGTATATTTAGCTTTCGTTTGGTCTTTACGAGATCGAAAAGTGGGCGTATAAAATTGAAATAAAAAAGTAAATAAACCCTAACAAAAACAAAATTACGAGCTTTTATCAAGGAAGTACGACCAGTAACATTGAATAAATCTAAAATAATTGGGAAAATATTACTATCCATCATGTACTTTCTGTAAGATACCTGCAACAGCAATATTTCCAGAGACCCCCCCCCCCCCCTCCTCTTTCTCAAAAACCACTACCTTATTACCCCTTCACCGGAATCCGATCTTCAAGATCACCTTACAGAAACACGCCTGCATCAAGGTCTAACATCCGTTTCAAAGGCAAGGACGATCTCCGATGTAGCATGCTTCGTTGGTAGTCGACGAGGCATTTAACCATGGAATGGACGCGTCGGATGTTCCGAATCACTCGAGACTCAACCAGACTCTCATCACTATCTTCTTTTATGAGGATCCGTCATCGGTAAACGGTCGATGATGTCTTTTTAGGATTTTTATTTTCTTCTTGAAGATGGAGGGGGAAAACCATTTGTTTGGGCCATCCAGTCCCTTTCTAGGAATTATATATATATATATTTCTTGTATTTGATGTATTGATCTGTTCGATGTATTATCATATTCGTCATACCTTTTCAATCACATACGTGTTAATGTACCAATTATGGAAATGATTTAAAGTTATTATTTTGATCATAATTCTTTTTTAAATAACTTTATTCATCAAAATACCTTTATAATCACCCGTGTCTACTGTTCATCTACTTAGACAAGAGATTTCATTTGGATATGTTTTTGAACCGAGGGAACTTTTTTCGTTTGTACTGGCAGAGTCGTTATGGAAAAGTTAAAGGGTAGCTTCTTTAATTCCCTCCCCCGCCTAGATAGCCCTGCTGCATGGGAAGTTGTAGATAATTGATACTCTAATGCTCATTTTTGTCTATCAATATCACTCCGTTCAGGGACAAAAAAGGAATGCCTTGAGTTGCAGACTGCTGACGAAACTTTTGGCCCAAAATTCTAGCGTAACTATCTGATGACTGGAGGATAGCTGTGACGAATCCTTATCATGGTATAAAGAAATCATCATAAGTATCCATTACTGGCTTAATTCCTGAGAAGCCTGCCGATGAACGTGATGACGTAACGTGATATATCTACATCGGTGACTTAATAATGACAACTCTATTTGATAGCCTGGTTCATACTTGATGCCTACAAATTAAAAAAACTTTTCACAAAAGAACCACACACAAAAAGATGTCATATGTAACAAAAACAAAAGCAAACAAATAACAAACAAAACATTTAAGAATATTATTTTCGCACAAAAAAGGAACGTACTTGTACTCTGTGATTTGTGTATAAAAACATTTCATTTCCAATGCCCATTTCTTACTTCGAGCTATGCACCACGTGTCATGATGTCTATCATCTGAATTTCAGCCTTCAAGTTTCTTAAAGTTTGACACTTTTTAATTTGTGAAAATGTCAGTTTATAATGATAGATATACTAGACTTTTCAATAAAAATAAATTAGAAATGGGGCGCCTCACTGCCCAAATATAAGGTGCTATTTGCCCGAATACCAGGAGCATGGCGGTTGCCGAATATTGGTAATTTCTAAATTATTGGGGAGGGGGGGGGGGGGGGCTATATTCCCTATTCTGTATGCACGTAGTCATGTGAAGGTTTTTATTCAGTTTCTCTTTTACACTCACTTTACATTGTCAAACCTCTCAGCCTAGCAAAATGCATTTAATTTTGTTAATGCAGTTTGAGACTAAGCCGAGATTTCACTGTAGAAAGCAATTTGTAGCTCAGATTTAGCAAACTGATTTTAATAGGTCCAAAGGGAAATCAATTACAGACAATACGAAGGCTAGCGACGAAACAAACATGACTCTGCTATGGCATAGTTTCTTTATGTCTGGTAAAAAACAGATTCTAATGTATGACTTCATTTAAGTTGCTACAGGGGCACGTGACTCCACTCACTCAATGCTATTTCTTTTTCAAATGAAATAGGAAAAGAGGGCAAGGAAAAATGAAGTAAGATGATACGAACCCTTTCCCACATCCCCAGTCGATTCCAACAGCAACTATAGCTTGGACAGAAACTTAATCAACAAGTACTAAATTAGTGCTTAAATCAGGACGCAGTCTTACACGAGACAATTTTATTGAATTATACAATTATGGATGTTTGCGACTTATGTGCTGAAGCCAACATATTTTCATTTTTCAAAAAATGTATTACTCGACTCTATGAACGTATTATTATGCTATGAAATTTTACCTTGTTTATTACATTATTACATTGTTAAGCTGATTGTTTGATGAGTTTTACGCAAAAAAACAAAAAAAATCAATTCAATTCAACAACGACGACGACACCTACGAAACGCCAATTTATGAAATTGTATTCAACTACAGTCTACGCACGCGACCGAATGACGTCGCACAATGGAGAGTCTCGCCAG